TGGTGGGGAGGTATGTGGAAACAACTTGAGAGAATGATGAAAACATCAAAGAGATCAAGATTTAAGAAAAGGTATCTTGCAATGCTCGTATATGTTGAAACGCAAGATAATTCCTCTTCCTCAACCTCTACAGAAACAAGAAGAGGGAAGAAGATCAAAATTCCCGAGGAAAATGGACTTGTGAACTTGAAAAATGTATATAGTTTTGTTTGAAATTTTGATGACGTAAAGCAAAATTCCAAGGTGGGGAGGATGTTGGAAATTAAGTTGTTTTTTATATAATACAAATTTCAATATTAATCAACATCAGATATAATAATTTGTTAGTCTTTGTTTTTATGAACAGATGGTTTATTTTAATTTATTCAAACAATTGAGAAGTGTTGTAGTAAGAATTTAAGAAAGTGATCAAGAACATAACAATTTAGTTCAAGAGAAATGTTATAAAATATTTGTTCTTTATCAGAATTAAGAGTCTTCCTTAGTGGTAGCCATTTTCTAGTGGATTTCTTCCCCATAAGAACAATGTTAAACATTACATCATTTGTGGACACGTAACGGCGTTATTTGTTAAGATATAGCTTTGACATTTATAATTTGTATTTTTAACATAATAGACTCGTGACTGAGGTTTTTGATTTTCGAAAATCCATTTTCATTTCCTTTCAATAATTGGATTAATTTTAAGCTAATTAATAATCAATTATTCATTATAAAAATTAAAAATTGTGAAATAAAAAACATCAATCTCTAGAGGGCCGCAATTCCTTAAATTTAACTCCTTATCCATAATTATATGACAATTTGCTGATGAGATATTTGGACCCAAAGTTAACATTGTTCTTATGGGGAAGAAATCCAACATGGTTTTTACTAAGGAAGACTCTTAAATCAGTTCTTTATTAGATAATATTTTGTAAAAGTTCTTTATTTCACGCGAGTTCTAACATAGTGGCGACAACTCCTAAACAAGCGAGTGAGGTATCTTCAAAGCTTAAGACAAAATTTGAGATCAAGATTTAAGAAAGAATACCTGTATTAATTGTATACAGTAATTAGTAGTTCTAACACTGTATTTGATTTCAAACCCTTAAAATAGTGATGGTCCTAAAGAACTTCTTGGGTTGTATGAACACTTCAGTACGGGTTTTTTGCAAGGGCAATTTTACTGCTTTTTTATTAAAAACATTAAAATAGGTCCTTAAGAACTCATAATTGATTAGTTTAAGAGTCGACTAAACCAGAGGCACACACAACATTAGGAAATATATGTAATAGCTAGAATGTGCTGTAATTGTTTTACAGAGTTTTATAATTTGTAACGCTGGCATAAAAAACTATGACTTGCCCTCCTTGTTGCACAATATACTATTTTTATTTGGTAGCTTCTATTAGTTACTACATAGCGTAAATATTTGTTTTAAATTCCATTTTTAAACAATTTTTTTATTTGTTTGGTACAGTACTGAGGACCGCTGGCTGTAGCTAGGGTTCTCCACAACAACAAAACAACAGAACAGCTGTTTGGTAAGCTATTGTTCATCTATGTTGTGTCAATTATATTACCAGATATGCTGAACTATTGATACCTATATCAATAGTTCAGTTGTCTTGAATTGCTTGGAATTTCAGTGCTATGAACTGCTTCTCTGCGTCATCCATCTTCTTAGATTCAATGTAAACAAATTTGAAGCCCATTCGACAACAAATATGCAACAATGAACTACAATTGAATTAATTGAAAACAATCAATACAGCTAAAACTTTTGATACCATAGATTGCTTGGATTAAGGTTTACAAGTGAACCAAATGTAGAGCTGCTGGTGTCCTGTGGTGTCATCGAAAAAATGTCCAGCTAAATTTTCTTTACTGTCAACGAGAGAGAAAAATAGCTACTTTATGCATGTATTGAAAACAGCTGTTTTGCTGCAGTTTAATGAAAAAGGTTGTATTTACCAGATTTAAATTATTTAATGTGAGTCAGCTGTTACGTTTTGTTTCTATTTATTATTGTTTGTTTACATTTAGCAAATTTCCCATACATAGGGAATAAGCTATTACCGTAGTACTCATGGTAAGACCTAGACCCGAGATCGATTTAATTTTTCATTTTGAGGTCCCTAAAGGCCAAAAACACCATTCGTTCAAATATATATATATATATATGTGTGTGTGTCCGTTGGCGCGATAACTCGAGCAACAATGATCCGATTTTGATGAAATTTGGCACACACGTGTAAACCTACGTTTATTCTAACAAGTTCGCGAACCAGCATGATCGGAGACTATGGGAACAGGTGTTTATGAGGGGTTTTATGGGGTACAAATAGGTTTTTCCTATTTTTGGCCCTGAAAACACAACATTTCACCTTTCCAAACCATTTTGTAGAGCTTAAAAAAAAAAAACAATTTAGTATATATTGAAGTGTTACTATGCGCCTATGGTTACGGGGAAAATAAAAAAAAAAAATTAATTTAAAATTCCCATGTTATTCTTATACTGTATAAGTCAACTTTTGTAGTTGTAGTTGTGAACATATTTTGATCAAATTTGGAAAATACATTCATTTCTTACTTCTTCCTAAACTATTAACATTAAAAAAAAAAAATACTTTTTTAACCTCCCTGTTGCAGCAAACCTAGGTACTTGTTAAAATTATTCTATTTAAATAGTGAATAAATGTGATATTTTTAAGGAGGCATTTTTAGTGCAAGTCCAATCAGGCTAATGGAAATTCGCTTAGTCTGCAGGTTTGCTGGTTTATTTTTTAATTATTGACATTTTGATTCTTCTATACTATTATAAAAAAGAGGTGGTGTCTGTGTGTGTGTATGGGAAAAGTAAACGCGAAAACTACTGGTCGGATCGGGCTGAAATTTGGCATGATGATAGCTCACATTCCCGATTAACATATAGGCATATTTTTATCCCAAAAATCCTTTCGGGCTCCGCCCCAGTGGCTCTGGAGTTTCCCATGTAACCTTATGAGAAATGAAATTATTGAATCTTAACAGCTGTTTCAATTAAACAAGTTGGTTCTGTTCTGTGATGTTCAATAGCATTAAAGTTACAAGGATTACCAACAGGGTGCAGCACTAGCACTATTATTTCTTTTACATTTATGACAACAGCAAAAGGTGAGTGAGCGTAGCGAACAAACTTCAACCTGGAGGCGAGTGAGCGTAGCGAACGAGCTAACCTGAAGGCAAGTGAGCGTAGCGAACGAGCTAACCTGAAGGAAAGTGAGCGCAGCGAACGAGCTCCAACCTAAAGGTGAGTGAGCGTAGCAAACAAACTTCAAAAAGAACCGAAATTTCTTAAACCATGTCCTCACTCATAACTGCTATAAGCATTTGATACTTATATGCCAACCCCGTACGAAGGACGGGTACTCTGCTAGTATCTTATATTTTCATTGTTCACATTAAAAAAAAAATTATTAGTGTTTATAAGGTAAGGGTACTAGGCCTAAAAAATCAATATTTTGGTTTATTTTGAATACATATTTTACTCGTTTTCTAGATGAAATATGTTTGTAAAATAATAATAGACAGCAGGAAATTGAAATAACATACAAAATCAATTACTGTACTGACTGAATATAAAATCTATTTCAGCGTGTTAACAAAAAATATTGTTACAATAGGAATTGTGACCCGAAAGTAAAATTATAATAGGATTGTTTTTCAAATTACTTATAAATTATTTTTATAAATACCTTATATGTTAAAAGAATTACATTTGCCTAGCCCACTCAAATAATCTGTTTTTTTACACAATACAATTCATTGTGAACTTTTAAAAAATTACACAATATTATCAAATGGATATAATTTTTTAAAGTTTTTTGCTACCTACCAATTTTTAAAAATCATGTTCCTTTAGTTAAAGAAGCCGAATGTTAATTTCCAGAACAAAAAATATATTTCACATTAAGTTTTGATTATGTTTGGCATATAAAATTCATTTTACTCTAGTTTCAAAAAAAATAAAATAAATAATAATTATAATTATATTTTAAATCAATAATTTGATTATTAATTAGTTTTTCACTTTTGTATTCAACTAAACCATTGACTATAATATATCATAAAAAAACATACCGGTAACAATATTAACATTTAAAATCCACAAAGATAATGTAAGATTTTTTTTAGAATTAAGTAATCCAAACATAACCTTCCAACTTCATTCTACTGTCCATTTTTCATCTGAAAATTTTGAATTGAATTCAATTCAATTTATTCAACAAAAAAAAAATAATAAAATCAGAGTCCTCAATACTCTTCTCCATAACTTACTTGTCACCATCAATTTCTTGCTTGAACTCAATATTCTTCATGTCTTCCTTAAGTTCATTATGCTTAGTGGCCCAGGATCACTTAATAAAATGGTTTATATTACCTGTCCGTCAGTGATCCTATTGTTGTCGTCTTAGGCGACCGGTTTCAGGATAAAAATCCCATCATCAGGCTGTCAAAAATGTCATGTCACTCAAATTGAGGTCGTCGGTAAACATATAAACACACACATACAACACGAAACACGAAAATACGACACACGAAAACACGAAAATAGCAATGTTAATCCGTATTTTCGTGTTTCGTGTTGTATGTGTGTGTTTATATGTTTACCGACGACCTCAATTTGAGTGACATGACATTTTTGACAGCCTGATGATGGGATTTTTATCCTGAAACCGGTCGCCTAAGACGACAACAATAGGATCACTGACGGACAGGTAATATAAACCATTTTATTCCTTAAGTTACCATCCTCCTCTTGCTCTGACTCTGCCACTGCTCCAGTACACAAATCCCAATTTACCCATTAATAGATAGGTACTGAAATTATCACCTAGAGAGCTATACTAACACAATGGATGGAATACATTTTGACATATCAATTATTTTAATAATACATTAATTTTAGAGTCAAAGGTACTTTTATAGTTTAGTCCAATGAATCTTATCTTTATATGAATTACCAAATATCCTTTTAGAGAGATGCAACTTGTTCTAACGACGAAAGTGTAATAACATTTCCATTTTCCTCCTTCCGAAGAAGAATTTTTCCGTTTCTCACCCACAAATATTTAAATCCCTTTTTTCTCTTGACGTCCCTCGCAGCATTCAAAATTTTCCGGTTTTCTTCACTCAAACTCTCATTTACATAAATGAACGTATTCCCGGGCAAATCAATGTCTTTGGTTGTAAGAATCTTTCGCAATTTTCTTTTCTGCAGAAATTCCTCTTTATGTTTTCTTTTTGCAAAGTTGACGACAATGCTTCTTGTTTTATCTTCAGGTCCTTTTTTCTCTCCGAATCGTTGGCATCCTACAAGCATGTTTTGGGTTACTTCAATTCCTAGTCCTTTACCAACTTTCTCTATAACTTGAAACACATCTTCGTCAGACACTTCCGGCACTCCGGTTATTTCTACTGAATTTTTCCGTATAAACTGCTCCTCTTCTTCCACAGCCGACCCCATGGCCAAAGACCATAAAAACTTCAAATACCTGACACTCAGAAACACAGGAAACTGAACTATACAAGTTAGGTTACAGAATGTACACTAGAATGAGTCAGTCATATCAGTTATCCAGTGTGATTTTATTTGTCTAGTTTAGATAATAAGTAAAATAATGATCTCAATAGTCTTTATCATGGATTAGGAAACACCAATATCTGGTTTATAACTATTTAATCTCTTTAATGGTTAAATATGGACTTATAACGTTATTTATTTTTAAGTCCTTCTATGCTTCAGTTTGTTTATTTATACAAAATTCTATATATTAAAGGCAAGAGGCAAGCATGTTTCTTAAAAACCTTTTTTTCTCAGCTTGTGTTTACAACAGGGAAAATGTATGCCTACTGTTAGAAAGATATTTTCCTGTAGATGTGCAGAATACCTACCTTTATAAATTAAAATAACCTAAAAATTAAACACAAAAAATCATTTTAAAATTAAAAAAAATTAACATGGGCCCTATGGGTTGGCATGCTGGTGACGAAATAACAACATAATATAAATAGAAAATCAAAACAAATGAAAGAAATTTCAATTACATGTTTTATTTACAACATGGGGTGAAAATAGAGAAGTCTATACATTACATAATATTTTTGGTGTTTATGTAAATGTACCATATACCAGAATTTAATACATGAATCAATGTTTAAGTTCACCTAAAATATTTAACATTGGCAGTAAAAATGTCTTAATTTGTTGCACTTTTATTATTGTCCCTTAAGAACATATAGTTTTAATTGTTAGAAATGTGTATTTTATTTTTAAAGAAATTGTTCAAAAAACCATCAACATGAAACTAAAAGCCCCATAACATTTAATTCTGAGAGTAATTTGATCTATTCCATATCTACATTATGCGGGGTGTCCCACGAGAGGTGTCTCAAATTAAATTGATTACGGAAGAACGGATTAATGTACAAAGATGAAATAAAATTATTTCCCACTAAATCGACCCCAAGGAATAACGTAAAAATATTTTCAACTTTTTCCCGATACAGGGAGTGCTAAAATCTGAGGGTCACTAGTTCGAATCTCGGAATTTTCAAAAGTAAACATGTGTTATGTTATACATAATTTTAAAGGTATTTAATAGGTAAATATTTTGACAAAAACAGAAATTAATTATCGTATTCCGTTTCAAAATAGCAGCAGTTTTTGTGGGAAAAATCAATACGTTTTTAATACTCTTGTGTTTCCTATACCAATGCACTTAGCACGGATGACTGAGGATTTGACTACAGCTTTGTTACTGAATTTAGCTGGGAGTTCTCGAGTAATGGTCCCAAATATAGTAGTTTAGTGTATGAATACTTAAGCCCAATGATTATGGTATCAAAGCAGTTCAAAACGATCAAAAAGCGCCTGTCTTTTAATCTAAATGGTGACTGATTATTAGGCGAGCTCTGCAATCACAGCTATCCAGTTCATCAAAAGTTTCTACATCGCTTGTCAGAGTAAAATAACAAAGCTAAATGAAATTACGAAAATTATTTTTTGCTAAAATATATTTAAATAACACTGAGTGGTGGTTTGCTGCTACAGGGAGAGTAATAAGTGTGTTTTAGTAAAAAATATTAAAAGCTCTTTAAGGCGGCTCCAGACATGCGCCATTCGCCGAGCACCAAGAAATGATTCGCCGAATTGCGATTAGTGTGGATAGGTGTTTGTCAATGGGACAAGCAGCAAATATTCGTGCTCGTGATTTCCCGTTCATTGTCGGTATTTTTGCACACATCAAAGTAAGCGAATATTTCCTATTCCCGAAACGAACAGTTGTTCGGAACGCAACACATGTGTGTAGACGTCCACTCGTTAATCGGCAAATAGCAAGACAACTAGATCACCAAACATAAAATATTTCGTGTTTGGGGACTGGTGCATGTCTGAAGCCGCCTTTAATTCACTTGGTGTAAAATGAATAAATTTGCCAAGTTTGATCAAAATATTATCCATAAACAAGCAAACTACAACAGCTTACTTATTCTCCATAAAAACAAGGGAATTTTAAATTTATAATGTTTTGGATTTTCTCCATAACCAATAACCGCAAAGAACCACTTCAATATACTAAATTATTTGATTTTTAAGCTCTTCAAAATGATGGCTACATCATTAATTTTTAGTTTTATGTAATGTGTCTACAGAATATTTCCCACTATTTTTATTTTTCTCAGCTTTTCAAATGAATCTACATTTTAATGTTTTCACCTTTCACTTCAAATAGATACAAAAACAAGTTTGTGTTCTGCTTTTATTATTACCTTTTTTACTATATTAAAAATTGAGATAGGGACGCCACCTGGGTGCATACTTTAACCCAAATATGAGCGAGAGATGTGTATAATGAAGTGAGAAGCCTTATGGAGCTTTATTACTGACTAAGACCAGCTGTTTCATTAGCCCAATGATTAAGGTTAGCTGGGTCCAGTTTCGAATCAGCAAAAAGCTACTGACCATTCTCAGGATTGAACTGACAACCTTCTGATTACGAGGCGAGCAATGTAGCCACTATTTAATGAGTTTCACCTTGATCTCAGAGTCCTTCATTCATCACTTTAAAATTGTATTGTAGAAATATCTGAATAAGTATCGGGTAGATTCTTATTATGCCATAGGGTATTCACCTTACTGTATCTAATGATTCAAAAAAAAATTACCAGCATAAAAAAGGTAAAAAAAAACTAAACTCAATTTGCAAAAAAATTGTTTACTTCCTTTGATTACACTTGTTACTATATACATCTAAACCCTATAAAACATTACGTTCTATTAAGCCCAGCTTGGAAACTAAGCTCTCTTTGTTTTATCATATCGTCCTGTATTCTTTGAGCTTTCACCTTCAATTTTTCTGCTAATTCTTCATTCTTCTCAACCCCTTCTCCTCGTTTATACATTAGGCTAAGATTGGCGCAGGCATACATGTTATTTAAGTCGCATGCCTTAGTGGCGTATTCAAAAGATCGCTTCATGTCTTTGGCTATTTTTCCCTTCTCAAATCCGTCCAAGTAGATTCCACTAAGGTGGTAACAAGCTTCATTGTTCCGACCTTCACAACCCTTTTCCAAATAGCTAATGGCCTGAAAAACATAAATTTTTAATGTTTGCAGCAGATTTAAATTAGCATAAGAAATGAATATAAATTGAATAGATATGTGGTTTTATAAAGCCCAAAGAATCTGGGTCTTGAAAGGATTTGGAATCATGAATGAATAATATTCATTGGCACATAACGTACAGAGTTTACGAAATGTATGTATAGGTGCTTTGTCATGAATAAAATCGTTCTTAGATAAGTTGTTGTTTCTTTCCTCATAGGTTTAAATACAAAATAATTAACAAAAAATAGGCTATGTGTTAATTCTATGAGAAATGCAAGAAAAAATATGACAGCACTCTTAAATCTGACCAAGGTAGGCTTAAAAATGGATATTGACAAGCAAACTTTGGATTCCCTATAGAACTACGATACACATAATTTGCATTATACTGAAAAAATAGTTCTTAATGATCACAGAGGCTTTGGAATTCTCAAATAAATATTTAAAATAAGACTAACCTGCTTGAATGTAACCGCAGAATTTGTAGTATTGCTTAGCACTGCTGCCATGATACCAGCTCGAAAACAACCACTTGCTTCTCCGAGACGACAACTCTTCTCAAAATACTGCAGTGCCTGCAATATTCAGATGATAAATGATAGTGCTTGCTTTCAAATTTGAAGTTCACAGGTTTGATTCCTAGTGAGATACTTTCCAGACCACATGCTTTGACATTGGAGTTTGAATTAATGATGGTATCGAACAAAAAGGTCGACAAAACAACTTTTGGAACAAGAATACTTACTTGAATACTTGAATACTTGTTGCCTTAATCTTTGACCGAAGTATATCGGATAGATTGCGTCGTTATACTAATATTTACAAAATTATTATATACAAAACTTGCTTTACAAAATATCATAAAACTTAAAACTTTAAAACTTAGGCTGTGGTAAGCGTGTCTGTTTCTCAACCTGGCATCAAAGGATCATTTGACAACTCGTCAAGACTATACAAGGACATACATACAATACTATACAAGACTAGGGTATGGACTGTTCCCTTTCAAAACATAAAAATGCCATGGCGTAGAAAACACACAAGGTAAAAGAAATGCCCACAGTTGTTTTAGAGAGAAATTCTATCAGTTTGACAATCTTCAACACTTAATTCATATTTTATCATTGTTGTTCACTGTTCCAAATGTTTATTATTGTTACTTTTTTAATAGATTATTCACTGTTCAATGTTCCAAATGTTTATTATTGTTACTTTTTTAATAGTTTTAAATTCGTTTATTACTGTTACTTAATTCATTGTTTATTAATAATTGTTAAAATCTGACTACTTTAAATTCTATGATTGGTTTGGTATATTATTGAATTCTTACAGAAAAACAAGGGAAACAAGGGAAACAAAAGACTGATTGTGTAACAAAGACTGATTGTAAAAAAAGCACTGTGAAATAACAAAATTAGAATAATTGCTGCAGACAAGCCATATTGGCTTTTGTGGCTTGGAATTGTATTTGTTTTGTAAATTTGTATTTTTTGGAAATAAATAATAATAATTATTATTAATTGAAAACAATTCTTTAAAACCGCATTAATTTTTTAAAAACATTACCTAGAGTATACCATGTGTTGTAAATGAGGTTTACACTTTCTTGTTGGCTTTCTTGTTTATAAAGCCAGCAGCCATGGATCCATCGATATTCATGTCATAAGTTATGAATGTCATAAACAGAGCCAAGTATTTATTTCTAACATTCTACTATGGGCCAAATGTTGGATTTTAACAAACAAGTAAAAAAATAAATTCATGGAAATATCACATATAATTCTGAATGTAGGAGGATGATCCACTAAGCATAACCACAAGCAACTACAGCCACTGCTACGAGGCTCTTTGTGGTTTACTTGCATCTTTGTGAACAGAATGACACATTTGTAGCTCTCTAGCTGACGTGTAGGCCTACACTTCACTGTGTGTTTTAAGTTCTAAGTATTATTGAATTTCCCGCCACGTGAGATATTAGGTCAGTGAAACGTTTTTAACCACAAGAAACATATAGCTGATGCTAACATTCATTGCCAGATGACTAAAGTTTACAATCCTAATGCAATGAAAGAGGGTTAGGTGTAGAAATGGGCTAGGGAGTTTTAAAATTGCTGTAATAATATTCATTTCGGAAGGAATTGTGTTTTTGGCGGATACCCTACCCAGACTGCTCACAGAAGACCCTGAAGGAAAAAGGTCTTCACAGCCATTTTTACACTCCTTATGGTACTCATATTCGCGCTTTACCCTTTTTGAGTTTGTTGCATTAGGCCCATAACCTTTCTTTATCTGTCGATGAATGTCAACATCGGACATGTTTTTTCGTAATAAAAAAACGTATCGTTCACCTTATCTCAAATGCGATGTGCTGTGTTCAACCAATAGTCCAGTCAATGAATGATCCAAAAGTAGGTGTAGAGTGCGTGAGCAGGTAACTAAGCGATTCCTTCAGAAACTTGTTCAGGGGGCTTAGGGTGTTAACATACCAAAAGTCCTGACTCCTAGGTGGTGAGCCAGGGGGTGGAGGGGGGCAAAAGGGGGGGAAAAAGGTACACATTTTGGGTTTTTTGATTATATCTTGAAAACTATCAACTTTTTGTATACTATAGTAAATTATAAAATTGAAGAAGATTGAATTTTCTACAAGAAAAGTATATAATGTGTTTATTTTGGTTCAACAGATTACGAGTTATAACTTATTTAATTGATATCTTATTAAAATACTCCTTCCATAAGAAATACATGTAAATTAGTATGCGAAATGGGGCGAATCCTATCCGCCCAAAGGAAATATAACTGATATTCTGGAAATCTTGACAAAATTTCCAGTAATTTGACACTTAAATCATGAAATTTTGTCAAAAATTAAAGCGAGGGTGAGCGTTTAAAAATGGGATGATTTAAGGTTTTTTTTATATTTCCAATAAAAAAACACCAAAACTCGACATTTTGTTACCTCGCCCTCACCTTAATTTTGGATCAATTTTAATGATTAAAGTGTCAAATTACTGGAAATTTTGTCAAGATTTCCAGAATATCAGTTATATTTCCTTTAGGCGGATAGGATTCGCCCCATTTCGCATACTAATTTACATGTATTTCTTATGGAAGGAGTATTTTAATAAGATATCAATTAAATAAGTTATAACTCGTAATCTGTTGAACCAAAATAAACACATTATATACTTTTCTTGTAGAAAATTTAATCTTCTTCAATATTATAATTTACTAAAGTATACAAAAAGTTGATAGTTTTCGAGATATAATCAAAAAACCCAAAATGCGAACCTTTCTCCCCCCCCTTTTTCCCCCCTCCACCCCCTGGCTTACCACCTAGGAGTCAGGACTTTTGGTATGTTAACACCCTAAGCCCCCTGAACAAGTTTCTGAAGGAATCGCTTAGTTACCTGCTCACGCACTCTACACCTCATTCCTTGACTGGACTACAACTGTTTCCTAATTTCTTTTATTTATCATATGACTTTGTTTACACTAATTTGTTTTGTTTTGTTTCACTGAAAAAGCTAACTTACAATAATAATTTGGTACAGAATAAAAATATGTATTAAAACATAAATCAACTTTCTTTTCATAGTACACAGCGGATGGCGACGAGGAACTTTATTTTTGAACCCTTTGATGATAATGAAGAGACATGGAACAGTTACCTAGAAAGACTAGAAATAGTGTTTGTATTCAACAATATTTCTGAGGAAAACAAGACAATAACACTGTTGCATGTTATTGGAAAGAAAACTTATGGAACACTTAGAGATTTGTTACAACCTAAATTGCTTACGGAGTTTTCATATAAAGAATTAACCCCCAAACGAAGTACCTAGCAGAAGCTTTCAAATTCCACAATAGACGTCAACAGGAAGGTGAAGACATACAGCACTTTGCAACGGAATTGAAAGGATTGTCAAGATACTGCAACTTTGGCAACTTTCTCAACACAGAATTACGAAATCAGTTCATACAAGGATTGAGAAATGAAGTGATTCAAGCCAAATTGATCAGCGAATCGGTCTCAACTACAGTATGGACAAAGCACTGGAGCTAGCTGTAAAGGGATATACAAAACTCAAAAACTAACTGAAGCTATTGACCATTTGCCTCGCCCTTCAAACATACATGAAGTCAGACACGTCTTTTGTCTGATTAATTACTACAGAAGGTTCATTCCAAACATAAGTGAGAAATTATATCCTCTTATAAATCTCACAGAGTCATCTACAAAATTCTTTTGGTCTGAGGACTGTGAAAGAACATTCCAAAACATTAAAGAGGAAATGAAATCAGACATATTTCTTACTCATTTTGGTCCCAACTTACCACTCATCTTAGCTACAGATGCAAGCCAGCATGGCATCTCAGCCGTTCTTTCACATGTTTATCCGGATGGGTCTGAAAGACCTATTGCAATGGCATCACAAACATTAAACTCCTCGGAAATGAAGTACAGTGTCATAATGAAAGAAGCATTAGCCATCTACTTTGCTGTAAAACGTGTTTATTACTTCCTGTATGGCCATCACTTTACTCTTTTCACCAACCACAAACCATTGACATATAAATTTGGTGAGAAAAAAAGGTATACCAATTCTAGCAGCCACTAGATTATAAAATTATGCTGTTTTCCTCCAAAGCCTTTAATTTCGACATCAAATACAAATCTACTGATGAAAATGCCAACGCAGATGCCTTATCCCGTTTACCTTCAAATAACCAAATAGACAACGTTGATGTTTTTGAAATACAATAACTCCAAACCCTTCCCGTTTCAAGCAAACTAATATCAGAAGAAACTCAAAAAGATCAGGAACTGTCAGACATCTATGAAGCTCTTAATGAAGGAAAGCTTAAACCATTCAAGTGAGTTCAGAGACACTGAATCAGAATGGAGCTATCAAATGGGGTGCTTATTTAAAGGACATAGAGTTGTAATACCAAAATTATTAAGAAACAAAATTCTTCAAGAACTTCATGAAGCACATATAGGTATGGTTCGGATGAAAGCTTTAACTCGCTCCTATGTCTGGTGGAAAAATATTGACCCTGATATCGAAACATTGGTTCGAAATTGCAAAAATTGTCAAGAACATCGTAATGATCCAACCAAAGTACCTGTAAATCCATGGTCTGCTCCTGAAAAACCTTTGGAGAGAATTCACGTTGACTTCGCTGGACCATTTATGAACAGCTACTTTTTAATTATTGTGGATGCGTACAGTAAATGGCCAGAAGTTATTCCAATGAATTCTACAACTGCAAACTTTCTTCAGCAATTTGGCATTCCACATATCTTGGTTTCAGACAACGGTCCACAATATACTTCTCAAGAATTTAAAAACTTCTTACAACTGAATGGCATATGCCATAAACGTTCTGCTCCATATCATCCGGCTACCAATGGGCAGGTCAAAAGGTATGTTCAGACCTTAAAACAATCCCTTAGGTCTATGAAAGATGAACCTGGTACCCTGAACCAAAAGGTTGCCAGATTTCTCATGGTATATAGGAGAACACCTCATGCAACTACAGGGTTAACACCTGCTCATCTTTTCATCGGCAGACCGTTGAGGTGAAGGCTTGATTTGACACTTCTTAACTCTTCAAATACTTGCACAATCTTTTAGAATCCACAGAACGCCACAAAAGTGGAGATTTGGAAGGATTCTACAAAAACTGGGCACGTGCCACTATAATATTGAATCTGGAAATTCCACGTCTATTAAGACACCTATGTGGAGACACATTTATCAAATAAGATCGGTCGGTTCAAATTCAAGCGGTGAGAAGGACGACAGAGACTACTTTATTAATATCAAACTTCCTCTAGGGCCTACAATTCAAGATTAAGAACTTCAGGGAGCAAATGATCATGTGATCAACAACCATACTGAAGATGAAGGTCGCTTTAACCAACCTCTAGCTCCTCTACCAAACAGTCAAGCCTCAAACCCTGCTTTAAGAAGAAGCTCAAGGAAAAAACAACCGGTTACAAGAATGAATATGTGATTCTAAAACTTAGGGGAGAGGTGCTGTGTTCAACCAACTGTTTCCTAATTTCTTTTATTTATCATACTAGCAACAGTGCCCGTTGTGGTTAAATACAACGGTCTCTAGTAAAATAATGGTTATGAAATCCATACACAACTTTACTCACTAATATTAATGGTACAGATTAAGCACATAACATTAGATAATTATATTATGCATACTGGTAAACCAATTATTGCCATCTATAACAATTATTAGTTTTTCTTTTCCGAGTCGGGTTAGCTCTTTTACCCAACCGATTTTCATTATTTTGGCCTTAAACTAAAGGTATGGACGTACCACAGATTTTCCATAAAGCATCGGCATTCATTTTGACGTATATTTTGAAAGAATTTAAATTTTATTATTTTAATTTTTCACTTTAATTAAAGTTGTATTCCAGCAGTTCTATATGTTACCCCTATATGTTTTGGTTTAAAAACCTTTAGTGAAATACCAGCTTTCATTTGAGCTATTGATTATTAAGATCGGACTACCTAAAACACACTGCTGAATCACAAATCAACAATAATTACAATCGTTTTAGTACTTATCTGCAATCAATGATACGTAACTCTATTTTTATTTGAGTTATTTTAATATGTCTTGGTCTTAAAATACTTCATAGGCTTTCACTTGAGATATTGATAGTTTTAAACAGTTAAGTTTAAGATACTGTATCGCTCAATCAGAAAATATAAATTTGATTATATCTTGGATATGGAATTTAGTTTTAGATATATTTACTTAATTCTAATTACGTTATTCTATTTGTTTTGACCTAAGAACCTTCTGTGAAATACCAGCATCCATTTGATTTATAGATTATTAAAATCGGACGTACCTAAAGCACACAGCTAAATGACGTACAACACAAATTGTTCAAAAAATGTAGTTATTTATCATTGATTTATAGTCAAACGATCTTGCTTGCAACCTCAACAGTAACTGTCGACTATGACGGGTTTAACCTAGTAAATCTTTTAAAAAATCAAACTTTTATGATTATTTGCAAATCTACACAAATTAGGCTTTCCAATGACCTATTATTTAATTAAATCGGTTCAGTAGAACTGTAGATTTAATTGTACAAAGTTTAACAACAACATCTCTAATTCAGTATTTTCTCACCACTATAAATTGGGAGGTTGTTTAACGTTTTTGCAAATAACTTTGAAACGGTGAGGAAATCGACCAAAGTGGAAGGTGATATTCTGAAAGAGAATAAAATTTCCTACAAATTACTAATATGTGTTTTTGAAAATACTCAATAAAGGCAGCCTAAAGTTGGCTACAAATATAAACTTGGAAATATAGACTTGGAAAAAATGAGTTTTAAATGTATTATTGTTTATTTTTATTTTTTCACCTCAAATATCTAATAAAATCAAACTTTCATAATTATTTGCAAATCTACACAAATTAGGCTTTCCAACGACCCATTAAGTAACAAAATTGGTCCGGTAGAAGTCTAGATTTAGTTGTACAAAGCTTAACAAAAATATATCTAATTCAGTATTTTCTCACTACTATAAATTTGGAGATCACTTAGATTATTGCCAATAACTTTTAAATGGTGAGGAAATCGACCAACGTGGATGGGATATTCTGAAAGAGAATAAAATTTACTACAAACAACTATTATGCATTTCTTGTAAATGCTTAATAAAGGCAGCCAAAAGCTGGCTACAAATAGAAACTTGAAAACAGAAACTTGAAAAAGCAGTTTTTAATGTATTTTTGTTAATTTTACTTTTTTACCACAAAGATATAATAAAATCACACTTTCATAATTATTTGCAAATCTACATGAGTTGGGCTTTCCAATGACCCATTAATTAACAAAATCGGTCCAGTAGAAGTCTAGATTTAGTTGTACAAAGTTTAACAAAAATATCCCTAACTCAGTATTTTCTCTTTACTATAAATTCGGAGGTTGCCTAGCTTTTTTGCAAATAACTTTTAAATGGTGAGGAAATCGACTAAAGTGGAAGGTGATATTCTGAAAGAGAATAAAATTTCCTACAAATTGATACCATACACTTCTTGGAAACACTCAAAAAAGGCCGCAAAAAGTCGCACCCAATTAAAAAGTGTGAAAAACACCGTTTTCAATGTATTTCTTATGGAAAACATGTTTTTTTAAAGATTTTCACCATAAATCATAACAAAAACAAACTTTCATAATTATTTGCAAATCTACACGACTTGAGCTTTCCAACGACCCATTATTTAATAAAATCGGTCCAGTATAACTCTAGATTTAGTTGTACAAAGATTTTCAAAACTGAATTATATATAGAATAGATGGAAACTTTCATAATTATTTGCAAATCTACACGACTTGAGCTTTCCAACGACCCATTATTTAATAAAATCGGTCCAGTATAACTCTAGATTTAGTTGTACAAAGATTTTCAAAACTGAATTATATATAGAATAGATGACTTTGTTTACATTAATTTGTTTTGTTTTGTTTCACTGAAAAGCTAACTTACAATAATTTGGTAAAGAATAAAAATATGTATTAAAACATAGGCTAAATCAACTTTCTTTTCATAGTACATAGCACGTTGAAAGATTCAATAGGCCTCTAGGCTAATTAAAAACGGTTCTTACTTTAAAAATTACCCTCGTATATAATATGATGTACTTATCAGTAATTGAATAGGCCTTGAATACTCACTTGAACTTTGTCCTCCTTTTGACCTCCTTTTCCCATAGCCACATAATTACCACATTTTAAACAGCTCCTTGGATGGTTTGATGTGTCACAGTTGTCTTTGTATACTTTCCAAGCTTTTTCATAATTTCTATCAACAGCTTCAAGATAATCACCCAGTAGATGACAAACTGAAAATATCCAAATTAGTTTTGAGGTTTAATAGGGGTTGAGTTAAGACAAAGCAATCAGCAGCATATGAAACCAAATGAAGATTAAAACTATATTGGCTATGGTGCAACTACTTTGGCCTATTGGCTATGGTCTATAGGCCTACTTCATAAGTTCTTAATAAAGATAAAAGGACAGTATGGTGTACATGCTACAAATATGCTGGTTTGGTTAAACAGGTCCTTACTTATCTGGCCACTACTCAGAAGCCAATTATGAAACACATTTCTCATAGCTTACAGCTGTGTGCTAGTACTAGTCTCTGTGACTCACCCAGTCAATTCAAGATGGTGGCTAAACATTTAAAAAGGCTTTCACCTGAGGAAATTCATTAGAGACGAACAACATAAGGTAAAGGACCTTGGGATCCACACCAACTTAATTAATTGGTCACTTAATTAATTTGGCAAGCTTGCGCATTTTTGATATCGTTATTTCATTGTGTTTCACCCACTATTTCAATTGTGCAAAACAGTCTGGAAGTTGCATAAATTAATGAGTCGGTTCATTTTAACCTAACTTTTAACTTACCTAATCTAACCTCACTTCGAAGGACTTAATACAGTCACGAATCCGCATAAAACCCGACCTACCTTCCTCACATGCCTAAATAAGAACTGATTATTTGGTTTCAAAAATCAAAACGAATTGATTTGATTTCATTCCACATTAGATCAAGTATAAACAGTTGTTTGCTCTTCTCACTCAGTCCTCCTCACTCCTCACTCAGAACGGACCCGTCCAGTCCAGACCACGCCATATTACCATTACCTTCAATACCGCTCAATTATCCTTAGATTCGTAATCCTAACCTTCGTTTTACGGCCACTACGGCAATTTAGGAATCTCTCTGACAAAAACTGATTGCATTTTTGGATTCAGCGTTAAAAATATTGTAAGTAGACATATAAAAATTACATCATATCCCAATGTAAATACAGTAAATATTTGCCGTTATATTAATTGTTATAGTTACTGTTGCTTAAGTATTTTTGTGATCTTTTAGAAACTAACATGTCAACATAATGTATTTGCTGTAAAATGGTGTTACTGTTGAGAGGAAATAAATAAATAAATAAAACTAATTTGTTTCCAATGATTGTGTGCTTGTTGTGCACTTAATATATCAGAGCTTGCAGTGGGTGGAGCAAAAATAATTTTAAACTATTGTTTAGAAGTTAAAATGGCACGTGAAAAAGACTAATTTAGGCCTACAGATTTTCTAAAAGATTTTGTAAATAGGTATTTAAAGAAACAATTACAAAGTTTCAGTTCAGCCAGTGGATTGGTACATTGGTATTATCCGGAGGCCACCCTTATACAGCACGCTGCGGCAGTTATGTTAGGTTGGATTATCATAAATGGAAATAACATACTTTAATTAACTTACTGGCAAAATTTGACATGATTACGATTAGTGGCCTTTGAGTTCTGCCTCCCAGAAGGCAGCAATGTCGGCGAGTGTTATTGAGTTGAATGCGTCGCCACCTGTAGCTGCCACACTAGTGATGGGATAACCGAATGGTTTCCATGACCGAATAATCAATCAGTTATTTTTTGCGTCAACCGGTTATTTTTAGTTGAATGAATCACCAAATCAATTTTAGTCATTATTCACTGTCACAAAACACAACTAATTTTTATCTTATGGGAAACTGAATGGCATTTAGTCTTTTAGCATCAATCGGTGATTTTTAGTCGAACAAATCGCCGAATAAATTTTAGTTTCCTGATGATGTGACAAACTAAATCACCGAATCGCTCGGTAAGACTAATTTAACCGAACCAGGATAAAATAACCAAATTAGTCTATTCAGCATTAATAACCGATTGATTCGGTTATTTTCATTCGGTGATTCCCACCACTATGCCACACTAATAACCACTAATTCCACCATACAGGCAACGCGTAATTATGATGATGCGCTCGCTCCACGGTCAATGACCTCACCTTGGCCTACTTGGATGGGATGTGGTGAGCGAAAGTATCTGAGCATCTGGTATTGTTTGATTCATAATGAAACGAGGAAAGTTCTACAAACATATTTATGATAACCCAAACTAACTTAACCGCCGCAGCGCACTGCATTACAAAATGTCGGAACTTCAAACATAAATCCAACAAAGATGTGTCATTAAATAGGCTAGCAAAAGATTGTTCATATCGGTACTTTCCTGTTAAAGGGACATTCATTATTATCAATGTTTTTTTTTCTTTACGATACATTACAAATTGACAGCTGATATTTAGGCTAAAATATAGTCTATTATATGGAAAGAAATGAATCTGTTCTAAGCTAACCTAACATAACCAACCAAACTTGCTGTACCATTTAAAAATTCTGTTTGATAACAGAAAAGGCAAGTGGAGAATATTGAATGGAGTTTTTAAATGTTACAGCAAGTTTGGTTAGTTTTTTTAGGTTAGTTTAGAACAGTTTTATTTAAATATTTTTTTTTAATTTTTGTTTGTGGATTCTGAACAATATTTATTTATCTTAGTTGTCAGCTGATATGTTTCAATATGTTAATATCGATATATCATCGATAATAATGAATGTCCCCTTTAACAGGGAAGTAGGCCTACCTTTATATCTGTATGGACACTATACATTTGAGTAAACTTACTTTGATCCCAACTTAAAGAAACAATTAATTGTCAGGGCAACAATTACCTGGCTTTGGGCTGGTTGGTCAAAACTGTATAATAAATCATCTACTCTGGGAGTTACATAACTTTGGGCTAGAAAATTTAGAATTATTAGTCAACTATGCCTTAGGACTATAACGGAAGTTGTTAATCAAGGTATGATCTCACAGTTTGGTCCCGAATTAGTTAGTAATTTACCAGTCTATATTAGAAAAATAGTTAGGTAGCCTAGCTCAACTTAATTTAGGAAAGTCTTACCTTCCGTCTTCTTTTCTTTAAAACATCCAAATCTATACTCTATTCCAAGATTTTTTACATATTCCTTGGCTTCTTCCTCAGATTTGAAATTTACACTCATAATTCACTAAAGACAATAAATACTCAAAACTAAGAGTTAGTAGTGAGTGACTTTTTAAAAGTTTCTGCAGTGCAGTGCTGAAGATCCGAGATTTGATTTGATTATTCGAAGCCGTCTGCTGGAAATTGCGACCGATTGCGTGAGCACCTTGCCTTGCCGAATACACAAACAGCTGATGGATCCATGATGGATATAGCAAACTGTTAACTGAAAAAAGAAAAACAAGGTCTCTGATCTTTGGTCACATACTGTAAATAAATAAATAAACGGTGTCAGCATTCTGACATGTACTTTCTCCCATAAGTTTGTCAACAACCTTTATCATGTGTAAGCGGTGAGAGTAAATATACGGAAATGGGATTTGTACAATTTTCTTCAGAATTTAAAGGACATAGGCTACTAAATTTTTATCAAAATCGTTCGAGCCAATTTTTGAAAAATCCGATTTTCCGTTATTTTATGGGTTTTTATGGGAAAATAACATAATTCACGATAACTTTTGAACCGTAATTTTTAAAGAAATGGGATTCGTACCATTTTGTTCAGAATATAAAGGACTATAACATACTAAATTTTTATCAAAATTGTTCGGGCCATTTTTGGGAAAATCCTATTTTTCCGTTATTGTATGGAGTTTTATGGGAAAATCCCCATTAAAAATAAAAAATTCTAAAAAATGAAAAAAAACTATCAAAATTGTATGGACCATAACATACTATGTTAAATCAAAACCGGATTTACTGATTAGCCTAAATAAAGTTCAGACATTATTTAGGTCATATTTACTTGTTGTTAACCCTCTTTCCTCATGTCCGTTTAGTCTTGTGTTGGTTAGTCTATGGTTTAGTTAATTGAAAGAAATCTTGTAGTGCCTTACTCAGATACATCTTGTTTTGAGGACGCAATGATATAGTATGCAAAAGGGGATATTAATTTCAGTTTGCATTTTATATAGCGTCTAATAAAATTCACTCTTCTGAAGAAGTGCATATTTAATCTTTGATACTCAGTAACTTAAAAGGCCTGGTTATAAAATTTGCGTTGGTAGATTTGGCATTACTGAAACTATAAAATAATAATTTTGTTTTGGTATTGGAGTTATCACTGCTACAACACTGCCGTAGACTTATGTCGTCTGCAGAAATTGTGTCTACTGCTAGTCACTAGTCAAACCTAAAAAGTCATAACAAAAGAATTCGATCATATCAACCATGGGATTTGTAACCGTACTAGCCGTAGCTTATTTTATAAATTCAAATTTGTAGTGTTAATAGAGTGAACATAATAGCCTGTTTAAAAAAATTTACCATCTTACTAGATTTATTAACTTTTGTTTTAGGCATGTTGTTTAATAAGTTACATAAGTCAGGATACTTAGGTTATCAGTGGGTTCATTTGAAAGTTAACATATTTAATAGTTTTTCATTATGTTTCGGGATATATGCTCAGCTAAATCTAGCTCGAGAAATATGCTCTTCTAAGGTGAGAGTTAATTTTAATAACCATAGTAACAAATAAATCAAAATTTTAGACTAAGATTGTTTACTAATAAAAGGTTTAATACCTGTAGTACTTGCCCATGATCCTGTGTTTTACAATCAAACACATTACTCGAGGTGCATGAGATGGGCTACAATCTTGTAGCCCATCCCCCAAGGGTTGTTGTCGACATAATGACACATTTGCTTCCAGCACCTGACCTACTCTAGTTGATGACACCGCGTAGAGATCATGCATAGCGGCCTTTTGCTCTGCAGATCTGGCATTAGCTTCAGGCTGGTTTCTGGCTCGCTGCCCTGCTCATCGAAGCCTAAGGCATATTCTCCGGGGTTCCGCCATCTCGGGTGTCCACCAGTAAGCGGGTGTCCACGGGCTTCGTGACGGACGGAAATCCTGGGCATGGAACGGTCACACACCGAAGAAATAAGACACAATATCAACGAGGCACAAAATTCGGCACTTCCAATTTACTCGATCGTTTAATTTTCAATGCAACCTTGAAAAGTTGCCTGGCAAAGAAGACCGAGATTCCAATGTCAAGACGGACACCCTGAGTTGGCATAGGAGTGCCTGCACTCGATTGCAGAGTAATCCTCAGAGACTCTCCAGTCTGTGATCCGGTGGGCTAGGGCTTCGGATGCCAGGGATCTCCATACTCCAGCGACGGAGGGTGGAAACGTTAAGGATATGGAGACCTAGCCTGGCTGCCATCTGTAAAACATTCCGCCCCCAAGTGTTTGTTTGGGGTCCAGACCCTTTCCACCACCCTAGCGTTGAAATCTCCGCAAACAATCACCTCACCCTCTATGTTCAGGATCTCGTCCTGTAGAGAGTCGACTATCTGGCAGTACTCTGCAATGGGCTGGTTGGGTGTGAGGTAACAGGAGAAAAAAATTAGACCTCTACTCCGCATCCATATGAAACCGTTGCCCGCGCCGGAAATCAAGATCAGTACCTTCCTGGGATCAAGGACCCAGATAGCCGCTGTGCTGGAATTATCAGGGAACAATTGGGGAGAGCGACGGTCTTGATACTGCTCACTCAGTAGCAATTTCGCCTTGTTCAGTTGCAAAGTGGTACAGCAGACTGTCAGCTGTTTTGCCCCTTTGCATGTTAAGCTGAAGGGAACGGATAATTTCTTTGTGGATTGGCGGACTTTCTGCAGTGCTTGCTTACACTCACCACAACGGCTTCATCCCGCAGCATGCCACTGTACTTGTAGCACATCTAATGTCTGGACCTTTGCAGCGATTGGCTATGTAGCCGAAACCCAGGCATTTGAAGCACCTTGAGGCTACGAGCTTCTCATGGACCTAACATCTCATCCAACCAACCTTAAGGTGTCTAGCTAGGAGTTTTTCCCCTTTTCTAGCTCCCAACGTCAGTATTACCATTTTCTGCCCTCGAGCATTAGTTTTCGAGACGAAGGTCTTCATCTCAGCGGATTCGCTGAGGACAGACTTGGCTGCAGTGGACACCTCTTCCTCGGTCATGAGTTCGTCGAGGCCCTTCACTTCCAACGTCAACTTTGGCTCTATAACTCGGACTGAGGCGTTTGCATCAAGTATCGATTGCAAGTCGGCAACGAAATCTGGCTTTGTTCCATAGGAATGGTCAAGCTGTATTAGGAGGTCACCACTGGTGACTCACCAGCTATGGTTTTCCTGAGTGATTTTATGACAGCTCCCTATTATACACCATAGTTAAAGAAAAATCCAGAAAAAATTCCAAGTACAATTTGGTATTCAATCAGGTTCTTACCATCAATTTTAGTCTTCTAAAATACCATTCATGCTGACTAAAAAAACTCATGCTGATTCATTTCCAGAAATTAATTTTCAAATTTTTTTATGTACTTAGCCTATCATCCACAGGATGATCCTACGCACAAATAACTCTAATTTACACTAAAACTTGTTTTAAATATTTTTACTTTTATCAAGCCACTTTTACTTGTTAAGTTTTCAAAATATTCTTACATTGCCATGTTTTTGTTTCAGAACTTAACCAATCAAATCAATAATCATCACTCTGGGAGGGTTAGAAGGGTAGACTTTGTTCCCAAACACCAGCCTGTAACTAGAGATCAACTTTCTATCATCGACAACTTCTTCACAAGGAACCGAAGAATTCTAGTGATAACCGGTGCTGGCGTGTCGACAGAAAGCGGCATTCCCGACTACCGCTCAGAAGGAGTCGGTCTTTTTGCCCGAAGCAGCACAAAACCTGTCCAGTATCAAGAGTTTCTTAAGTATCCCAATGTTAGGAAGCGATATTGGGCAAGGAATTTTGTTGGCTGGCCAAACTTTTCCTCAGTTGAACCTAATAACAATCATATAATATTGAAAAAATTAGAAGATGTTGAAAAAGTGCAGAGAATAATAACCCAAAATGTAGATAACTTACATGGCAAAGCTGGAAGTACTGAAGTGATCGAACTGCATGGGACAGCTTTTAAAGTAATATGTTTGAGTTGTGATTATTCTATAGATAGGCACAATTTTCAACAGGTTTTGTCGGACAGTAATCAGGAAATAGTAATAGCCCCACAATCAATCAGGCCGGATGGAGACATTGAACTTCCCCAAGTAAGAGAGGTTTCATGTTTAATTCACTATCATACTCTTTCTTAATTACTATATTTTCCACAGTTTGTTTTACCTGAGCTTAGCATTGGGAATTCACCATAGTATATCTTGGATGATGGGCTCAAACTCAATGGTACAGGTACGACTGTTCCACTGGATGTGTGAAGTGTGGGACATAGTTAGATTATAGCTTAGAATTGGATAGATTTACAGTATTGACATGACAGTATTCCATGAAAAAAATTAAATAGTACAGTGTATTTTGTTGAACATAAGTTCATACATAGGTTTGTTTTTTGGCTATACTATTGATCATAGAAACAATGCCAAATCTTTGTACTTTGATTGAGATGGACGGTATTTAAAGGGCTATTGTATGACAATTTGGGTAAAGCTGCTGATAAGGACCTAAATGATCCCTTAAAATTAGTAGGCTGGTCGTTTTAGAAAACCACAACTGTTCACTTAGGTTTCAAAAAGTAGTTCATAAATATTACAGCAAGCATAGTTTCACATGTAGTTTAAAATGGTTAAAATAGGCTACTAACCAGTAACTACTTAGGCAATGTAATAACATATTTATCAACCCTTGGCATGTTTTTCAGGAATTTGTGGAAGATTTCAAAACACCATCTTGTCCTAAATGCGGAGGGATTTTGAAACCAGATATAATATTTTTTGGAGACAATGTTCCGAAAAATAGAGTCGACGAAATCAACAATGAGGTGGACAAATGTGACGCAATTTTAGTCTTGGGATCTTCTCTCTCTACATATTCTGGCTATAGGATAATATTACGTGCAAAAGAACAAGACAAGGAAATAGGGGTGATCAACATTGGTCCTACAAGAGCAGACGAACAAGCCGAGTTTAGGATAAGTGCTAAGTGCAGTGATATTCTACTACAATATGTGACAATAAGTGGAATATTAAACAACAAATAAAGGCTTTAACAATTTATTTATAATAAATAAAAGCTACATTTCCTGTAGATATATTATTAACATCCTTCATTAATCATATTTTAATGCTAATATTTACAGTAAAATAGTCAGAAAGGAAATCATCAATTAAGAAAATGGAATGAAGTCTTCATTGATGTTTAGGTTAACTTTAAGGTTGACGGTTAAAAAACATGTCATGCACTTCAAAATAAAACTATGAGTATAAAGGTTTGCACAGCAAGTAAATAATTTGTACAAAAAACATCCATAGTGATTTTTCACTTAAAAAATCAAAGTGGTCTAAAATAAATTAGTTTAAACATATTATTTTTAAAGTTGTCTGCTTTTAAAAAGTTGTATTTGAAAGATTTTAATCACAAAATAAATAAACAGTAAACATTTTTAATTGAAGATTTATGAATAGTTTTTTACACTAAATTAAACACTTAAAATTAAAAATACAGTACAAAGTCTTTTTTATAGTGATCCTAGAGAGAACTAAAATAATCACAATCTAACTACTGTATGCCAACAACTAATATCAATAACTGATAATCTCATAGAAAAAAACCGGTTAGAATAATTCAAAATATATTCAGTCTAAACTTAGTGTATGGGGCTGGGGCTTGCTTATTTTTAACATCCATTTTTAACAATTAAGAATAATTAAAAATACTGTACTAGATATGGAGTACATGGAAGGTTGAACAAAAAGCAAAACTATAATAATCCTTGACCCTACCTTTGATAAAATCTAATATTATTTTATTTCAAAACCATTAGATATAAAACAGTAAAATACCCATACCCGCAGTCTTCAAATTATAACTCCACTAGGTTGTGAACAGTCATTTTTTTTATTATTATTTATCTAACCACATTTGTAAATGCAAAGCAAAATAATACTAACAAATCAACAATTTTTTTTAAATGTACACACTGATGGAAAACAAAAATATTGTTTAACCTAACATCAATTGTCATGGCCAATTTCAAAATATAGCACCTCTTAAATTAGAAGAAATGGAAACTATTTGTACTTCCAAATACAATTCTGTCATTATCCTTTTGGGTGGCCAACTCACACTTATAATCCAGTTCTTGCAAACAAGAACTTAACATTTGAAAGTATGATTATTGATCAACTATTGACATGACTTCCCGATTTATTTATTTTTTTTATTTAGGTACGTAACGATGTTTATAGATATAAATAAAAAGTACCGAGGTATTTAGTTTATATCAGATTGGTGTACACCAATCTTTTACCGAAAACGACCACATATCGTTCCAGATTCTGTCTGTAGAATCATTACAGGGAACAATTGCTTAGTTCTTTCATCTTGTCGGTGTCTCGGCTTTGTTCTCTGTGATCTCATCGACGTTCAGATGAGCGATGAACCGAAGCCTCATCTGCAGTGCTGGCCGAAGTCTTCTGATGATTCCCTCTATGTCGGCTCTCATCAGGTCACCAACAAACATGTACTTAATATGGTATCTGTTGTTGTGTTAAGGAAATAGTCTTAATTTTTTTTTTATATTCACTAGGGTTTTTGAAAGAAAGATACAATTATTTATATTTTTGTGCTGCAAGTGTAAATATTGATGGGCTTTAAGGCTATTTGGGCCTGGGCTTAATGGAACTCTGACGATGAACTCAGTAGTTCTTCAAGTCGCCGTCTATGCCATAACTGACAGTCACTATTAGCAAGGTGATTAGAGTGATGTAGTGCAGGCCGGACTATTCAACTGCTGAAGGCGATTTCCAAACATAAAGCAAATTGCTGTTACCCTCAGGAAATGACATATTTTAATAAACTAAACTAAATTGAGTCTTAGAATTTTTAATTTTTTTAAGTATTAGCATATTACAGTATTTCAAATTCCGGGATGTAGTTACAATAATCTTGGGCAAAATGTATAACAAATTATTGTAAATTTCTATTTTGTCAGGTCTGTGGCTTTGCCCCTAGGTTTGTACCAACAGTTTAAATCATTACCGTTTTAAACCGCGTAAGTCTCTCATTATTTGTCAGATTACCTAATCCAAAGAGGATCAAATCTTAAAAATTAATTTGATGACCAAACAACCTAAATATTTAGAAAAGAACTTCGGATAGGCAACCAACATTGATAGTCTATTAGATGATTGTTACCAGCTTCTGAGCAGATTAAATATTCAAGCAATGTTCTTATTTTACATCTTTCAACGCTATTGGCTTTTGTGATTTTTTTTATAACCCTGGTATTGTTATTATCTAACATAAATCTTTTGTTAAATAATTGCCCAATGACAAATTGCATCTGGGGCAAAAACGTTTTCCTCTTGGGATCAAACCAGCAAATTTTAATTTAAAAAAAAGCACTATCATAACCACTATGCTAATCAGACAATTAAATTAAAATTTGTTTGGTTTTTAGCAGGTAATAGACACATTGGCTATAGGGGGAGTTCCAGACCTCCCAGTAAGTTTGCGGCAGAAAATTCAAGAATCAATGCCCCCATTAACAAATTACCTCCTTCCTTCCTGCCTTACTAACCTTTGACTATCAATACAACCAATGCTTTAACCCATATATACTCATAAAATATCTGAATCATATAATGTGACATGATAATAAACGCAAAAATATTTGATCTATTACAAAAAATATATTGTTAATCCAAAGTATTTTCTTTGAAAATATCTGTAAAAAATGTACAGCTGATGACTTCGACTCCAGCTGATACTTCCTCTCATTTATAAAAAGAAATATTCTTTAGCCCCGCAATACATGTACTGAAAACAGTCATTTTCACAGCAGTTAAGCAAAAACAATATTCTAGGTATATACAATTTAGGGAACTAAAACAGATCCTTGAGGAGCTCTGTAAAGGATACAGCAAGTCGCATATGGAGTCAATATACTGCAGGTGAGCTACATTTTTGTCCACCTGGTCCAACAAGTGGTACAGGGTGGCTGTGATCTCCACGATGGACCGAGGCCGCTCTGTGTTGAGCCGCTGCAGGAACGGACCGACAAGATGGCACAAGAACAGAAACTGCTCCTCCGTCCTGATGGCTGCTGATAGCTTCTCCTTCACAAACCTGCCAATCAAGCATAGTGAACAACTGGAATATTTGTAACTATTAACTGTAGTTCAAATAATCTAGAATTTGAGACAACTTTTAGCTCCCTCAGATATGGTAATTAGAATCATTAGAAATCATGGTACACCCAGGATGTATGTTAAAACACACAGAAGGAAGGTACAGAGGAAACACTCTATGGTATAATTGAGTGGTGTCCAGCACTAAGACTGGTCTAGGGCAAAGTCCAAAGTCTAACCCCAGGGTGGAGGAAAAACCTGTGCTTCCCAATCGGGCTCTTCCTTGCTTGTCAAAAGTACATTACTGGCACAACATACTAGATCTGAAAGCGCACAGTCGTCCCATGCGAGTTTGCTCTGCACCTTCCTGGTCTGTGGTTACAAGAAGTACTGTCAGTTATTTATAGTTTTTACTTTTTATGATCAGTATATTTTTAACTGTATTTTGAGTCGTCAACAACTTTTTGTCAGGGATAGTTCCACAGATTATATCTAAAACACTAGACAGAAGAACTGAATTAAACCTACTGGCCATAGATTAACACTGTTTGAGGCATTTAGCACACACTTAGGCATTTAGATTTGAGGCACTGTTTGAGGTGGTTAGTGAGTCAGTGGCTCAGACGGTAGTGTTGCGGACTTTGGGCCCAAGGCAGCGATGTCGTGCGTTCGGATCCTGGTCACTGCCACTAAAATTTATCAGTACAGTTCACCTTTGTACTGTACCGGCTCACTCCTTGCTTTGCTGAAAACGATCCACGCACAGGCGCTTAGTCTATGTGGGCGGGCAAATGCAAAGTTAAAAGAGGCCGCCAACCTCTTTAAAAAAAAAAAAAAAATACCTCAGTGGATTGAAGCAAAAATGACTGTGTCGCAATATTATTTTATTCTATGAACTCAACTTGAGCTTGGCTCTATATAAAAAGTCTTAGGTTAGCACACATCTAATTAAGAATTATTTTATACAACACAATATGTGGACTTACTGAGGTACGGTGGCGATCTGGCCGATGCCAGCGTGGTGCCACATGGCATGTGCCGTCGCCAGAGTGTAGGAGAACTTATTCTCCAGCAAACAGTTGTGTGTCATGTCAAAGTTGAACATCTGGAAGGGGGAGTTTGAGTAGGGCCAGTTGGTCAATTCTGGGCTCGATATCACCTGCAGCAAATTATTATTAATGAAGGTGTGGTAAATTGGTCATGAACTGGGATGGGTCACTTCTCATTCTTAAAAACTCAAAATCTTTGACACCAGTGGTATTTAAGTATTGATAATTTAAATACTTTGTAACAGATTTCAATATTGATTCCAGAACCTGCAGTCGCGGCAATATCGGGATCATGTCACGCATTTGTTGTGACATTATGATCATCTGTTATCATGATGTTGTCTTCAGTTAAATGATTGCAACATTTAACTCAAGTAACATTTTAATGTTTCTTAAAGTCTCTTTACATTTAATAAGTTACCTCTTGATTTTGAAAAAAATATAAATTGAATTTTGATCTTATTAAAATTTAAATGCTAAAAGAGGGAGGAATATGAAACTTGATACTATATTTCAGGAATCAGTCAGCAAACAACAGTAGAGTTCAGTAGACAAATTATTCAGTTACAATTTTTAGCATTACGGTTCAACATTTGTAAAGCAAACATCTATTAAAATGTACCTTAGCAAAAAAATTAAACAGCTCACCTGTAAAAGTCGATCGTGCAGTGTCAGCCAATAGGAGTCAGGAAGGGCAGCCATCAGCAAACCAACAGAGTTGATCCATAGTTGGATCTGAGATGAGGGTATAACTGTGTACCTAACAAGATTAACTCTTTTATGCCTAGGAAATTGTATAACAATGATGAAATATATCAATGACTTTCAGCCAACACCCAGAGATGATCCAAGTTGTACAAAACATCCAGCACTTGCGTAATTTACTTGTGTTAATTTGCCTTCAACGACTTAACCAATTATTTTTCCTTTACATAACCAAGGCCTATGAGTTTAAGTCCAGTTTTTCTTGCGCTATTACGACTGGGCAATCAAACAGAAAGAGTATTGAATGGGGAATCGTCTATTTCACATTCCTTAGCAAAAAGTTGTTTAGCTCCATGAGTTTTCTGGCTAGCTGAATGAAAATCGACATTTAAAAACTGAACACTCTTGATATTTTGCTCTTGTTAGCTAGGTACACCGATCAGAGTATTTTAGACGATGAGACCGACTCACCCTTTAGCAATGACGTCCAGTAGACAAGTGCCCACAGTGGCCGGTGTGACTGGCACTGCCATCAGCTCGACACAGGTCATGTAGAGAGCGTGAGCCGCTGGGTTGGGGAACTCGTTGAAGCGCCAGTCTGTCGCCGGGAAACTAGCCGTCCCTGCCATGGTGTCTACGATCCGACGGACCAACTGTGCCACAATATCACACATTATACACTAGTCACTCTTGAAGTGAGACTACTATGAGACCGGAAGTTGTGAAAATTGTATTGCTAGACAATTCAAGTAAAAACCAAGTTAGAGAAGAGCATTCTCCTTAAACTATAGCTAATACTGTTAAGTAACTGTACATGTTTATGCAGCAAGCGTTACAAAGGTATCTGCTTAAGTCTGCAAAACCAATTTACTGTGAATTGGACACAGTTTAGGTTTAGACTATGTTACCCATAGATTAGTTAAAGCTCATTTGACACGGACTTGATTGGTTTAGGTGAATGTGGCTACTAGGATAATATCAAATCTGTTAAAATGGCTTTTGAAGCTTTGTTATGAGCAAGTTGATTTAGCGATTCTTAGTGTCAAGGGTACTCATCTTTTTTGACCTCGGGATTATATTAACAAGTTTTACACACGTTATTTCTAAGGATCAACCATACATATACACACACAATAGTTTGGGTATGGTGCACTTATGATGTTTGTCTACCGTCATTGGTATGGGACAATCTTATTTAATCACTCCTTTTTAGTGATAGGTACTTAACATCAAATGTTGGTCCCACCGATTTTTAGGAAAAGTACCAGGACAGAGAATTGATGATGAAATGTCGGTACCGATACCTTCGATCCCAAAATTGATTTTGTTTAGGAACCGATACCGGTACCGACATTGAAATAGTGGTAGCGACCCATCACTACTCCTTTTTATTACAAAACTCCCCCCCTCCCCACCACACAACACTCATCACTACCTCAAGATGTAATATAATATGTATATTAACCCAACAACATACAATATCCTTGGTTTGAAGTTCATTTTTGGCGATGGACAACCAAACCGCGATGTTTTTGTTATTTGACTAAACATTTTGTATCAGTAAAAAACTAAGTTTTCACAAAGCATTGATCGAAAATCTAATACCGCCCTCAGGTGATAATGTACCAAAAGCATGACAAGATTAGTTCACAAACCGAGCCAAAGCTTGGAAATCACAAGAGAAAAACTTTGCAAATTCCTAAACTCCAAACATCTTGAAAACTTGTTTTCATGCTAATAATAGGGGGAAATGTTGTTAATGCCATTGAATTTCTTACGATCGCTTTGATTTGATACACAGTAATCCAACCTGAATGTAGTAGTCGAGGTGGGGTTCCCATGAGAGTCCTGGGTCGGCCATGTAAGCTGTGTATGGGTCACTGAGACCCCACCCAGGCGCTCTGATGTCCTTGAGAGACCCGAGCACAGCTGACACTAGCCGTCGCTTGAGTGCCGGCCGCTCCCGCAAGTTGTGCTCGTAATAGTGCAGCGTGTTGTACAGATACGTCACTGGCCTATCTGTCGAATGAGAGAAACCTTTCAACTCTATAATTTTGATTTTTGGTTGAGACTGAATTGTTATTTTTGTTTTAAAATAAACAATAAACATGTTTGATTAAATTTCAAGAATCTTTGGCTGTAAAGAACTCTTGGTGAAATACCTAGTTTATTTGTTATAATGGAGAAATTCTTTGAATTTTAGAAATCAACAATTTCAAAAACTTTTGATGACTAACGAAACTTAAATAAGTTTTTAATCCACCCTGACATTTCTTTTTGTTTTAATGCAAATAGTACACCTCCATTAATGCTTCCGATTTTGGTGGATGAAAAAAATTAACTTGTTTGTTGCAACTATTATATTTTCTAGTTCCTGGTCGAAATCTGTAACTTTAACTCTTTCAATTTAAATTAGTGACAAGAGTGGTCCTATAGCAAAATCGGTGCCCAGTAGACACACTGAATGAGTAATCAATGATAGTTACCATGGAATTTGTAAAGGCATCCCAGGTGATCCAACAGTATTTCCAAAGACTTAGACACAGGGGGTAGCTCAAGGTAGCGGTGGATCATTATATCACAGACCTTTAACACAACAAAACAAAGGAATAAAAAAGTTATTTAAGAAATTTTAAAAAATAAATTTATTTTGTGATTTCATCAACCCTGCGGCTTGAAAAGATGAATAGCAAATTCTTGAGCAAATTCATAATCATCATAATATCATTCCTATCTAAATTGATAAAACTAGTGATTGATGCATTAGAGTAGTCCAAAATGCGTTACCAAAAGTTCTCCTAAAAGATTGTTTAATTTAAATATCAATATCGACATAAGTACAAAAAAATTGAAAATGGCCAGCACATTCCAAGATAAACTAGAAACTATTATACTTCTTCTTTTCATAGTTTATTTAAAGAAAAAATATACAATATCACAATACCTTAGCATTAACAGACTAGAATAAAACCAGGGGTAACAAGCGGGGAGTGATTCCAAAAGAAGAAAAGAGTAAAGTCTGAATAAAGGATGAAATATTGGACTTGGAAAAATTATAAACACCAGAAGAAATTGATTAAAGAAAATTATAACAAAAATAAGAAATACCGTTGTCACAGCAAACCTGTAGACTTAGCAAATTTAAATTTGTCCGATTGGATTTTTACTAAAATATTTCAAATAATAAGTTATATTTATTATGTATTTAAATAAGATTACATTAAAGGAGTATTAACATTTTCTGCTACGGGAAAAAGAAAAGGTTTTTTTTTATCAAATCGCTATAAACAAGTTAGTCTTTTGGATGGTTTGCCAATTAAAAATACACCTCTAGAGTCTTGATATATCCAACAAACAAATTATAATCTCACTTTTAGTACCAAGAATAAAACATTCATGGTACAGCTCAATTTATTCAACATTTTGCTAAATTTAAAATTAGTACTACGAATATTCAAAGGCAAGTGCTCTTAAGTTAATAAATTAAATTTGTGTTACAGATTATGATGATCTATCTGAAGGTAAGACTCACAGGTAGAAACCTGAGACAGACGTTGCCGAAGTACACAGGTAGAGACTGGTACGGGGAAGAAGCTCCTCCGGTCTGTTCCAGAACACCTTCCGGAGCAAACTTCTCTGGATACTTACGATGGAACGCCAGGTGCTTCTCATGCCTGCAAAGTTGAACACAATAAATCATGACCAGATTGAATATAAATATGTGAATTATAAATTATTTATTACACTGTTAAACTGAATACAAATTAAGAATTATTTTTGGAGATGAATTTAGTTTCTATTTTATGACATCTGATGCAGCGTATAGTAGGCTCTACAAACTGTTTTATATAAGGCTAAAGTTACATGCGTTGAAAATAAAATTGTATTGTATTGTAGATGATATTATTATGATAATGTTGGTGAAACTAGACACAAACTAGTTTCTAGTTGCATGCTCATTAGATACATATGATTAACAAAATAACTGCAGAGGCAGTGAAAAAATAACCATTGTCTTTGGATAATGAAGTAAACATTCACTATAATAAGATTACAAAGAGCACCTTTCTGCCTTTCTGGTATGAAATTGTATAGTTATAGATTATTTTTAAACGTAATGTTTTTTGTACTAAATCGCAAGCGTTTTTAATTTTTGAAAAAAAAGACAATAAATCTACCGACTTTTCACCTTCCCTCCACCCCTCTCACAAATGTGACACAAAAAATAATGAAACTTTTACATTGGGTAGTTTTGTTTCAAATACACTTTACTACTGAGTTTGTTTTTAGCTCTGACAAAGCAGACCTGGATAATTTGGTCCAAACATTATTTTATTTACCAGTTTGATTGTTTCCAATGTTCAGGAGAGTTTTCCTTCACAAATTCTTGCACTCTACTGCGGAACTCTGCAGCTTTCAACAACAACAGCTGAATGATAAAGAAGCAAACTTGGGCTTCATTGCCTTCTTGAGTTCTTAGTACCTAGAATACAATAAAATTGTATTATTAATACATGGGGATGGGGTATGGAAATGGGGTCAATTCTTGGTTCAGGTGCCACTTTTCATCGAGCAATAAATAAGTGGTTCTATCTAGCTACATGTGCAATTCATACAAACTAAATTTATGAAATCAATTAAATAAACAACATTTTGTTAGGTAGATGAGTTTTTAACTAAGTTTTTAACTTTTAGTAAGACTAACCAGACACAGCACTAGTCTGTCTATGGTGATGATGTTGTATTTCCACACCATGCTGTTGATCGCGTCCACACACTTGTTGACCACCTGACCCTCTCCTGTGGCCACAAACTCAAACACTATGTAGTCACAGAAGTTACGCAGGTGGCTTGACAACGCCCGAGCTCCTATCCTCTCTAGGATTCTGGAATCAGTTTTGTCCAGTTCAGTATTGTTTCCACAAAAATGAGTTGAATACAAAAATGAGTACGGTCAGTCAAATACTAACCATTTACTAGTGATTCAATAGAACTGACAATTGTCTTGGTAGCTGAGTTATAAGAAATTTTAATGGTGTGAAAAAACACCAAACAATTAATTTACAAATTTCTCAGAAACTGATAGAAGAGTGTGTCCCCAGGGTGAAACTTTTAGAGTGAAGGTTGAGCAGCATTTTTAAAACTACCCATTTTCCAAACCTATTAGTTTTTATGTACCTTCAAAAAATGTAAAAATAATACCCTGACCGTTAAAAATTGCCTTTGAATAAAATCATGCACAAAAAAAAACACAGATAATAATTTATTTGTTTGAGCACTAACTTGTAGGCAATCGGGCTGATTCTATCTGTCTCCATGATCATCTTCCACAAGAGACATAGAAACAAAGACGGAGTGCCTGGAACGGAGAAGTGTGCAATGATGTCGTTCTCATTGTTCATGGAAGCCCAGTTGCGATATTCTTCCTCCACAGCTTTCTGTAAAGATCAATCACAATTGGATAGTTGAAGGAGCAGTCAGATATCTCTTAGATAAAAGCACTGACTATTGGATACAGAAGTATATTATTGGATACATTATTATTATTTTTTTTTTAAATAATTTGTAATTTAGATTAGCGCAGTCTGTCAGTGGCTGCTTCGAAAGAAAAAATAGAAGAAAATCATAGTTAAATTGACAATAAAGTTTAGAGGACTGCAATATTAAAGGAAGAAAAAAGAATTAAACTTATATTGGATATAAGATTACCTTGAGCTGTTGCTTGTTGGCCTTGGGCACACTGTTTTGTTGGAAGAACTCATTGAGCACCGGAGGAAAGCTCTGCAATGTGTGATTGGCCCAGTTGTGTGGAGTGTTCTGCATGATGGTGTTCAACAGCTCCTTACACCAGCTGCCGGACAACGGGTCGGATCCTGTCCCTGTCACGTGCATTGACCTGGCAATCGTCAACACCTGCCATATAACAAACACACCACCTGCTAGTAACGTATATTTTACATTCTTGTTTCATCATAACGGTTTTAAATGATTGTCCATACAACAAAATTTTGTTTAATTTGAGTACAGTAAGAATGTCTCATATAAATGTGTTCAAAAAGACAACATTTTTTCTCCTTGTATTTAAAGACTCCACTACCTGCTTCGTTTTATATTTGTGAATATCACCGTTATTGTCAGGTATTACTAGGACACTACCATTGTTTTCAGGGATTATCGAGATACCTTTAGTGTTGTTATTAATCCTCTTAATAATGCACTTGTGACTTGTTTTGTGATAGTTACACATTGAAATAAATATTCGCCACCTTGCTATCAAGCTATACAATGTCTGGCTGTCTAAACGTTTAAATGTCCCACATACGTTTTGGGAGGGGATTTAAACATTATTTATTGGTGAAGCGTTTTATAGTGTCCATGATTTTGAAATAAGATATTTATTTCAAAATGTCCGCTTTTTTTGTCCATGCATGTCTCATATTATAGTAAGTAATTTTATTTGACTCAATTTAATGATTAAACTATGTTTTATGGCAAAAAAAAGGATTACTTGATTTGAGCATATTTAATTTTTAAAGGCTTGAAACCGAAGTTCAAAAATAGCAATGCCACCAAATACTCTGTATGTTTGAAGATGCAAAATGATTTACTCACCAAAGCCCTGTTGAGCTCTTCACTCTCAGCGGACACCAGAGTCTTAGGTTCTCCCAGGAACCTAGACAGTTGTGGCTGTACCTCGGCACTGCCTAGACCTGTGATGAGCCTCAGTGCTGTGCTCTCCACACAGAGATGTAACTGTGTCTGATTGGTCTGCGGGACGGCGGCCAAGTTGTGTAGGTGTGACAACAGCTGGACCCTGTAGTGAGGCTGTATGTGGTGCATGCGGTAACTGAACATCTCCAGCAGAGTGTACAGGATACCCCACGCATGAGACTTGAACACCTGGGGCAGTAACTGACCTGTACATGACATTCAGTTACATAGGCTGCAATACAACAGCTGGACCCTGTAGTGAGGCTGTATGTGGTGCATGCTGTAACTGAACATCTCCAGCAGAGTGTACAGGATACCCCACGCATGAGACTTGAACACCTGGGGCAGTAACTGACCTGTACATGACATTCAGTTATATAGGCTGCAATACAACAGCTGGACCCTGTAGTGAGGCTGTATGTGGTGCATGCTGTAACTGAACATCTCCAGCAGAGTGTACAGGATACCCCACGCATGAGACTTGAACACCTGGGGCAGTAACTGACCTGTACATGACATTCAGTTATATAGGCTGCAATACAACAGCTGGACCCTGTAGTGAGGCTGTATGTGGTGCATGCTGTAACTGAACATCTCCAGCAGAGTGTACAGGATACCCCACGCGTGAGACTTGAACACCTGGGGCAGTAACTGACCTGTACATGACATTCAGTTATATAGGCTGCAATACAACAGCTGGACCCTGTAGTGAGGCTGTATGTGGTGCATGCTGTAACTGAACATCTCCAGCAGAGTGTACAGGATACCCCACGCATGAGACTTGAACACCTGGGGCAGTAACTGACCTGTACATGACATTCAGTTACATAGGCTGCAATACAACAGCTGGACCCTGTAGTGAGGCTGTATGTGGTGCATGCTGTAACTGAACATCTCCAGCAGAGTGTACAGGATACCCCACGCATGAGACTTGAACACCTGGGGCAGTAACTGACCTGTACATGACATTCAGTTATATAGGCTGCAATACAACAGCTGGACCCTGTAGTGAGGCTGTATGTGGTGCATGCTGTAACTGAACATCTCCAGCAGAGTGTACAGGATACCCCACGCGTGAGACTTGAACACCTGGGGCAGTAACTGACCTGTACATGACATTCAGTTACATAGGCTGCAATACAACAGCTGGACCCTGTAGTGAGGCTGTATGTGGTGCATGCTGTAACTGAACATCTCCAGCAGAGTGTACAGGATACCCCACGCGTGAGACTTGAACACCTGGGGCAGTAACTGACCTGTACATGACATAGGCTGCAATAATTAGCATGAAATTTAAACCTGAAGAATGTAAGCTCTTGACAAGTCTCCAACTAGTTCAGACAGTTCACACTATAGTTAATCAGCCCACACTCTTGCCTTTTACCTCAATGGACGTAATTCCAACACCCACCAACTTTTAAAGCTATTTCAATCATTCAGCATACTGAGATTCTATTTAACTAAGAAATCCAACCAATTGTTCCGTTGCACAAATAATCTGTTTTTCAATTCAATTGTCAGAAACACAACTAACAACTAGTATTAGTGCATAAAGTATCACCTTAAGAAAAATAAAACTTGACTCACTGATAAACCCCTTGATTCCCAGACTCTCTATCTCAGTGTACACCAGGAGTCTACTGTAGGTCTCCACGAGTGCCGGCGCCAGACTGAGCGCCATGTTGGACTTGGCTTGCGCCAGTTTGATCACATGTGTGACTATAGCATGTATCAGGCTCATCTTAGAGTGCACGGTCAGAGAGTCCAAGATGGACATGGACAAGGGTGTCGTAGGTCCTGAAACATTTTCATTACCCTTGAGAAATATTACAAAAATAAATTTTAAGCGCAATAAATAATGTTGATTTTTACAACACACATGGTGGAAATAAAGTACTTTTTTATGTTAAATTTTTTTAGGGATATAAATCTGCCTTTGGGCACTTGCATACACTCCCTCTTATCCAGACTCCTCGGGACTGAGGCCAGTCCGGATAATGGGTTTTCCGGTTAAGCCGACGTCCCCAAAAACGTTAAAACGGACTATTTACTGTGATATTCGACTTAAATTTAGAAGAGCATTGTATTTAGACATGTGATCACTGGTCTCAATAATTCCCACGAGAACAGTCGTTTCAGTACCGCCCACATCCTGCCGATCTAGTCTGGTTAAACCAATGTGCTGATAACAATATTCCGGTTAAGGAGATGTAATTTCCGTCGAGTTTAGTCCGGTTAAACCGATGTCCGGTTAAAAGGTGTCTGGATAAGAGGGAGTTTACTGTAAGACTAATTTTCTTAGATAAACCAGCTAAACTTTTTCAATAAAAAAAAACCTTTGTACTCAACCGCTAGACTTTTCTTGATGAAAGATACTTTAAAGAAATGTTTAATTTCACAAATTCAGGTTTCTCACTACAGGTTTTCAGAAGAAAAATTTCAGGACATTTACAGGACAAAATATTGGTTTTCTCCCTGGGACCCAGGGTATTCATAGGAGAAACATAATTGTTTTGAACTTAAAACTATGATAAAACAACTGAAAATCACACTAATTAAGGTTATACAAATTTCACAACTGAAAAAGGTCACCAACAATGAATTAAAAAGCTCAGCCAATTGACCAGACGATCTACCACACAACCAATACCTTTGTACTAAACTTTTTCTTACAGTAGTTCTGGATACACAAGTTTAGAATTGGCATTTACTTTGATTTTTACACATGTTGCAAGCATTTAATTGAGCTTCAAATGGAGAAATAGAAGCCGAAGCCTATTTTGTAAGCCATCCAAAGACGGGGAACTCAATATTCTACTCAATTACCATTAGCTAAAGCCGCGTTGTTGAGCAATGGAGGCACAGGAGTCTGCTGGGGACCCTTCTGATTACCGAGGATGGTGTCCACCAATGCTTGCATGGGTCTGTTGAAGTACTCGGTGTTGGTGGAGTAGGCGTTGCACAGCAGAGCTATGCGGTAGTCGGAGCCCATGCAAAGGTTGGCGTTGTTGGGCAGCACTAGGTGTTGAAGATAGCTATAAAGTGCAAACATTAACAAGTAAAAATACTTGAAAATGTAACTACTCTTGTACAAATTTGAACAATGACCGATGTACAGTGTCCCTAAGGAATGAAGTCACTGAACCTATCATCAAGGAACAATAAACAGGGAATAACATGCAGGATACGGAGAAAAGTAACAAATAAAACCTTGGATATCAGAAGATTTGGGATTGGCTGAAAGATAAGCTCAAGAAAACACGAAGAGAGGTGAGCTCTCTGGCTGCTCTAATTACGGAAAATAAGCCTAGTCAACATCACACTGTTCCTCATGGTACTCAACAATGTTTTCTTGGTTTTATCCCTCCACATATGCATGGTGAATTGTTGACATCAGCTACCTGTAGTGGGTACAACAGCCGGAGCAATCTGGTCTAGTGATAGAGTGCGGAACGTTCTTTGTCTCTGGGGTCCAATGTTCAAATCCCACCAATCAAAAACGGAATTTACCTAAGTGATAATGCCGCAACCCCTAGGTCTAGTTTGAAGGAATATAAAAAATGATCCCTGGGCAGAGCCTAGTGCCCTAGGAAGAAAAAAAAAGTGGGAATGACTGTAAAATCTACTCACTCATGGTGGACCTTGAGTGTGTGAGGGATGGGTCGCTGTATGTTGACCTGGTCTGTCTGTGCCTTCTTCAGCAAGTGTATCCAGATACAGGTGATTGCCATCTGGTGTGTGCACAGAGGCTTGTTGACATCAGGTACTTGTAGAGGCTCTTTCTCTGGGTACAGTAAATCGTACAGCTTCAACATCGGCAAAAAGTTGCTTAGCTGCAAAATACAAATGTATTATAATCAATAGTATATCAAAAGAAAATTGACACTTACTGAAAGACAAATTAGTCTAGAGACACTACACTAGGCAGGGAATGCCATTAGAAAGAGGAGAAGATCCCACCAAAGCCAGATAGGTACAGCATCCATCACTAAAATTTTGTCCACTCGCCAGAAGTATATGAAAGGAAGTAATTTGTAAGTCTTCCACACTCTCTAGGAAACTGCATCCAATTCCAGCGAGTTCAACTCATACTATCATAATCTAGTGACATGTCTAGGTAATGGAACATATAAACAAGAATATTAAAAATCTCAAAGAGTATGGCCAAACTGAGTAGCTCTATTAGCATATGAAGAGACAATAAGGAATAAGGTGTCGGGAAATCAACTCACAATGGATAGCATAAGTTCTTACTGTAGCAATGAACCTACTGTAACGACTTTTTACAAGCCCTTTGAGGATCTCTGTCAGCCATCTAAGGAAAATGTATGATGATTTTGCAATCCAGCTATGCACAAAGGAACTTTTGGCATTCAATAACTATCAATACATCAAAATATTGGGTATAAAGGACATAAACATGTTCTTTAGCTAGTACAGAGTTGTCTGTAGATTAGGGTCTCTGAAGTATTGTTGCAAGGGGAGGAGCTAGTTAATAACGTAATAGCAAGAGCGATGACTTTCTCTTAACAGATACTATGACAAGAATGAGCGTTGCATAGTATTGGGAATTGACCAGAATAGTTGCATGGGAAGCAAAGTTACAGTGCTGTTATATTAACGTGTTATCAGTAGGGATGGACGGGATTGAATTTTTAGTTCGGGACGGGACGGGACGGGATTTTTATTTCCTTCCCGATTTTCGGGACGGGACGGGACGGGATTTTTTTCTGTGCATAAAAAGAAAGTACTGTATTGCAGTTACCAAAAAAAGACATACAAAATCAATTTTTACCATTTGTGGCACTGATCTATAAAAACCAAAAAATGGGTAACAATTTACAGGTACCTATAGTAACTTGTGACTCGCAGGTCACGGGGTGATCGTCTGTATGACTCATGGTCACGGCGAGATCGTCGTCATGACTCGCGATCACGGCGCGATCGTCGGTATGACTCGCGGTCACGACGCGATCGTCGTCATGACTCGCGGTCACGACATGATCGTCGGTATGACTCGCGAACACGGCTCGATCGTCAGCATGACTCCGCGGTCACGGCGCGATCGTCGTCATGACTCGCGGTCACGGCGCGATCGTCGGTATGACTCGCGGTCACAGAGCGATCGTCGGTATGACTCGCGGTCACGGCGCGATCGTCGGTATGACTCCGCGGTCACGGGGTTATCGTCGGTATGACTCGCGGTCACGGCGCGATCGTCGGTATGACTCGCGATCACGGCTCGATCGTCAGCATGACTCCGCGGTCACGGCGCGATCGTCGTCATGACTCGCGGTCACGGCATGATCGTCGGTATGACTTGCGGTCACGGCGCGATCGTCGGTATGACTCGCGATCACGGCTCGATCGTCAGCATGACTCCGCGGTCACGGCGCGATCGTTGTCATGACTCGCGGTCACGGTGCGATCGTCGGTATGACTCGCGGTCACGGCGCGATCGTCGGTAGGACTCCGCGGTCACGGCGCGATCGTCGGTATGACTTCGTCTCCTGCGTTCGCGGACCTATCGCTCGCAATAACGGCGTTATCGGCACTCGCGAAGCGGAAAAATCGCCGACGATCGGACCAAATCCCGTCCCGAAAAATTCCCGAGTCAAATGTAATCCCGTCCCGATAATCGGGAATATTTTTTTCCCGAAAAATTCCCGAAATTTCGGGACCCGTCCATCCCTAGTTATCAGGTTTAAGCTAGCTTGCTCCATTGCAGTGGGAGCTTGTTGGAAACCTTATTTGAAGCCTCATAAAATTATAGATGAATCAAATAGTCTGATACTGGATAAAATATTCATACTTACAGGATTCCTTTGTATACTGCCTGAGATGAACTGTAGTAACACCCACATAAGATGGTCTCTGCCTTTTCTCAAATCCCTTCCAGCCAGCTGTAACAAGTAAACAGTCATGTAACATTTACGATAGCCATAGGAAAGCTATTTAGAACAAATAGTTTGTTTTCTTCATTAAAATGTATTGATTTAAAATCACTTATTGATGAAATAGTACCAACCTAGAGGAAATAGCTTAAATAAACCATTGCCCCTGTAAAAATCACTTCCAAACAGACGACAAAGTTCACTTCAACGTTAAGCGTTAAGTCTGACACATTAAAAACCCACCTTGTTGTGCAGGGCCATGACGATGTTGGGGAACGTAGCGAACTGGAAGAGTACAAAGTAGATCAGCTGACTGGACAGATGCAGCCACAAACAATGAGTGGTGGTGATCTCCTCTGAATCTGAGATGGAATTGTCGTTCTCACTTCGTTCCATCGCCAGAATCACCAACTCTACTAACTGTTCCTCCAGTGCCACACATCTCTGTTTGTGCTGCAACAATTGAACATGTAATTGTTACAAGTGTTATAAATGACGTATTGAAAAAAAAAACTGCTACAGAACTTAGTGATTAACAATGATAACAACCCCGGGAATGAAGAAGAATGTTTTAATTTACTAGGTTCTAAAGCTGGTAACAAATCTTTAAGTTCTAAACCAAAATGCCTAAAGGAAGAGGTAAGACCAAACCTCTGTACAGCAGATATTTTTAACCTTTAACTTGTAACTATAGTAAGTAATCTTGTGCTTCAACTAAACCTTAATAGAAATACTTCAGGCAAGATGTAAGCTGATGGCAATGTAAGATGATTAAAGAACAACTTTCTATCAATTCTTGAAAACTTCAAACCATAAATAAACCTGTAATTTGATTATTTGTTTTAAAATATTAAACTATAAGTTACCATAAAAAAAATAATAATTAAAAATTATTTCTAAGATTTTGAGGAAAATACTGATTGTAAATCAAACGTAAGATATATTTTTCAGATGTTCTTTGTGCTCATATGTTTCAAAATACAAGATAAATTATGAATAAGACAGCAAACATGAGCGTAAACTTAAGCCTCAATAAATCAACGAATTAAGCCACACTTCTTTTATCCTTCAAAACTAGACTTAATAATGGTCCTGGATAAATATCATTATTAAAGGCTTCATCAGTTATTATCACATCCATCACTTATCATTGCCTTATATCCCCCCCCCCCTAGTATGTTGACATCATATAAATCTAACCTGTTTCTGCAGACCCAGCATAGAGCACACCATATCTCTGGAGTAAGGTTGTTCAAGAACATATCGCAACAGTTTTGTCTGAGGTTCCAGAAGAGCCTTCTCATATGGTAGATTTCCTTTCAGAGAAAACTTGAGCGTCGTCGGATCCAACTTCCACGGGTTTATCACATGATCAGCGTACCCAGAATGTTCGACTACTGGGCGCATCGAGGAATGGCCGATAATAGAAACCATCTGAGCAGTATCTCGGAAACCATCCACAAAATTAGAAAGCAGGTTGGCTAGTTTCTGAAAAGTGAAATTAAACTCATACATATTTCAAACACCACTAAAATCTAAAAATAACTTCATCACTTTTTGGAGTTTGATGAGTGGATTTTAAATTTTGTATTTGGTACCGATAAACATTTTTTTCTAAATGTATTTTGCTTTATAATCCATGTAAAATGTACACTCAATGTAACAGTGTTCATTTGTATTAAATGTTATATTTGTGAATTGACGACGACCATGTGTTCAAATAATCTTAAGTAAGACGACAAGAGGCTTAAAAACGAAACAACTGTTTCGAAACTAGTCGCCTGAGAATAAACTACGATTGACGACGTAAGAAACGTAAACCTATTTTTATTTTATATTGTCATTGATCAATATAATGTGGCTCACATCAACTATGATGATGATTTAAAAACTGGTGACAACATTAACATGGAGATGGAATGTCTAGTTGTATCAAAAGTCAAAGGTGCAAGTTTCAATTTACCCAATGTGGCCAGTTTTTACCCTCAGGGTAGACCTTCTGGATCTCGTTGGCGATAAAATATCCAGGCAAGAGGCAAGCGTTGCGATCAAATATATACTCCAACACCACTTCCAGAGCCTTCATCTGAGGCATGGCTGATCCGTTGAGTTGTGAAGGTAACGTCTGTGCTTTTTCACGACATCCCTATAAAAGAAGAGTGTTGATAAGATGTACAATCATTTAAAAGTTCATTGGAAATACTCATTAGTTTGTATGAAAGTACTGTACAAGAATACTAATTAAATCGTATTTCTATTTTTACCGTACATATAGTCTATCTACGGAAACTTCCAGGACCATTGTAGTATTATGGTGATAAAAAAAAGAAGTAGGCCTAAGATTTTAGAGTATGCAAGCCTGAGACATTTCATTGTGCCAAACAGCCAAGCATTGTTATACATGGCAGATTGCTAGGCCTACTTGCCATATACTTGTATAAAGGCTATATGGTAGAAGTGTCCCTATAGTGTCACAGTTACGATAGCTAACTAGAAATTTCCTCCTTAAAACACCACCTGTGACTTCTCAAGATGGACTTTGCACATTGGAAGAAATATTAATTTATAAAATCTCAATATAATCACAAAATATTTTTAAACTTGGCTAATAGATTTTTTTTTAGTATGTTGTCTTGTTTAATAAGTTTTCTAAAAGTATGCAAAACTTCTGATAAATAAACAATAATCCCAGATCACATTTTTCCATCCTTTTGCTTTAAACAATTTTTGGAATGCAATCAATGAACAAAATTGTTTTTTAACTGGACAAACTTTTTGAATTATGAGCACTTATTACCTTCATTATTTCTCGAACACCCTTGTAGTCCACCCCTCCGATAATCTTGCGTATGAGATGAAAACATTCAACCCAAAAATCAGCTTCTTGGTACTGGAGCTTTTCATGAGTTAGTATACATTCACAAACCATTCTGAAATATCAAAATATATATGTTATCCTACATATGATACACAATCAGACATTAGCTTAAACCTTTGACCATTACTTGTGATGTGTCAGATGTGTGTAACCCTTTTGATTGTATAAGCGTATATAGTACAGTATGGTGATATGTGATTGTATGAGGTGATAAGAAGGCCTAAGGCCGGCCACACACAGAACCGGGCGGGGCGGGGCGCGACAGGGCATTTTGCCCCGGGGCGTCTTGTGCGATGGGAATTGCACAGGCTCTTATGGAGCACCACACACAGGACCGGGCGAGGCAGGGCACGTCAAAAAGACGCCCCTGGGCGCCCGCAGGGCAAAATGTGAAGCTCTCCAAAATTATGCCCCGAGGCAAGTCGATGCCGGGCAGAACTTTCTGCGCATGCGCGGTCATGTGATTTATTCCCTTTCGGGCAAATTTTGATAAGGGTTATTTTGCAACCGATAAAATTTACGTATAAGACTGTACAGTAACAATTTATACACACCCTTTGATACGATTATACAAGTTGTAGTGAAGTAGTGATATTACTACAGTGGTTGAATAAATAATGATTTATCTTGGTATTGATAACTGAGGAAATAGAGGGCCAACGTTCATATCTAAAGGGTTTCAAAAAACACTCTTCTGGAGGTATGGCTGTTTGAATTTTGTTTTCTATTCTGCTCCCAAGTATAAAGTCCAATTTAAAAGTTTGCTAAATCGGCTCAAGGCTCAGAAATCAAAAATCCTATATTAATTTTCAGGTTTATAGGGGCTAAACTTTTTACTTGACGCCTCATTCTGTGTGTGACAGCAGCAGGACAGGGCAAATCAGGCGTCTCGTCGTGCCCTGTCGCGCCCCGCCCCGCCTGGTTCTGTGTGTGGCCGGCCTAACACTTCTTAATGTCAGTACCTGTAAATAAATCCTCAGTTCTCAGTCTTTAAAATACAATGCAAATATTATTTATTTTGCCGGGATCTTGTATTCTTTTATAGGTAAAAAAATTTTGGTTACGACAACGAATTAGACTTCGTGATCCATGGAGGAATTTTTTTATTGTATTAAGAATTGAGAGCACTGTTTTAGTGTAACACCTGTTGGATTGTAGTAAATTTCTAACGTGACATCAAAATGCCAACATGCTGTTCTGTTGGCTGTTATAATTCTTCTTATTACAAGACAAAAGAAGGAATATTATATCAAAGTTAAGCTTAGTTATAACTGGAATTCCATACAGGCCAAGCAGTTTAGGCTATTAGGTCTATGTATCGTAATCATAACTGTATATGCCTAGACAATTATTCACACACCAATAGAAAAGGGTAGTTTTTTACTTATTATAAATACAGGGTGTTTTTAACGCCTGACACCAGTCGCCAGTACGACGTTTATAGCGTAACAGAAGGCACAGAATGTAATCTGTAGTTCGCAGAGTTTGTATCTATTGCTAAATTAAACTAAATTTAAATCTATTTGATGATAAAGAAACTTAAAGCTGGTTTAATGAGTTTCGTGGAACCGAAGCGTTTTGAAAAGACATTCACCTGGCCGGCTAAAAACAAGCGATGACATATGGTCGAAGAAATCCGACAATTCTGCATCAGAAGCCCGAAAGAATCGATTGCCCGACGAAGTCTTCAGTTTAACAGACCTAAATTGGTCACTTTATGATGTTATCTATAAAAGATAACAAAAAAAAAAGTTATGATTACGATACATAGACCTAATAGCCTAAACTGCTTGGCCTGTATGGAATTCCAGTTATAACTAAGCTTAACTTTGATATAATATTCCTTCTTTTGTCTTGTACTGTAATAAGAGTTTTTGTGCCGAAAAAGATTCAGTTAAAACATCAGATAAACGGGATCGCCCTAAGCGTAAGGACTTTGCCAGTTTTACGCTCATTGATGGAAATCTGAATTTTATTAAATCATTCTGAATTGTATAAAAAAATGAGAAAAACTTTATTCGTTTCCCTTCAATTTGACGTTTAAATCGTTTAATTATCTTGAATAGTCCCCGACCAACGACCGTTTGAAATCTTGGCATTCTTTTAAAAACACCCTGTAGTTTTTAAAACTACAGAACTGAACTTCTGTATAGGCCTTAGAAGTCTATTAGGCCTACGTATGGTAATCGTATATCTTACTAATATTATAAATGTGAAAGTTTGTGTGTTTGTTTGTTTGAAGTTTAATCATGCATTAACTACTGGACAGATAGGGCTGAAATTTGGCATGATGATAGCTCACATTTCCGATTTACATATGCATATTCTTATCTCAAAAATCCTTTCGGGCTCCGCCGCAGTGGCTCTGTAGTTTCCCATGTTAACCTTATGAGTATTCATATTTAAAGAGAATTAAAGAATTTAGTCAGCTGTTTCAACTAAAAAAGTTGGTTCTATGACGCAAAAGCATTAAAAAGTTATAAGATTTGCCCACAGGGTGCAGCACTATACAGGGTGGTAAAAAGTCCCTGGACAGTTAAATATTTTAAAAAATAATGCAGATAGAGCTACAATACTTGGTACAAAGTTACAGGGTATAAAACTCTATTTTAACACATATTCAGTGATCCAATAACTCTTCAGGGGGACGGCCCACAAGGAGTCGGAAGAAAATCTTAAATGGAAGCATAGGTCAATATGCACATCAAATTAAAGGTCTTTTTTAGTAGAATACAATGCCGCAAACCGCACTTCAAAATGTTGATCCTGCGAAAAATGACAGTTGTTCAAAGATTTGTTTAATTTACATTGCTATTATACGCTTAAGCCCCGTTCACACGGGGCGAGTTTACAAGCTACACGCCGGCTTTTTTACACGCAGCTAGTAAAATAGCTCAGTGTGAACGACGTACTCGCTCAAAAGCTGCTTGTAAAAAAGCTCTGGAAAAAGTTGACGGTGCCGCTACTTTACACGCCAACTCGCCAGCTTTTGCGCGAGTAGGCGTGTAAAGTAGCCCAGTGTGAACACAGTTGCTTGTGCTTGTGCGCTTGTTACTCAAAGATGTTGGAGAATTTGGTTCAAGCCAGCTACTGAGCGAGTGGAAAAAGCATCGTGTGAACGACTACAAGCGCACTCGCCGACTCGCCGGCGTCTTTCTACACGCCGGCGAGTTGGCTAGTGGACAAGCTCCGTGTGAACGAATACAAGCACACTCGCCAACTCGCCGGCTTCTTACACGCTGGCGAGTAGCGTGTAAACTCGCCCCGTGTGAACGAGGCTTTACTCCTCAGGGGGCACAGCCCTAGGAATCGGAAGAAAATTGTTAACGTAAGCATAGATCGATATGCACATCAAATTGAAGGTCTTCACTAGTAGATTACGATGCCGTAAATTCAAGATCAAAAGAATGCCTGAGTAAAAAATGGCAGTCGTTCAAAGATTCAAAATGGCGGATTCAAGAAATCTTTGAACATCTGCCATTTTGCGCAGGATCAACCTTTTGAAGTGTGGTTTGCGGCATTGTATTCTACTAAAAAAGACCTTTAATTTGATGTGCATATTGACCTATGCTTCCATTTAAGATTTTCTTCCGACTCCTTGTGGGCCGTCCCCCTGAAGAGTTATTGGATCACTGAATATGTGTTAAAATAGAGTTTTATACCCTGTAACTTTGTACCAAGTATTGTAGCTCTATCTGCATTATTTTTTTAAATATTTAACTGTCCAGGGACTTTTTTACCACCCTGTATTTTTTTTGCATTTATTAAAACAGATAATTTGAACTAAGCAGCAACAAAAAACTGTGATACACAATGAGAACTAACTGTCAAAGTAGGATTATTTACAGTTATGTTTATGTTTTAATTTCATAAATAATTTAGTGATATTTTGTGAATCTTTGATAATTCATTTTACCTAACCAGCCATGTTAAACTTCCCTATCCCAAGCATGATGTGTACTACTTCTTTACTTCTGGAGTGATATTAAGTTGAAAAAACTCACTCGGTGAGGTAATGAAACCCATTTAAATAACATTGAGTGCTTAACTTAAAAAATATACCTCTATGGAGCCAACGACATTCAACGCTAGAAATCAGTTGTGCGCCTGAATGTTATTGTTATGCTTTAAAGTATTTTCATAACCTAGCTTTTGTTTGTAAAAGAACGTTACTGTTAGAAGATGAGTGAAATGGATAATATTGTACGTAACCCCATGTATATTGTCGGGTCAGGTAAAATCTTGTACGTTACACGTTACGCAAGAGCGTTTTTACATCACTTAGGTGAATTATGCAACTCGCTTCCGCTCGTTGCACAACATTCACCTGCATGACGTAAAAACGCTCTTACTACACTTGTAATGTAAATACAGTAGAGTCCCGCAAACTCGGCGTAATGTGGACTGAAAGGGTGCCGAGTTTGTGAAATGCCGGGTTATCGGAAACTAGGCTTAACAATACAGTTTTGAAGCTTTTCAACCGCCTTTTTTATTTATATTTATATTACAAGTCAGTATTAAGTCATCAGATATAGTGAAACAAGTTCTTGGTGCCTTAGGAAATAAAAAAATGTATACTGTACATACATATTTAACTAAAAAATCACAAATTTTCTGAGCCAGGTGATGGCCGAGTTATCCAGACTGCCGGGTTATCGAGTGCCGAGTTTGCGGGACTCTACTGTAGCTATTTTTCAATTGTTTAGGGGAAGTGGTAGAACATTATGGCTATGGTAGATGTGTAATACTATAGAATATTGTAAATTTAAAGAAGCAAATTTAAATTTTATCAAACTGTGTCCTCCCTCATTGCAAACCCAAAGCTTGAGTATAACTGCAATAAGCATTTTATACTTACCTATATGCCAACCCCGTACAAAGGTACTCTACTAGTGATAAATAATTTTATTTGGCCTTTAGATACAGATTGTACAATAGGCTAAGTCATACACATCATACATTCATTCTAGAATGTATAATCTGTGTCGAAAACCAGTTCCATAAAATGAGTTTTCACAGAAATGTCCATTCCTACTATACAAGATATAGATGCAATAAACTTATGCCAACATAATTTAACATTTTATAGATAAAAAGCAACCCACATAGGATCTAAGTTTTTAAAAATAATTTACCACCATCGCACCATCACTTAAAGCCAATGCAGACAAAACACATTTCAGAAATAATGTGTACCTAACATTTTTTAGTCAATAAAAGTTATTACTTTCCTTGAGAAGATCATTTTAGGAACAAAAACTATTGATGTAGGTACCGGTACTTTAGCACAATTTTGAGTCAGTTACTCATCAAAATTAGCAGTCAAATTCAAAATTCAAAGCAGAAGTAGTAGAATACCTTTTGTATAGGCTAGAAGGAGTTTTTCTGATTTTATGACCCTATCCTTGTAGCCTATGTATGTACAAAATGAATAAAGAGATTTTGATTTGATTTGAAGTGAGAGTTATATTACCAAAATTTTCCAATATTTGGCTGTTTAAATCAGTAAAGTAACCAATGACAGTAATTTGACATTCAGAGACGTATCTGCCAATCCTAGGTATTATTCTGACAGCCCTCTCCCTACTACGTTGGAGGAAAGGCCAGCACTGCCACTTCCATGCAATTGTGTGTGGCTGCCACCTCGGTCACCTCTTCCTGGTTTTCCTTAAGCCAAGGTGTATGGCTGTCATAGTCAGACTATGCCAATAGGATTAATACCATGGTTGATTAAGTTTAATTGAAGAATTGATAGAATGTCTTTAAACAGCAGAGCATATTCAATAAAAGGTTAAATTACCTGTGTCCGCCGGTCGATCTTAATGTGCTATATCCTATTACAGGAGATGCATTTCGGCAGAATAAATTGCCATCATCAGTCCTTGACAGACGATCGACGCGCGTCTACATGTCCGTAATAACTAAAATAAAAGTAGGCCTACCATGTATTTATTTGTATGTTTTATTCGTGATGTATAGGCCTATATCAATCAAACGTTTCTATCGGTCGAACGGTATGTGTAAAGTTCGTGTACGTGTTTCAAAACTTCAAGACGCACCCAATGGGGAAGATCAAGACCTTATATTAGGACTGATGGTGGCAATTTATTCTGCCGAAATGCATCTCCTGTAATAGGATACAGCACATAAGGATCGACCGGCGGACACAGGTAATTTAACCTTTTATTGAATGTCATACTGTCATACCGATCCGGAACAACAACAAACAACATAAAATGAAGCAGAGAATATTACACACTTACCTGGCTGGTACGATTGAATTTGCCACCATGTGTTCTAAAAGGTTGAGAAGTAACTGGAGTTGGCTATGATTTGTCATGGTAGCGGCCAATGAGAGATACTGTTTAAGCGCAACTTCTTGTTGTTCAGCAGGCAACCCAGCCAACACATTTTGTAATTCTTGCCTGTTCGCATTTTCTGTCTCGGGGTCAGTCTTGTGGACTAAAAAGCAGCTAAAGGCTTCTTCTATGCCCTCAACTTTCTACAACAATAAAAAAACATTAAGTAAGATAAGTCCTAGTTAAGCCAACACCAAAGGCTTGTAAATACATTGGGTAGACTTCCAATGTATCTGTTGGCACAAACAACCGTATGAAAATATTGATTATTCGATTGTTTCATTCGATATATCGTTTGGTTGGTTAGGTTACCTAACTAACCAAACGATATATTAATCAATATTTTAATTTGGTTGTTTGTGCCAACAGATACGGAAGTCTACCCAATACATTGTCCATTACCGAAACTACAAAGTCATTTGGTGGTAGTTAGTGACCACTAGAGAATCATTAAGTTATCTGTACAACCACAGCAACGTTTGTTTACCCAAATCGTCCTGCATAAGTTAATTGTCTATGGAGGAGTTGCAAGTGGTAGGGAAAAAGTCTAGTCAAACCAAACCTAAAGTAAGTTACTAGGATTAGACTGTAAGTTAATTTATTTATTTATACGACAAACAGCCATTGTACATAATCAATTAGACTAAGTAAGGCCGGGTACACTTCTATAGCCTATCTGTTGGCACAAACAACTGAATGAGTAATATAAATCGATAAGTTATAACTTAGGCTATCGATTGTTTAGTTCGATATATCGTTTGATTAGTTAGGTAAGGCTACCTAACCAATCGATATAGCAAACCTAACAATAGAATAATCAATATTACTCATTCGGTTGTTTGTGCCCACAGATATGGAAGAGTACCCGTAAGGCCTTATTGATTGAAAACAAAGCAATCAAAGCAATAACCTATAGGTATGGGATTACAGTGGAGGTAGGGCCAACAATAAAAAATAATCGAATCGATAGTTTCAATCAATATTAGCATAGCCCAGTTAAGAAACTGTACCCGGCCTATTAAAGTTTAATTTAAAAGTTATTCAGGTGATAACTTAGGTCTAGGCTATTTCTAATGGTTCGCTAAATTAATCCTAAATCAATGTTTAACCTGCTAAATGGGTCCTACTTACCAAAATATCACTGACAATAGATGTAATTTGATTGTCGGCACTCATTGTAAAATGTATTGCAAATCCACTAGGTAGTACTGTATAACTTGGACGTTGTTGTTTTGACTTTACATTTTTGAGTTACAAATCTAACAAATCAATTTCTTTGAAACCCTTACATAAATACATGGGTAAAGAAAACAAGTCATTAAATCAAAAGACAAGCCAAGTCGAAAACAACAACACTTTAACACTACAAAACGAAAACACAATCTCAATCACACACAATCAAAACACAAACAAACGCCACCCCAGAGCAAAAACAACCAAACAAAAAACAAATAGCCTGCTAGCCGGTGGTGGGTGCAGTTAGGGAGTTAGGGGAAGTAAAAAGTCAACACAAAAATAACAGCAGCATTCCCATCATAGATTAAAATACTCCCTTAGTGCCTTGCACTGTTAAATATACAAGTAAGCCGCAATTGAAATATCCTGCGTTGCAATTATTATAAAAAAGGCACTATAGAATGACACCAGTTTCTTAAGTGGCAGGTTTTTTGTTTTTTTTTTCAGTTTTTTGTTTTCAATCGATATTAAATAATTCAAAGAATCAAAAGTACAATTTTTGTAACTTAATTTTTTAAATTGCTGATGTGATAAACATTTTATTATGACTAACTGTGAGAACATTAGCTGTTTATTTACATACATTATCCATACATTGTTATTGTTTCTCGATCATATCTATATATTTTTTTTTCTCCACGTATCCTCATACATAGTAAGGAGAAAGTATTGATTTTCTAGTGTTTTAGTTTTAGGGTTCTAAACACTAGCATAACTAAGTTCGAGTTCACACCTTCGGCAATCGGCCCATACGATAATTTAAAGGTCCACTGTACAATAATTTGTTTTTATAGGTCCTGAGGATCAATCAGCTGCTCTATAGCAGCTATAGAGCAGCTGATTGATCCTCAGGACCTATAAGCTGCTGTTCCATTCTCGTTGAAATCTCCCCCGTGGGAACCGAGCGTTATAACACGGCCGCCTTTAACTCCAGGCCGCGGCCATCGAAGTGGCAACGTCGCAAGTGGTGTTTGTAACAGCTGTTTTGTTTGGAAGCAGCTAAATGGTATTTGTGTATTTACGAAAGATTGGTTAGTGGACTATGACAATATTGACTACACTTAAAATGTACAGATATAGATTTTTAATTCATATTGTTTCAGTTTTCAATTCTGTATGTTTTATTTTCAATATTTTAATACATTTATGTTCATAAAATTTAATTTTAATCAATAAAGTGTGAATTAATGAGTTGATGTCAACTGTCTGCCATGTTATCTTATGAGACATCAAGAGTGGATCATTGAGGCATTGAAGCATTGACTATATAACACTACACGATGTAGTGTTATATAGTCAATGATTGAAGGTTCGGTCTTCGGTCCGGTCACTTCTCTCAATAAGTGTATATGTGGCCGTGATTATATACATTTTATCTATCAATGCCCTGTAAAGCTGTCTAATAACTCTATGGATAGAGTGAACCAATAGTAGACAATAGACATTGACTGAAGGAAATTAAGTATCTCTCTCCTCTCTGCTCTATCTGTCATCTCCATCTGTCATCGTCAGTTGATCAAAGTTATGCTGTCAGCTATTTGTTATTGATTCATTCATTCAATGTATCTCGATTGTGCATTAATCGTGATGTATTTTTGAATTTTCGATAGTTGTCTTAAGTCTGATTCTGCTATTTCAGATAATAATAAGTTCTTAGTGAAAAGATCCAAGAATTTGTATTGACTATTAGGAATAATATGTTTCTTGATTAGTGAGATGCAAGTCTTGTCATAACCACAATACCTACCTCATCTATAATTGAAGTAATTGTGGAATGTGCAAATAGTTTTGTATTTAAGTTATGTCATCTAGGGTTCTAAGAAAACTAGGTCTAGGGGAAAAAGACATAACCTCTATAGCTGATGAAGCAAGTGATACAGAGGCTGATTTTTCTAGTTCTGGAGGAGCAAAAAAGAAGCAACTAAATATAAACCGATATGATTTGGTAACTAACAATTAATTAACTTAACATAGATTATTTAACTAGCCTAAGCTTTGATATAATTGGATGTTTCAATAAGTTGTTAAAAGGTAGGTAGGCAAACAGATCTTTAAGAACAAGAATTCCCAACCTAATACATTAAAAACATAGCAGTAACTTTAAACACATTTATAAGTGTAACTGAGCTCTTATTTTCTCACAAAGGAAACACCATTTTTACATTAAATACCTACGTACCTAAGTATAAGCATAGACAAAAAGAATTAAATTTAACTTAGGCTACTTAGACCGACAGCAGTCCTGCGGTTAGCATAAGTTCTGGCGTCCACCACTAGGAGTGCTGTGTAGTTACGGCGCACAATGCTGCAGCATCTGCTGGTAGAATAAGGCGAAGAGTCGGACGACGGCAGTGAATCGAACACTGAGCACTCTAGCGGAATATCACGGACCCTTCCTTTGACAGCCTATATTTATTCTACATATTTGTCTATTATTGATCACTTTAACACGTTCGCTACTGAGCGTCGCATATATGCGACGCCGCGGTCATTGCCACAGACCGAGGTATACATTTGAATCTTACACATAGACCGGCTGTCACTTGGATAACAGTACACACAGACCACGGGCTAAAACCTGTAAAACAGTGATCATTTACATTGTAATACGCTACAATCGTGTTTGTAAATAAATTATTCTTGGTTTTTTGTATTTTTTGTAATCCTTTGTATTGTCGCATATTTGCGACGCCCGGTCTACAGCGAAGACAATAGTGAAATTATCATAGTTTTCTTGAAATAGACTAAACGTCGCATATATGCGACAGTTCATTTTTTTGTGTTTTAAGGTGAAAGTAAGTAAACAAATAAACAGATTATTCAAGAACAGTTTATAACTGAACAAATATAAAAGATACATAGGATAATGCAGCATACATTCTGCATACATACATACAGTGATGCAGAAAAGTAAAGACCAGTTTTTCCAACTATTATATGACGTCACCAATCATCATATCCACAGACCAAGCGACGCAGTTGTGCGTCGGACATCTCTGTAGACCACTGCAGGGAATTCAGTGCCTTCAAATAGACCACTACAAAGATATAAGCATTTTAATAACATTAGAACCCCGACGCAAATATGCGTCGGCAGTCCATTTTAATGTGACTAGCCGACGCATATATGCGACGGCAGTCTATGGGTGGAAACCGGCCGTCGCATATGTGCGTCGCTGGTCCATGTGAATGGAAAATTTCGTACTATTGCAGTAGCGAACGTGTTAAACTAATCAGTTCCTATTTAGGCATGTGAGGAAGGTAGGTCAGACTTTATATGGATTTGTGATTTGTGAGGTGTAGTATAATAGTAAAGGTTGAAATACTGCACTAGCTGAACTTAGGCGTAATGTAGGCCTATTAAAGTCTTGCCAACTTATTTTCAAGCATACACGTATTACGTGCCTTACGTGCACACTGCTCGGTGTTGTTTGTTTGGAATACTGGAGTGAGGCAAAAGTAAGTAAATGCAGCGATTAGCTACTTTTGCTAAAATCAGTGCAAGGAAGCCCAATTTGTCAGGTAACTGTAGGAAAAAATATCTTTTTGGAATACCATTTGTAGCCTAAAGGAACATTAAGTATGTGTAAATAAACGTGTTAGGCCTAATTAAATAATTTGTAACTTCTCAACTGGATAACCTATTTTTTTTTAAATTCTGTTAACCTAACTCATACAATGACTTTACTATTATTTTATGTGGAGTTTCACAACACCTCTATTGTAATACATTTTGTAATATAATTAAATAGTAAATGATCACAACACTCTTCACCCTGGCACTCGTCAATCAGTGATGACACGATCACAGTATTTGCATTGTTGCGGTGGGTGTCTCTATAAGCAGTGCTTGATTTGCGAGGAACGTGGCGAAATGGAGTTTCGATACAGTACCTCTCTTTCCGAAAGATAAATAAAAGGAATCATCAGGTTATAATGGTGTGTACCTCACCCAATTCTTGTCCCACAATAACACATCACAGTAGTTGTATTTGTGAAGGTTAAAGTTATATTTGAAACATGTGCTTAAAAAGCATGTTACCAAGTTTTATAATCAGCTGTTCAATAATCAGTCTTGGTTTTTTCTTGGACGTGTTTGCATCATTTTCAAAATGGTTACAATTCAAGAAAAAACATTTTGAGTTTTTCATTATGACTCAAGTTTATCTTTAATAACCGCCCAGCGTGAGTTTCCGGGGCATTTCAGACGGACTCCTACTACACACCAAAGAGTTTTAAGGTGGTATCGCTAGTTTAAGAACTCTGGAAGTGTATTAAAACGTAAATTCATGGGTCGTGAAAGAGTTCTCTTAGAAACTGAGATGGATTGGCAGATGTAAAAATGGTAAAAAGTTCATATCCAAGGAGATATTGAAAATAATAACTAATTACAACAGCAACCCCTTCAGCTCAGGAATCTGTGTTACAAAGTCATTAGTCAAGGAAGTCTCTGAAACCCCTCCACCACTTTGCCCGACCATCCACCAGAACCTACAGCATGATAGTTCAGTTGCACTTTCTACATCATCTTCTTTTCTGGGGTTTTCCTCTCCAGACACCAAAAATGTACAACAACTGCATAATGTAATATCCGGAATGGAAGAGAAAACGAAGAAAGAAGCTATAGTTACCAGTAACAGTAAAAACACAACTAAAAGCAATTATTTTTTAAGGAAAAGAAAACTACCAACAAATCTAACCTAAAAAATGTAAAATCTCAAGACAACAGGAAGAGCAGAGCATTATTTTATATTCTTTCAGCAAACACCCAGTCTCTAGGTGATAAATTAAATGAAGTAGAGTTATTATTAAACCAAAATAATATTTCTGTATTCTGTGTATGTGAGCATTGGTATTTAGAGGAAAATAAGGACCTAGCTGTTATTGATGGGTTCACTTGTGCTGCTATGTTCTGTAGATCCGTGAAAAAAAGAGGAGGTGTTGCTATTTATACTAAAATTGGCCTAGACTATCGTGAAATTGATGTAAAAGAGTTCCGTATTGAAAATGACTTTGAATGTGTTTGTATTCGGGTAACTCTTGTGAACATAGCCCTTGAGGTAATCATAGTCTCTGTTTATAGAGTACCTAATGGGAACCAACGTCTATTTCTGGAGGGGATCGACAGGCTCATTATAAAGCTGTCCCGCCTTAATCTGCCTATAATTGTATGTGGAGATTTCAATATAGATGTGAACGTGAAGGCTGATCTTCCTCTACAGTTTCTGGACGTACTTAGGTCTTTAAACTGCCATTGCCTTAATCAGAAGCCGACCAGGGAACTATCCTGCTTGGACAATGTCTTCACTGACATACCTATGAGTGACATAACTAGCACTGTCCTCTCACCCCCACTGTCAGATCATAATGCCCTATTAACAACCCTGAATTTGGATAATTTCAACCCAAATAATAATGCCCATGATAAACAGCAAAATTCCAAGGTTATCAGAAGTTTCAGTTTACATAATACAAGCTTATTCAAATCAACTTTAAGCAGCATAAACTGGGATGTGAAGTTAGAGGGCAATTTTAATGATTTTAACAAGTTTTTCTCCACCTTCAAGAATGCTATGGATGTCTGCTTTCCTGAGAAAACTATTACACCAACAGTTGTTAGTAAAAAATCCAAAGCTAAATGGTTCAGTCGTGAATTATCTGAGAAACGTAAGGAGGTAACAAAGTTATATGACTTCTGGCAGTGGGCCCAGAGGTATAATGTGCTGGTTGAAGAGACAAAGCTAAGGTACAAACAAGCTAAAACCAGCTACAAAAAAGCTCTTGCTCATGCTAAACTAGAATCAAATGCTGATTCGATTGCTTCTGCATCCAATCAATGCAAAAGGGCCTGGGAGCTCATTAACAAGTGTAAAAGCAGAGTGATCTCGCCAACTATTGACTCGCTTACACCACAGATTTTCTCTGACTTCTTCGTTGCCTCTATAGATGACATCCGTCACCAAGTTCCACCTTCAGTAGCTGTAGCATCCCAGCTCGCCTTGAAACCTTCTGTCCTTGAGCCAGCTTTGTTTAGGATGAGGCCTGTGTCAAGTGAGGAAGTGGTGAAAATAGTTCATGGTATGAAAAGTAGCAAGTGTCGTGATATCTATCAAATTAGCTGTGATCTAATTAAAAGTGTGCTTCCCGAAATCTTGCAGCCCCTAACATCTTGTATAAATCTTTGTTTACTTTCTGGAAATTTTCCTGAGTGTCTCAAATTTTCAAAAGTAGTTCCAGTTTTTAAGAAAGGAGATTTGTCAAATCCAGAGAGCTATAGACCGATCTCCGTCGTACCAATCTTTTCCAAAATTTTAGAAAAAGCTATGATACACCAAGTGAATTGTTTTTTTGAATCTAATAACTTTTTTTCTAAATTCCAATTCGGCTTCAGAGGTGGTTTGTCAACTGTGGATGCAGTCGGAAGCCTGGTCTCTGCTGCTTTAACAGGTTTTGAAAAGCATGCGGACACACTTGCAACCATGTGTGATCTTTCAAAGGCATTTGACTGTGTTCCGCATGACATTCTTCTTGCTAAATTGGAATATTATGGTATCAGAGGTGTTGAGCTAAACCTTTTTCGCCAGTATTTGACCAACCGCTCGCAGAGAGTTTGTTACAAAAATAGTCTCTCTGATGCAGAGGTGATGAAAAGTGGTGTACCCCAGGGGTCGGTCCTTGGCCCTTTCCTGTTCTTGGTTTTGATTAATGACTTACCATCCTATGTTCCTACACCCTGTAAGTCAATAATTTTTGCTGACGACTCAACTTTTTTTTGTAATGATGTCAATATTGAAACTATTAAGGGTCAGATGGAAAATTGCATTTCTGAATGTAATATATGGTTTAAAAGTAATGGTTTGTTGTTAAATAGTAGCAAAACCCAGTCTATTTTGTTTAGCTTAAGAAACAGGAATCTTAGCTTATCTTATGTGAATGAGAATGTAAAACTGTTAGGAATACATTTAGACTCAAAACTCAATTGGAATTCCCACATAAATAATGTTACAAGTAGACTATCAAGAGTAGTTCATCTTCTTCGAAAACTAAAAACTTGTATACCAAAATCCTACTTGAGAATGGCTTACTTTGCTTTTTTCAATAGCATTATAAGCTATGGTATACTACTTTGGGGCTGTGGCCATGGCATGAAAAGAGTCTTGTCAAAGCAAAAGGAAGCTATTAGAATAATTACAAGTTCTAGTTACCATGCACATTGTAAACCACTTTTTGTCCGTGAAAAATTTTTAACTGTTTATAGCTTGTTTATTTTTAAGTGTTTGTTACATGTAAAAGCAAATCTAGGTTCCATAGCTTTAAGAGGTGAAACTCATGTCCATTTAACCAGGAGGAGACATTACTTAGATTTACCTCAGGCAAGGCTTGCAAAAACACAAGAATCCTTTTCTTATCTTGGTATTAAATTGTTTAACAGGCTACCTCTTGAGTCACACCATGTTAGCATGAAGTCCTTTAAATCTAGTCTAATGGCCTGGCTGCTTGAAAACCCGTTTTATAGCTTGGAAGAATATTTTAAATGTTCCAGAATTAATTTAAGTTTTAGTAATTAATTATTGACATTGACTAGTCTTGCTCTGTTATGTTTACACCTTGTTACCTTGTTTATAGTTATATAGATGGCATTGTTGATCTTTAGATATATATATATATTCACTCTTGTTAATTTATTAGTCTTAGTATCTTGACGTCAACTGTACAAGTGTACAATCTTGTTTCTTGTTGAAATAAATCTTTGAATCTTTGAATCTTTGTAACAATAATGACATGACCCTTCTCAAATGGCCCCCTAGATCCCCTGATCTTTCGGTGTGTGATTTTTTCCATGGAGTTAAAGACAAAGTTTATATACCGCCAATGCCTCAGACGCTTTAAGAGCTCCGTGGACGAATTCGCATGTCGTAGAATCAATCAACCTTGCGATGCTAGCCGGTGTATGGGACAATTTACAGCATAGATTGGAAACTTGCTCCACGGTTAATGGACGGCACATTGAGCACTTATAGGGGTATCTATGAAAAATGTAAGATTTCTCCTTTCTGTTGATATAGTTTATATCCGTATTTGTTTTCCATTAACGTCATTAAAATGTTTTAAAACCTGATGATTCTTTTATAAACGCCCTGTATATTGGCATAAATAGATACAAATAAAATTAAATAGGTTACACTTCACCGGAACTCCTAACTTTTTACAAATCGAGCACTGTCCTTTAAGTAGCCTACTGATGAGTGGGGAGATAACCTCGTCAAAAGCGTAGCATTGTTGTAGTCTATTGCAAGTAGTGTTGCAATATATATCTAGCAATATATATATTAGTCTGCAGCTGTAGTTTCCAAATAAATTATGCTAAAATTAACCAAAGAAATAGAACGTGTAGTAGTAACGTTGAATACACCTCTTTGCGCATTTAACTTATTTCTCCGTATTTCGTGGAAAAGACAAGAGCACCACACCTTTGTGTTAGTGAAAATTTCAACCGGAATAAAGTGTTCAATGGTGAAGTTGAGGCAGTATTACAACTACTTTTCCTACAGTCACCCAACAAAGTTGGCTTCCTTGTACTGTTTATAGTACAGAAAGCTGCTAATTGCTGTATATTTATACTTTGCCATACGGTTTATACTTTGCCGCACATCAGGATTCCAACGAAACAACACAAAACAGCGTGGTTCTATTATGCACGTAATCCGTGTACGCTTGGAAATAGGTTGGCAACACTTAAAGATAATAATACTATGAGCAGCTGATTGACTATTATAACTACGATTTAACCTGTCATTTCGTGTTTATAGTTTCGGTATTTCTGAACTTTCTGTACTTTTCTTTTAAACGTTTTTAAAACATTCCTACGATCTTAATAAACGAGAAAATACCTTTAAAGCATTTTTTTTTCGGCGCGGAAACCACTTCAAATTACAAAAACATACGGAACTATATTCTCAAAACGCGGAGCACATTTCTTGCCGAGGAAAAATAGCGGAGTGATACGGACCGCGGGTACTACTTTCTCTAGGGCACCATTTGTGTTGCCATCTGAACCTAAAAACGTGTTGTATAGTGTTTGAAAGACTAATTATTTATATGCTTTATAGTGACTGTAGGAAAAATATAATGTGTAACACGAGTGAAAAAGGCCTTTGCTGCACTCGAGATCATTGCTCTCAACATTGCTCTCGTGTGCAGCAAAGTGCCACTTTCACCACTAGTTACACAAATAACTATTTAACCAGTGTGGAAAATAGCTTTCAATTATAGGGCTATGACATAACCTTAGGGCTATGACTCATTTATCTATAAAGCTTTTTTTTCATTTGTTTGGCTTGAAACGGTCAGATATTGTATTTGTGAAGGTTTAAGTTATATGTAGTTCTATAATAGTTTTGCCAGCATATCTGGAAAAATGCACACTTAATACACAAACCAACTTCTGTTCTGAATATAAGAAGAATTAAACTAATTTCAAGATCCCGTCCGTAGAACGGTCACACAGCACAGCTAGCACCTGCATACATCCTGTTATCCCTATCGATATCTTGCTAACTGATGATAATTTAGGTCGGATAATCGATACCCTACTGTAATCGACACTTAACCTGTTTAACTAATTGTTTGTTCATCTATTGGGTATAAGTGGTTATTTCTCTTTTGTTAGCTCAATCAACAATCTCACTCCGAATCAGAAGTAAAGGAAGATGATGATCATGAGACAGCTGGTTCCTTAAACGCACAGGAGAACGCAGCAGATTGCAAAGACGCAGCTCGACGAAAGAAAAAGAAAAAGAGGAAGAAACATGGAAAAGTACCCAGTAATGCTCGTAGCAGTGAGGATAATATAGAGGTGATTTTATTTAACTAAAAAGTAGATTGTTAGTGGTTCTAAATTTATAAGAGATTTAGTATAAGAGAATTAGTAAGAGAAAATGCAGACTTTTTCCGTATCAAAAAAAGTACCACCGCCACAGCAAACCTGCAGACTCAAAATGTCCCATCTAAGTCATTCAAGTCAGATTGTATTTTCACTTAAATATCTTCATAAAAATGTCAGCTTTATTCTCCATTTAAATAACATTAGTTTAACGAGAACTTAAGTTTGCTGCTACAGGGAAAGCAAGAAATTGGTTTTTACTTTCTGCTTTCTGGCTACACATAAGAAAAAACAATTCCCTACACTATGTTGTAGTAATGGAGAAAGTTTGATTTTCGCCAACATTTTCATTTTTTAGTATGGTTGTTTGTGTTTATATTTGTTTTGGGTCATATTTTTTAAATTTTTAATGCAATTTTTCTATAAATACTAAATACCCATGAAGACGCCAACAAACCCCCGAAAGATTTTCATTAAATTTATTATGCTATAATCCTTTTAATTTGACACAAAACGATATAGCCCCCATTGCTGGAAAACTTATGTTTCAAAAACTATTTTATCTTTATGTTATTATCCCATTAAAAAACCCAAAATAACAAAAAAGTTGGATTTTTGGGAAAAAGCTCAACCGATTTTGATTAAAGATTAGTATTTCATAATTCTGAAAATTCTAAACAGAATGGTACAAAATATGGTTCTAAAGTAAAAGAGTTTAGTTTATTTTCTAGAGCTACACATTTGACACTTATTACATTTTGAATTAAATGTATTTTATGATAAAATATTTAATTTACGATAAAAAAAAACATTGATTATTATTAAGTCATTGCTTGAAGTGTTTTTTTATTTATTTTGTAGGATGAAGTGGAAAGATCTGTCAGGGAAGTTAACAAACTCCTTGGAGACAGTGCTCAAGTTGAACCAGGCAGAGAAGTAGCTACGGCTAATACTAGCGGATGTAAAAACAGGATCCTGAACATTGAGCATCGACATTTGAACCACAACAATGAACTGAAGAAAATATTTGGATCAAAAATCGTTCAAAACGAGCAAAGGTTAATACACTAATTTTCTTTTAATATTCAAATTCAGTTCACCTTCTTAATCTCATGACCTTTGTAGTTCTAAATGTACGTTGATGATATTTTAAAACATTTTTGCTCTGGTACAGTTATTACATAGAGTGTGAAAAAAATATACCTCCTTTTGAAGTATATAAGTAACTTCATATTTTGAGTTGTTTTGTCTCTGGATCACAGAACGAACTATAAAAGGTATAAAATTACCTGAGTACTGCCAGAGTGATCCTGTTTGTTCCTTACGGATAACACGTTTCGAAGACTAAGTCTTCATCATCAGATCTTGTACAAGAACATTATACCCCCGCCGCAGCAAACCTGCAGACTAAGCGAATTTCCATTTGACTGATTGGATTTACACTGAAATGTCAACTTAAAAATATAACATTTATTCCCTATTTAAATAGAATTAGTTTAACAAGTACTTAGGTTTGCTGCATCAGGGAGGGTAAAACTGTTCTTTTTTTGTAAAATGTTAATAGTTAGTAAGAAATAAAAATATTTTCCAAATTTGATCAAAATATGTTAATAAACAAGCAAACTACAACAGTTTACTTATTCTCCATAAGAATAACATTGGAATTTTAAATTTACAATTTTTTTGAATTTTCTCCATAACCATTAGGCGCATAATAACGCTTCAATATACTAAATTATTTGTTTTTTTAAGCTCTACAAAATGGTTTGAAAAGAAATTGCTAAATTTTATGTTTTTTGGGTAAAAAATAGGAAAAACCTATTTTTACCCCATAAAACCCCCCGTAAACCCCCGTTCCCATGGTCCGATCATGCTGGATCGCGAACTCGTTCGAATAAACGTAGGTTTACACGTTTGTACCAAATTTCATCAAAATCGGATCATTTTTGCTCGAGTTATAGTGCTAACGGACACATATATATATATATATATATATATATATATAAATATATAAATATATAAATATATAAATATATAAATATATAAATATATAAATATATAAATATATAAATATATAAATATATAAATATATAAATATATAAATATATAAATATATAAATATATAAATATATAAATATATAAATATATAAATATATAAATATATAAATATATAAATATATAAATATATAAATATATAAATATATATATATATATGAATTTGAACGGATGGTGTTTTTGGCCTCTAGGAACCTCAAAACGAAAAAAAAAATCGGTCCCGCGTCCAGGTCTTACCATGAGTACTACGGTAATAGCTTATTCCCTATATGGGAAATTCGCTAAAAACACTGTCACTTCGAAAAGGTCGTCAAGAGTTTACATACAAAACACGGAAACATATTATGTACAAACGTGGATGTTTTACGAATAAAAACGAGTAGGCCTACCGACGAAAACTTACAATGTCCGACTGCACAGTTACAGGTGAAGGTCATGACTGTGATGCGGGAGACGGTCGGGCGGTGGACTTTATACCTCTCAGCTCCTTATTCATCAGCTGTATTTGGTTTGTTATAAGAGTGTCATACAGAGCGTTGTAAATCAACCAAAATTCAACCTAACACTTTATTAAATTACAAAATCAGTTTCCAGTCCAACGCTCTGTATGACACTCTTATAACAAACCAAGTACAGCTGATGAATAAGGAGCTGAGAGGTACAAAGTCCACCGCCCGACCGTCTCCCGCATCACAGTCATGACCTTCACCTGTAACTATGCGGTCGGACATTGTAAGTTTTCGTCGGTAGGCCTACTCGTTTTTATTTGTAAAACATCCACGTTTGTACATAATATGTTTCCATGTTTTGTATGTAAACTCTTGACGACCTTTTCGAAGTGACAGTGTTTTAATGTTCTTGTACAAGATCTGATGATGAAGACTTAGTCTTCGAAACGCGTTATCCGTAAGGAACAAACAGGATCACTCTGGCAAGTACTCAGGTAATTTTATACCTTTTATAGTATATAAGTAAATTAATTATTGTTTTAGCAAGAGAAGAGGCGGATCTCGAACCAGGGGCGTGTTGAAAACAACGTGGCTTGTTTCACTCAAGGACAACTGGCCACCCATCGTAAAAACTGGTAACTTTTGTATTAGCTTATTACAAATCTCATTTTGAAAGTAGGCCAATAGCATTTTTTATTTATTTTTTTCCTTTGGCATTTTATAGCTTGGCTAGCTCAAAATAATTAGTCATAGCTTGTTAACACCAAAATAAACAAGAACGAGCTCATAACTCTGCAAACACCAAAATAGCAAGCCCATAGCTCGTCCAACACCAAAATATTTAGCCCATACCTTGGCAAAACTAAAATAATTACCTCAAAGCTTGGCAAACACCAAAATGACTAGTTCATAGCTCAGCAAACCCCAAAATAACTAACTCGTAACAAGGCAAATAAATACAAATGTAACTTGCTTATTATAGCTCGGCAAAATACCAAGCTCATACCTTGGCAGATAGCAAAAAAACTAGCTCACAACTCATCAAATAGCAATTTATCTTACCCACAGCACAGCAAATGGCTACATAATTAACTCAGAGACTGGCAAACGGCAACATTAATTGGCCACTGGTGCCCTCATCCTTTCTTTAGTATTAACTCCTATTAAAGTGACTAGAACTAAGGTCGTCATTAAATTGCTCATCAAAAGCTCCTATAGTTAAATTTATTAAAACATAGGAGTATAGAGATGATGGTTTTTAGGTCTGTCAATGAGCCTGGTGAAGACTGAAAATGGGATAAGCACATTCACCTATGAACATAGCCTAAACTATCAGCAAGTACAAATGAAGTTCCTTGATGCAGTGGAAAGCTTAAATCCTGATAACATTGTAGTAAGTATGGTTAGGCCTATTGTAGTATGAAACAAATAGGAAGAACAGTAGTCTCCGTTCTGCTTGGTGACTTCGGGACCGGAAACTTGTCTGAATAAAGTTTGGATCATCATATAATTTGATTTATTTGTTGTTAATGTTAACAACCTTCAAACAAAGTGAAAAGTCATCTAGTGCTGGCATTATGAATACTACTTAGCTAGTCAAAACAAGTTGCCCTATTGCAATATTCTGGATTGCACGAATAGGTTACTGAAATCTTTGGTATTTATGTACCATCAAACATAAAGACAAAGTCAAAACTTTTACTCAGTGTGGCATGAGAACGTAATTTCTTCATTTTACGAGCTTAAACAATGCTCAAACTTACCCAAAGAATTCAAAGCTAAAAAAAATCAACTAATGAAAAAATCAAGGGTTGGCAAGTAGTTGACTGGTCCACGGCAACACGGAGTACACTAAGGGTGGTGAGAGAGTAGAGTATAAGGAAGGAAATTAACATGGGCATTATGGGTTGCCATGTTGGTGACGAAATAACAACAAAATATAAACAGAAAATCAAAACAAATTGAAGAAATTCCAATCACATGTTTTATTTACAGCAGGGTGAAAATAGAGAAGTTTGCACAATACATACTTTTGGTCGAGTTTTCGACCACGGGCCAGCTCTAGTTAGTAGCTATTATATTTCAAAATTGATCATGATCAGTAAAAATTTGAACTAAAACATTTTTTATCTTAAGATGTTTGAAGCGCATTTCATTGTAGTTGTAGGCTACACATGTTTCAGGCCATAATAAACTCGTCGCCGTACCATGTAGACGCGTTGTTGCAACTGTCCGAGCTCTGTCGTCTCAGTGAGGACTTGTCCATGGCTGCCGAGCTGATAGAGCGAGCTCTCTACTGCCTCGAGTGTGCCTTCCACCCTTCCTTTAACCTGGTCACAGGCACTTGCCGCCTCGACTACCGCAAGCAGGAGAACAGGTGAGTAGAGCTATATTGTCGAGTGGTTAGATAATTTTGTACTTTAACTCCCTAAGACAAAACTTTCAAAGTCGCTATACCCAGACCTACCTCTTATTCTGGTCCACAGCTTTCATTAACAATCAATTTTCTGACCTCCACACATGTCCTGCTCACCTCAGTCTCCTGCTTTTTATCCTTGTTCCAACTTTTGAATGGTGATAAATATCCCAAAATTCTCTACAGTATTTTATTTTCCCCTAATTCTCCAGCCTTCTTATCCTTGAATCGGTCCATATATTTTTCTAGGAAATCTTGTTTTAAAAAATCATAAGTTTCTTTTCCCTTTTTTTAATTAGCGTCTATGTTTTCGATCCATATAGTAATACTGGAAGAATTATTAAGTGGTGGATTTTTTTTGGTACTTTTTAAAGAGTTTTTTATTTGAGTATATTGATGAAATAAAAATACCTGTCTCAAATAATCCTCAAATCCCTAAAATCTAAACTTGTTTCTTGAAACACATAACATGTAAATTTCCCAGTTAAATTAATCATATAATACTGACAATAGGCCCTAAATTGAGCCACAACCAATTATGTTGGTTGTTGATTTTTCAGAGCTCTGTACTTAGCAGTGTTCAAGCACCTGACGTTTGTCGGCGCTCGTGCCTGCTACCGGACCGCGCTCGAGTTCTGTAAACTGCTCCTCTCTCTTGACCCTGACAACGATCCATTGGGAATCGTACTAGCAATCGACTTTTACGCTTTACGAGCTCAGAAGTACAACTGGTTGATACGATTTGCTTCGGACTGGGAACCTACAAGAAACTTGTCTCAGGTTTGAAAGTGTATTAAAAGCTACTTTTTAAAAATAGAAAGATTTTTTAAGAATCACAATAAATTCTTATAAATTGGCAATACAAAGTTTTGGAAACAAAATTTGTACTGTTTATTGAACTGTTGGTTACATGACTCTTAAGGTTTTGTAAATAGGTTTTTCACATCAACACATTCACAACCACATTACCTAAAATACACACGAGTTGGTCTTATAGAAGGCATCGTGATCAATTTAATTAACATAAGAAATGAAAAGAACAGTAACCAAGAAAACGGTTTAGTTTCAAAGGCGGTCTTGATTTTTTCAAACAAAATATCATGTATCTAAAATATTTTGTATTGAAATACCGGTATCAATTTAAGATTTGCTTTTTCGTTCATACAGCCTACAGTATTACTGGTGTATCCTATTGATTGATGTTTGAGCAGTTTTTGTGAGCTTGTAAAACAATTATTATCATTGAAAAACCTGAATTCACGTTTCTACTTTGATACAAGTGGAGTCAAGTATTAATTTACAAATGTAAAAATAAATCATCAAAACATTTGAAATTTTTAAATCTTTTATAGGGTTTTAAAGTGTCTGAATATCCATCATCATAATAAACCTTACTAACTAATAAGTTTAAATACTAACTTTGAACAAATCCAAGTTTTTTAAGCTTTTATAAAAACGCTCAGTACACCATTGTGTATGTGTGCAGTTGCCCAACTTTGCGTTCTCCATCGCCGTGGCTCACTTCCAGCTCGGCCAGGACGTAGAGTTGGCTCACCATCTGCTGCAGAACGCTCTCATCATGTTCCCCGGTGTGTTGTTGCCGTTGTTGTCCAAGTGCGGCGTCCAACCCGACTCTAGAGTTGGCACTCACACGTTCTTCACGACTGCGGAAATCAAGTAAACCAATTTCCCGATTTTTGAAATCTCCATAAAAAATTAAATACTTTAATTATTGTATCTTGAATGGTAACCAAAACAACATATACAGGGTGTTTTTAAAAGAATGCCAGGATTTTAAATGGTAATTGTTTGGGTACTATTCAAGGTAACTAAACGTTTTATATGTCGTTTTTTATGGTAAAAATTGTAGAAATAAGTTAGAAAACAGTTTAAGTTATAATAAAGAATCACTTTTCGACACTGTTCAATGTACTATGTAAATATGTACTAAAAGAATAAAGATTGTTTGAAATGAAATGAAATGTCAAATCAAAGCTAAACTAACTAAGTTTTGTTTCCCGTGTAGCAAGGGAGGAAACTGTGACCTTGGCATGCGCAAAACAGGTGCGGGATGGTAGGCCGTTATTGTGACTCATACGCCTGACGCCAGTTGCCACTCACCTGTACGACGTTAACGGCGCAACAGAAGGCGCAGATTTTGATCTGTGGTTCGCAGAGTTTATATTCATTGCTAATTTTAACTAAATTTAAATCTACTTGATGATAAAGAAACTTGAAGCTGGTTGAGTTTCGTGGCACCGAAGTGTTTTGAAAAGACATTCACCTGGCCAGCTAAAAACAAGCGATGACATAGTCGAAGAAATCCAACAATTCTGCATCAGAAGCCCGAAAAATCGATTGCCCAACGAAGTCTTCAGTTGAACATACCTAAATTGGTCATTTTATGATGTTATCTATAAAAGATAGAGTCTTTGTGCGGAAAAAAAGATTCAGTTAAGACATCAGATAAACCAGCCGATCGCCCTAAGCCTAAGTCGTACAGACTTTGCCAGATTTACGCTCATATAAGATTTATGAAAATCTGAAATTTATGAAATCATTCCGAATTGTATCAAAGAATGAAAAAAAACTTTAATCTTTTCCCTTCAATTTGACGTTTAAATCATTTAATTATCTTGAATAGTCTCCGAGCAACGACCGTTTGAAATTCCGGCATTCTTTTAAAAACACCCTGTATTTTACATGGTGAGGTAGCCTCTGGATCACTAAATTTAAGCTAAATGGTTTGAGTTACCTGGCTTCGTCAAGTGATCCTGCTTCGGTATTACACTACTATAGTTTTGGACTTGAAAATAAGTCCATCTTCAGGTTAACAAATTTACACCTATATTTTACACCTATTAAAAGCTAGATATTTATAACTTTTTTCCCTCGTCACCAATAGTACAAGAGTTTACAATCTGTTTAAGCATTTGTCACACAGAAACTTGACTTATCTGGTTTTGAATAAGTAGGTGAATAATAATAAAAATGTCTTTTATTGGGCTGAATTAGAAAAATTTGCATTATCCAAGCCACACAAAAAATATAAAACTAGTTAATTATAACCAAACAACATGCAAGAATGGATCTGTGTCCTTTGGAGACTCTTATATTGTTTTGGACAATATATATTTAATTTAAATTTTGTTTTGAATGTTGTGATTCTATTCAATTCTAATTGTAGGCTATACTATTTAATGGTCAAAAATGAAGTTTTGCACAACATTTGATTACTTAATTTAGTTTTGGGTATTATGAAACTTATTGGTGTTGAACATTATGATACACATTCACGCTCAGGATAAATGTGGCGATAAAATATTTCTCTTGTCATTTTAAAATGTTGACAGAAACCTATCTTTTATTTCCCACATGCCAACTTATAGGGTTAAAAGTAAAATTTTTCGGACGATAACGTAAGATAATCTTTCTCACAAACTATAAATTGAATATTTATATCTTTTTCGCAGATGTGTTTTAAGTATCCCATTTTAAATGTTTCAGTCAGAGTGCTTCGTTGAAAGTTCTTGTCCAGCTGTATGTTGCCAGATGCTACCATGTGTGGAAGGTAATTTATTGTTTATCTATTAAAATTCATGTTAAAAACCTAAAATTTGAAATATGCCAATTTTTAATTTTAAACAATTTAAATTAGTTATGTTCTTAAATCATTCATTGTTTAAATCTTGTGGTTTATAGTAGTTTTTAAGCAAAGCACAATGTTTCTAAGAAAATAAACAACAACCCTGAAGATAAAAATTATTTTTTAAAAGATCAATTCTTTTTTTTCTATGACGATTTAAATAAATCACTAAGAAAGTTCAGTAATGCAGGTGTACACGGAAGTTAACTTAGAGTCGTGTTATTATTGAGCACACTGTGGAAGCTACCTCCGCACCGCACCTTGATAAAATCTACACAATGCCAGAAACCAAAAACACCTAAAATCCAATGCTATGCAGTTCCTCAAAAGAAGTTCACAAGAGTCATTCTTGACCAGATTTCCGAACGCACATTTAAAATATCTGACAAAATCCTGGAAAGTGCTAAGGCAACCTCCCTTATGTGCCTGTTACAATTATGTTTGTAAACACCAGATCCTTTTTTTCAGTAAGAGATATTTATTTTATTGTTTCATTAAACAGACTTTTCATTGTTGTATATGTGTAGGAGTCAGAGCTGCTCCCGTGGCTGGAACGCAACGTACACGCTGTACTGGACCGAGTAGACAAACAAGACTCATATGTAGCGGACTGTGAGGTGAAGCGAGCCAAACGTTACCCGAAACTACCTCGGAATATCCACCGACACATTGTCCTCTCTGACTACAAGGACGTCACCTTCAGTGAGGTACAGCAGACAACAGTACAGAATTAATGGATAGTAATTGGCTATTCAATGACGCACAACTATTTCTAACCTTTTATCTATCCATGCCTTGCAACCGTCAGGGCCGATTTACCGAATAGGCACGGTAGGCACGTGCCTAGGGCGCTAGACAATTGGTTTTTTTGAGGGGCACCAAAAATTGGAAAATAAAAAAAATATTTTGTAATTGTATTTACATGCGATCGCGGTAAACCTCTGATAATCCCACGTGGCCGTGTTGACATCATTATCGTCTTCCACGATCGCGGCAAATTGTAAATATTTCCCGGCCAGGTCCAAATTCACCAACATTTTTGGGGTCGTTTCTAATGTCCAAATTCACCAACTTTCTACCTTTAGCAGGTACGATATTTCTCCCGGCGGGCGGGGAAGGAATTCCCTCCGAATAGTTTGCCATCGCCTGCTCCGTCTCGTCTCGGCGAGAGTGTACTGTAACCTAACCTAACCTAACCTAACCAAACCTAACCTAACAGCTGCCTGAAACAATCACAGCTTAAACAGTACTATTAGGGCTAAGCAGTACACTCTCGCCGAGACGAGACGGAGCAGGCGAGTGCAAACCATTCGGAATTCCTTCCCCGCCCGCGGGGAGAAATATCGTACCTGTTCCAGGTAGAAAGTTGGTGAATTTGGACATTAGAAAATTTGGACATTAGAAACGACCCCAAAAATGTTGGTGAATTTGGACAGACATAATTATTGTCTTCCATGATCGCGGCAATATGAACATATAACGCGGTCGTGAAGAGATTATCGTCGTCTTTCGCGATCGCGGCAAATTCTAAATATTTCCCACGGTCGTGTGGACATTATTATTGTCTTGCGCGATCGCGGTAAAATTCTGATAATCCCTTGCGGCCGATTGTGATCCTTCGGTAATGTAGAGATCGTAATCGTCTCTTGCGGTCGTGAAGACGTCGTAATTGCCTCCCACGATTGCGGCAAAATGTTGATCATATCCCGTAGTCGTGTGAAGATCATCATCGTCTTCTGCGGTCGCGGCAAAATTCTGACTGTTTCCCGCGGTCGACTAGAAATTATCATCGTCTTCTGCAATCGCGGTAATATTCTGATCATCCCTCTCGGCCTTGTGTAGACATATTATCGTCTCCCGCGGTCATGTAAAGGTCACTGTTGTCATGCGTGATCGTGGTAAATTGACAATTCCAGGTAGAAATACAACATTCATGCATAATTCCCGGATTACCCGGTGGTGGTCAACCTTTTATATGGTTGTCCCGTAAGTAAACAGCCAAACTCTATGGGTCTTCCAAAATGGTTCTATGGGTCAATATAAAAACAAAATCGAGAATAGCATTTTTTTCTAAATTCGCTTCATTAACCAGATATTCGCCATTTCATTTATTTCACATTAACATTTTTATCTTTAAAGTTTTTCAACCGATCTTTATGAAACTTGGCATAGATGATATAGAGAGAGACCCATGTAAAAAAAATTAACCTTGACTTATACAATTTCAAAATGGCGGTCATTTATTTTAATTTTTTAAACTCAAATTCCTAAAAAAAAAACGGCAGATTTTATGAAAAAATGACTAAAACACTTTTATTTGGCATTTTTAATTCCCTTTCTTTAATTCCCCTTTTTTAATTCAAACGATTCCAAGTTCAAAAAGATCGAATCAGAAATAGCTGAAATATTACGATTTTTAGTTGTAAAATGGGGTAGAAAAAGGTTAAGCTAGTCAGGTTTGTCCCATTTTACAACTAAAAATCGTGATACTTCAGCTATCTCTTATTCAATCTTTTTGAGCTTGGTATTGTTTGATAGGGAATTTAAAATTCCAAATAAAAATGTTCTTGTCGTTTTCTCATCAAATCTACCATTTTTTTGTAATTTAAGCTTAAAAAGATTTAAATGGCCTCCATTTTGAAGATTTATGATGAATCAAAATGATTGTTTCTAACATGGGTGTCTGTTACCTTAACATACATACCAAGTTTCATAATGATCGCTTGAAAAACTTTAAAGATAAAAATTTCATGTGAAAAGAAAAACAAAATGGCGAATATCTGGTTCACGAAGCCATTTTGGGAAAAAATGTTATTCTTGATTTTTGTTTCTTTTTACCCATAGAACCATTTCCTGGAGTTTGGCTGTTTACTTACGGGACACCCTGTATATTTCAAAGGGGCGCTACTATTAGTTGTGCCTAGGGCGCTGACATTGTCAAAAACGGGCCTGGCAACCGTTAGTGAAGAAAATGATTGAATACGTTTTTGAAATAAGCAAGAACTCTAATTTATCCTCTTGGTTAACTTACACGTTAGAGTGTTTGTTTTAAAGAAGCTTCAACCCCTAATACAATTAGAAGTTAATTGGCTGTGGTAAAAGACTAAAGTTTCCTAACTAAGTTCTGTGTAACTTCACTTTTAACTTTAAAAGTTTTGGAGACACATTTTGGTGGACAAACTTGTGAAAGAAAAATAGTGGCTATACATCACCTGCTAAAATTGTTTAGTCTTCCACTAGATTGCAAAACAAATAAAACAACTGTTATGGAACAAAAAATCTGCCTAACAAATCGAGTTCATTGCAGTTTGGTAATCTATTACATATTGAAAAATCTAACTCTCTAGATTTTTACCTTCTGGATGGGAAATGGTACCAATTGACCCGGATAGTTGGAGTTATACAGTTTGTAATGTATTGAAATAATAATGACTTGTGTCTGTGGCAGTTGTCGCAAAGTCCGGTGCTGAGTTTCGACCCGTTACCTCCAGTGGATTCCATCAACCTGTACAACCGACCGCCCCGGTTACTTTACCATGATAATGGAAATGCTTTCTCCGTTTTCCTGCGATCTTTCATGCCCAACTTCAATGTGAACGCTCCAGCATCAGACGGTGATGAAGTTGAAGGTGGTGAGGTAATGATCAGTTTTCTATTCCTAAACAAGCATGGGTGACGCTCATTGTCTGACATATAGTCAAGAAAGCAAAGTTGACGCCACATCATTGTTTGTACAGATTGTTGAGATTTGGCATTCAATGATTCACACAGGACATGTTTAATTGTTTTAAAGATTATTTGAAGGTATTTGATGATAGGTATTTTGAAAAGTTATACATTTTTAAGAAATTATTAAAAAGTAACTGTCCTAACCTGATTTGACTAGTACCCTAACCTTCAACGATTTTAAAGGTGAATAATAACTTAACTTATGAATTAAATACAGAAAAAATAGTTAGCTGACTTTACAATTGACTCACCGAGTCGGTCCTTTTATTGTGCATCCGTGCAATAGGCCACTTCAAATGCTGTGGCAAGAGAGACACCAAGAAAGGTTGCTGATATTTAGTTTATGAAGGTTGAAAGAAAATTGTTGATCTAGGGTTGAAATTCAGTTTTTGTATGTGCCATCACTTGGAGGATAGATGCAGAATTTTTGCCTTTACATTGGCACACAGTAGTTTTATTAATTATTAGCTGATAGTGAACATATTTTTTCAGCATCATTTGTTATTCTTAAATACCCAGTCAGCTTAAGATATTTGGTTGTTTTCCATGGTAAGAACCATTTGATTGTGACATCAGCATATCGCTAAATGATTCATATTATAACTCGTGTATCGACTAATTGACTTGTTCCACTTCTATTGTTTCCCGTACCCAGGGCGCCGCAGTTGACCTGAGGCGCAGCATGACGTCCCTGCTGGATGCCATGAGAGACCTGCTTTCTAACATTCACATGCCTGATGGACCTGCAGAAGGCGACATTGACTCTGATGAGGAACGCCCATGAGCCAGTGTTTGTGTATGTGTGATTAAATCATATGTCGTTAAATATATTACAGTTTGTTCATTTAATACTGGTTCTTATTCACCTGGTAAATTTGGTAAGTGATGTGAACAGAGAAATAAAGAAGAAAATTGTTGGAGTAAAACTGTTTTTGTTTGTAACTGATGGAGTAGTTGAAAATTACTTGGAGCTTAATGCTTCTTTTATATCTCCAGGCAATTTTTTTAATTTTTTCAAAATTTTTTATTCTTAATGGTGATTTTCCTATAAAAACTAATAAAATTACGGGGAAAAAATTTCTCGAAAACGGCCTTAAGTATTTTGATCAAAATTTAGTATGTTTAGTCCTTTAAATTCTGAACAAAATGGTTCAAATTCCATTTCCGTAAAAATTACTGTTTTAAATTTACTGTAACTTATGTTATTTCTAGGGGTCTATATTTAGACTAGAGGGCTTGCTTGGGTGGGGATTCTAATAGACAATGATACAAAGTTGTATTTTCGGGAATCCTTGGCCCCGTTTGACTTCAGATTCTCTTTTCCGTGTAGAAACTTTGAATCATTAGAATAATAATTTGAATTAACTACAAATATATTCAAATTAATGCCATGATTTGCATTTTTACATCAAAATACAACATTGCACAATCATGATATTTAGGTCATTGGCCTTTATTACGCATCTGGTTGTTGTTTCAGAAGAGAAGCACAATTATAAATTGTTGTAGTTGAAAACAATTATTTTGTAAGCCTATAAAACATTAGATAACTCATATAGATAACAACATACAAAGTCTTATTCTTTCATTCTTTCCGGGATTTCCCTTCATTCACGCATTCAACAAGTTGCCATGGTTACTAATCACCCTGTTAGAGACTACTAAGCATTTTTTTGCTTGTATCTACGCCAGTGGCATTTTTGTTATGAAGTCATTTCAAACACTTTTAAGGGAAAGCGGTCCAAACCCATTAAAGTTTTTGTGGATGTGCCGGGGATTGAACCCGTCCCGCACCGAAGTCCGAGATGCTAACCACTAGGCTAGCAACACAACATTATGTAGCCTATCAGCAAACTTTTATCATCACTTATTGATAACAACAGCATTTTTATGAGTTTTATATTTTACTAGCTGTCCTACCCTAGGATGAAATAGAAAAATTTAATCTTTACATTATTATGTTGTATAAAATATTTAGACATCCACCAACACTTTAAGGGTGGGCTCTACCTCAGCTCGGAAATCTCAGAACGATGTTCGAAGTGTCCGCCAGACTGCGCCGTGTCGGTTCAACCCAGTTGGAGGGGAAGGGGTGGGAGGAGCTAGGAGGTTCGCGAGTTGACTGCCGCTCCCCGCTAGGCAGTGCAGTGCCCTGCGGAGCTCCCGACGCACACACGCGCAAGCGCAACCAGGTTGTTATTCGCGCGTCCGCATATCTTTTGCTTCTGCTCAAACCTCCATCATGCCCTGCCACCGACACTCACTGGCAGCAACGTGACGTTCACGTTCGCTATCGCTCCCATAAGCTTATACAGTAAAAAGTAAAACATTCCTAAATATTGAGTCTTGTTTGTCATTATTGAATAAAAATAAAATACTTTAGTTATACTTTGTAAAGTATCAGGGTATTTTATTTGTAGACCCGAGTTATGACTTGTAGTGGTTTTTAACTTGAAGTTGAATGGCTGAGTGGTCAATAGTCTAACTAGAACATTTGAAGTATCAGATTCAAGTCCCCAACTTGGAGGGGTTAATTACAAAAATTTTAAAATGCTGTTTTAATAAAACAGTACTATTGAGTACTGGTTTTCTAAAAAAAAAAAACTCTTTATTATGGTTGTTATTAGAACAATCTCATACCCGACGTTAATAAACAAACTTATATTTTGGTAAAGTTTTAAAGCTGAATCTGTGCAAGCAAGTTGCGTTGGCTGAGTATAACTGTTTACAAAGAGGACAGTATACTCATCTATTTACTTACTAGCTGTGTACCCGTTCTACGCACGGGGATCTTATAGTATCAGTTGAAACCTTCTTATATAAAGAACAGTAGTTGGTTTGGATATTTTCAGATATGCTGGCCAAACTATTTATTATACATAACTTCATTTTATGTCATTTGTTGTTGTTCCGGATCGGTATGACAATCAATAAAAGGCTAAATTACCTGTGTCCGCCGGTCGATCCTAATGTATCCTATTACAGGAGATGCATTTCGGCGAAATTAAATCGCCATCATCAGTCCTAATATAAGGACTTGAGCTTCCCCATTAGGTGCATCTTGGAGTTTTTGAAACACATACACGAACTGTACACTTATACACATAACGAATAAAACATAAATACACGATAGGCCTACTTTTATTTTTACTATGGACAAGTAGACGCGCGTCGGTCGTGTGCCGAGTCTTGACTGAAAACGCTCATTTAAAAAAATGTAAGTTTCCCAGCAATATACAACACTGATTCAAGGTCTATTTCCCGGTTATCAAAACTCAAGAACAATTTTATGCACAAAGAATCTCTATTTTCATTTACTGTTACCCTACAAATTATTGCACTTGCGATTTATTAAATCCGTTATGTAAGGAAAAACGTTTTTAATCTTAATTGGTTTGGATTTGCTTTCAAAACGTGATCGGAAATGGTTGCGGTATTTGTAAACGACATTCAATGTAAACATATCAGTGACAGCTAGAAGAAATAATCTTGATTTGAACAGCTGTTCGTTATTTCATAGAAGAATATGTGCTAAACATTGGGAGAAAACTTTACAAAAATCGCACAAAATTGGGTTTTTAATTGTCCGTCATTTTATGTACAAAGTGGTGACGCCATATTTTAATGGCTAATGACAATCTCGCCAATTCAGTGAATGCATTAAAATGATTTGGAACTTTATAGGTACTCTCGTTTTTCAGGAGTAGGCCGCGTAAAATGGCTCTTGGGTCGTAACAGACTGGAAGACAGACAGAAATTTAGATGAGACTTGTTTCGGTTTCTCTAATGTATAACACGTAAAAATAACCTAAAAGTTTATGATTCTGAGCAATGTACAGACAAAACTCTAATTTTATGTATAGGCAAGTATAGATTTAATACGCAAGCAGTTTTTTTGTGACAATTACTCCTCCGAAACTACTGAACCGATTTACATGTTTCTGGAGTCATTGGAAAGAGCCTAACGTGAAGTTGTGCAGGAAACTTTCTTTTTAGGGAAATAATTAGAGAGTGAGGCCCTGGTACCCTTTAAAGTTTTGTATTTCTCCATAAGATTAGCATGGGAAACAAATTTTTTTATAAAACTCCAGCTGTTGTCAGAAATTAAAAATGAGAAGAAAAACCTATGTAAATTGTAAACCGTCAATAATTTTGCTAATTTAATAGTATGAAATGAAATATTCACTATTTGAATTTGGGTTTGCATAAATATTACAATGGAAAAAAGCGAGAGAGCTGATTTACATTACTCCTGATATACTGAAAAATAAAAATGAGTTAACAACACTGTGCTGCATTTCTTATGAACGAGCCGATTTTCAACTATGGAAACATAGGAAAGTTATATAACACCACCAAGGTGAAGAAATAGAAATAATGTTAAGAAGAAACAAGATCAGCTTTTGAAAAGTGATAAGATATTTATAAGAAATGTTAATTCTATCGATCTCTTATGTACATCTTAAAAATGTTATAATCTTTGAGTAGAATCTTTTAAAGTAAGGCCTGGCGCACACGGTCGATTTTTCGATCGGCCGATAAAAATATCGGCCAAAAATAAATCGCCCTTGATTTATGTCCAGGCGCACACGTGGCGATTTTTTAGTCGGGAAATGGATTTTTTTGAGTGCGTTTATGCTATCCAAAAATGGACTTTGTTGAATTAACCTGTGTTTGTGCTCTTCTAATTAGATCAAAGAAAAAAAGAAGACAACTTAAATATTGGGTTCATCCGATAGTAAGTCAGAGACTTTTAAATCGACAGTTTCATAAACTATACACTTTACGTGATGACAGTAAACAGTTCTTTAATTTCTATAGAATGTCTGTTTAAAGTTTCAGTTTTTATTATAACAGCTGTGGTCTTTTTTAGCAAAGAAAACAACACAACTCTCAATGAAGTTCTGACTCCTGTGGAGAACAACAAGCGACTGGCCGATTTTTTAGTCGACCGTGTGCGCGGACTGATAACAATCTGTAGGCCTAGGCTAGGCGCACACGAGCGATTATTTTGAGGCGACTATTTCATCGGCCAATCTGTGCATCATGTATTTGAATGGAAGCGCGCACACAGGCGATCGAGAATTGCGCCGATTTTAAAATCTGGGTTTTACCACAGATTCGTAGGCGAGGCAATTGTCGCCCGAAAATCTGTAACGTACAGATTGTTATCAGTCCGCGCACACGGTCGACTAAAAATCGGACAGTCGCTTGTTGTTCTCCACAGGAGTCAGTGAACTTCAGTGCGAGTTGTGTTGTTTTCTTTGCTAAAAAAGGCCACAGCTGTTATAATAAAAACTGAAACTTTCAACAGACATTTTATAGTAATTAAAGGACTTTTTACTGTCATCACGTAAAGTGTATAGTTTAAAAAACTGTCGATTTAAAAGTCCCTGACTTACTATCGGATGGACCCAATATTTAAGTTTTCTTCTTTTTTTCTTTGATCTAATTAGAAGAGCACAAACACAGGTTAATTCAACAAAGTCCATTTTAGGATAGCTTAAACGCACTAAAAAAATCCATTTCTCGACTAAAAAATCGCCACGTGTGCGCCTAGACATAAATCAAGGGCGATTTATTTTTGGCCGATTTTTTAATCGGCCGATCGAAAAATCGACCGTGTGCGCCAGGCCCTAGATTTTCGGGCGACAATCGCCTCGCCTTCGAATCTGTGGCAAAACCCAGATTTTAAAATCGGCGCAATTCTCGATCGCCTGTGTGCGCGCTTCCATTCAAATACATGATGCACAGATCGGCCGATGAAATAGTCGTCTCAAAATAATCGCTCGTGATTACATAGTTATCATTCAACTTTTTAGTAAACTAATTCCAGGTTCTTGTTTTTAAGAATCTATTGCACGTCTCCCGTTTTTTATTTTTTCTCTAAAAATTATTTTTATGTATTAAAACTCATGGTAAAGAACGCCTCTTTTTACATTTTTCACCAACCTTTGAGCCCAAAATTTTTTAAATTATCAAAATTTAAAAAAACGGGAAACCTACAATAACATTTGACGGAAAATATGACACCAAGATCTTTTAAATCGGTCCACAATTGGGGCTACAATCAGGAAGAACTAAAACCCTTACATTTGCGCGCGCCAGACGGGTAGAGCGCACCCTTAAGAAATAAAACTCAACCATACCACTTTATTTGATAAACGTTTATGGCTTTTAAATCACACAAGTAGTGGAAACCGCAATTTTTGTTTGGGTTAATTTTAAATTTTGTATTTGATAATATAAGAAAATCTTACAAAATGTTCCAATAACATTAAATATATACCCTCCTACTAAATAATAAGGTCTAGGCCTGGGTCTTTTGATTCTCTGGAAAAGCTTTAAAATATTCTAAGAAAATTGAATTTAGCCTAAGATAAAAGGAACACCCAGTTATTGTGTTTAGGCTTAGTTAGAAATAATTTACCAGTAGTTATTGAACCATCTCATCTAATTGTTGTTTCAAACATAATATTTATTCCTAAAAATTGTTAACTTAATTTATATAAATTAGTTAATCAATTCAATTTTGCGAAGAAAATATAAAAAAAATAATAGCAGCCCCGTACCGTTCCGATTTTGTACCGAGAACCGAGGTACAAAATGTTTTACTGTATTGAATCGTACCGACCTTAAATTTTCTATACCGCAGACCCCTAGCTATTTTCCATAAAAACCCCATGAAATAACAAAATATCGGATTTTAAGAAAAAAGCAGGTTATGATTCAAATCAATGTGTTATGATCCTTATAATTCTAAACAAAAATAGTGCAGCGCCCATTGCTGTCAAAATTACGGTTCAAAAGTTATTGCAACATTTGTGATTTATCCCTATAGAATATCATAGTTACTCCCACCGTTTACCAATAAAGGTTGTTTACAAGCTTATGGGATAAAGTATGTGTACCGTGTATTGTACCAATGACTAATTTTAAATCTACTCAATGCTGTTGATGAACTATTGTTGGTTGGAAATATTATGTACAGAAAAGGATTGAAATTGTGAAATTGGTGTCTAGGCTTTTTGAAATAGATTTAACACAACAATTAGGGGAGGGGACACTTTTAGCCACCCTAGGGATTTTTTTGTCTCACTTCATGAACACACAAATAGTATATTTTACTATAAGTAAATAAAGTAACCCATTTTGGAGCAAGACATAGGTTTATGTGTGATCCTCAAAACGGAACTTTTATGAAAAGTAGTGAATGATACTTTTCATCACGATGCAAATAATCACACCCAGCTTCTTAATCAAAATATTATTCCATTGTCTAGTAATTTAAGTTTTCATATCATGTTTTAAAAGTTCTTTATAATTCAGCTGTTTAAACAATGTTTAACCTATGAACACCAACCTTTTAAGAAGCAAAATGCTTATGGAGAATAGTCAGACTGGAATTTTGGCGCTGAAATGAGCATTGCGCTCTCTCTCTCTAAGCCGATTCTTTGTCTCATTCTCTCTCACTCAGACTGATCTTCTCATATTCCCAGACTGATTTTTAACAAAGGCATTGCGATTCTTATAGGTTTTGTATTCATTGGTTTAACACATAAAAAAAAAAATGCTCCGGTTGAGCTAAACAGGAAATTTAGTATGTTTGTGTAAGGAAGAAGTTAGTTTGGGACAATACGTATGTTTCGATGGATTGTAAAACAAATTTTGTTAAGTAAATTTTGTTTTGCTGTAATGAAATGAGCCATTTTCGTATACAGAGGGATTAAAAAATCTAATCTAAGTTCCTAACAAAGAAGTTTTTGGTGGCAACCACACACAAAGTATAAGTAAAAATTCAAAATGCCAGACTTTGGGGCTCACAAAAAAACAACCATCAAATGACTTCCAGCTGAATTAAATACAATTTCTTGTAAGGTCTAAAAAACAGCTTTAGGAAACTTATAGATTGCTTTATTATGTGGTTAAACAATATTTACAGTAATATACAAATATGATAAAGTGATTTTACAGATATTTAATAAGTAGCGATTTAAAATACATTGCTCTTCAATATTGCAGAGAATATTCTAGTTGGAATAGTAGATAAGAAGAAGAAGAATCACTAAGATAGCAGATCCACAGAGTAAAAGGATGCATCTCTTCTTGCGTAGCTTGTTCTGAAAAAAATAAGTTTTTAAAATAAAACCCTTACATTGCATCACATGCTTACATGACATATTCGACATATATGATCAAGAGCTGCAAAACCCTTTCGGCCCATGCTACGAATGCTATTTTTCACCACACTATACAAAAAATTAAGAAAATACAACTTTAAGGTTATGTGGAGAAATAATAAGAGGAATCGGCAAAAATAATAAATAGTTGCTAGGCAGGGGTGACAATAAAACAAGCCTATTGCAATGGATAATATGGATACTGCTTCTGTATTTAATATACACTAGTGTACCTGTTGCTCGAATTCGAGCAATTGCGAAGCATTACAGGTTTTTTTTTTTAAACGAATAACGGTCATAATTTCCGATGACTTTATAAAAGTCGACTCAAAGATTATGGAAATACTCTCGATGTACACAACAGTTAGATAAAACCAAAATTGTTTGTAAATATCTTATCTTTTTTTAAAAGCTGATCTTGTTTTTTAGAGTTTTATACAAATGTTTCCCACTCATAGCCGCATTAGTTTCTCTATAATAACGATTATAAATGAAGAAAAAAACATTATTTCTATTTCTTCTAATTCAGTTTTATTTTTAGTAGGCCTATATCAAATTGTCCAGGATTTCTCGCTTTTTTCCATTGTAATAATTACACCAACCCAAGTATCGTCTACAGATGCAATACGCCAAAGAACATCATCTACGTGCAACACGCCTACGTACAATCTCCAAGAAGTGGTAAAAAAAGGCAGAAACCAACCTATACAATAGACATAAGTTAACTCCATAAGAAATTATTTTAAGAGTTACTGTGATATTAGGATTTTCCACTGATTTGGATTGCACATTATAACATTACAACATTACAACATCATATTGCAAAACATGACAGGATGCAGAAGAAATCGATTTTAAAATCAGAAAAAAACCTTTGCAAATACTTCATTTTGACAAATTTAGTAAATCACAATTTAAATATTAACAGCTGTTTCAAAGTAGTGTAGAATTATGCATATGGTCGTAATGTAAACAAATCTGAAGAGGCAACTTTAAAGGCTTCTGGGGCAGAGCCCCAAGGGAATTTACCTCATTCTTCTTTTGATGGCTCATCTACAGACCAAGACCTTTCTTTAGAGACCCCTACCAAGTCTCTACGCTCAGCCGTTCTCTCAAATTAGCTGTGACAAAAACCCCGTTTTCCTCCATAAGAAAAACATGGGATGGGAATTGAAAGGCCACGGGGGTAGAGCCCCAAGGGAATTCGCCATGTTTCTCTTTTGATGGCTCATCTACAGACCAAAACCTTTCTTTAGACACCTCTACCGAGTTTCTACGCCCAGCCGTTCTCTCAAAATAGCTGTGACAAAGAAAAACAGTTTCAAATTAATATATAGATTCTCGATGTTTTATGGAAATAAGCGAACATCTGATTTTCGGCCCTAGGGATGTAAAAACCTTGGTCCCCAAATGACGATGACAGCTGGCATGGAAGAAATACGTAGGTAGCTTTCAGTCTCCAATTAACGTTTGCAAAATAAATGGCTAAAAACATCTTAGTGTGGTGAAAAATAGTTTTGAAAGCCATCAATTTATATTTAACTAAATATTTATAAAACACGTATCATGAATGTCGGATAGCAGGATCATAAAAATAAAACTACTTTGCTAGATTGATTACAAATAAGATTAATATAGATAAATAGTTTGTTGGTTTTTGTCCTAACGTTATTAATTTATTTATATTAACTCTTAGTGCTAAGAAGAAAAAAATCCATTTAATACAAAATTATGTTTTGTCCAAAACTAAAAAAGAAAAAATACTATATCATCACAACAATTTTCTTTAACGTGCATAATTTATTATGAACAAAATATTCTTAGTTTCAATAGGATATTTTTGTAAACTTAAGTTCAATGAAATCAACAGTAGCTTTCCAGAACTAAATACTTTGCTTCTGAGTTCATAGTAAGAGTAAAGTTTCCAGGTGTCAATAATAAAAATAAAGCTTTACAAACGATTGTAATTCAAAATCTTTTTGGATAAATTTACTTACTTTTCATCGCCTTACATCAATTGGCACTTAAAAATTAAAACAAACCTGATATTAGTATTTGTTGCACTATCGTTTAAAACTTATAAAGGGTGGTAGCTTTGTTAGACCTATTTAATGTTGATTTTAAAAAGAACTGTCTTTTTTTATTATTTTTTTTTTACTGTTTACACAAAGTTAATGTAAAACTTAAAAAGAAATTTGCCAATCCAAATGCTCATCATGTACTGCAACGAAACCAGATGTAGTTTGAAGTTTCAGTTAAATGTACTATTCAAATCTCATACTGCAATGAAGTGATACCAAAGTAACAGTCAACATCTAACATCAACTTATTCATAGAATGTGTTTAATGTACTGTTGTACTTCCTATACGACTCTCTTGTTTACTTTTTTTAAAGAGGTTGGCGGCCTCTTTTAACCTTGCATTTGCCCGTCCATGTAGACTAAGGATCTGTGCGTGGAACGTATTTTAGCAAAGCAAGGGGTGAGCCGGTACAGTACGAAGGTGATCTGTACTCATAAAATGTTTGCGGCAGTGACCAGTATCTGAACCCACAACATCGCTGCCTTGGGCCCGAAGTACGTGACGCTACCGACTCACCTAAGCAGTTTTAAGCAGTTCATCTTTCATGTACAGTAGCACTCCAACCACCCGGATCACCAATTATCCAAATCGCTTACAGAAAAAATTTAAAACCCCTTAAACAACGGTCCTAAGAATTGTTGGAGAAGGCAAATTTTGATAAAAATTCAAACTACCCGATCTATATTGCAGTACTCGATTGTGGTACGGTCCAAATTGATTCCGATGATTTTAATTCTACAGTGTGTGTAAATTTGGTATCTGACTCAACTGTAATGAAATCAATTTCATCAACATCGTATTGTAACCTTTCTAAACCACTGTAAGTGAAAGATTGATGAGTAATCATGCAAAAAATATAAGAATAACAAGTTGAATGGGTGTCAAATATGTGGTCTGCAGGGTTTAGTTTAGACTATAAATGAAATAGTCAATGATTGGCTCTTGATTGTTCTTCCTAATAGGTAGGTAGCCTAGTTTCAGTAGTATGAATGGATATAAATGTTAACAGCCTAATACCTTAAATGTAGCTGATTTCTTTTCCTTTAAGACTTAGTGCAAAGACTAATCAACACAAGTATATTGTACTGAGTGTTTTTTGAAAAAATAACCTAGCAAAGAACCCAAACAATATGTACAACTGGTAATAACACCTTGTAAAATTGAGCCAGTACAGTTCATGCATTTGAGTTATTTGTACAAATTGCCCCCCAAAGTGTATTATTATCAATGTAAGCTACTATTGATTAAATCAGAAGCCCCCGAGTATCTTACAGTGTATTGGGCTGCCTGCTGCAGTTCGCTCGTTGCCTTGCTCACATGGACCGTTGTGTTCTCCAAGCTTGCCTCAATATTGTCCACCATCTCTCCTTGGTCGTGCACCATCACAGCTAACTCCTTAAAGATGTCGTTCACCTCACAGATGTTTTTCTACAACAAAACCATATTTTTATCTGTTAACAAAGCCAGTTAAATTATTTTTTTAATTTTTCAACCCGCGTGTGCAGGCTTTATTCATTTTGCAAAGTAAAGAGGTCAACTTTATAAAATTAATTGAGAAGAGCTTTTTATTTTTTAAACTGTGACTGCTAGACAACTCAACACCAACAGACCAAATCAGACTTAGTCCAAATCTATTTTTTTTAGTTCAAAAGTAAAAACAGCTTAACAAATTTAACATTTTATTTTTTGAAAACAATAGCCATGTATCGGTATAGTTTAATAGTTTAGCTTAGCTATTGACTAGGGATGCACAAATATACCCTCTTGTGTTCAATTTCAGGCCACTTTGTGAGCACAGGCTCACACAAAGAACTTAAGTTCGCTATCCATTTTTAGACCTTCTGCTACATATTTCAAAACACGAACAGTGGTGGAAGGTCCAATTCTTATTTTAGACCTTCCTCTCCTAGTCCAAAATGCATAGACCTTCTGAAATTTAGATCCTCAGAAACTCTCATTTTATAAAAATTTAATAAAAAATATAGGACCAAGGTATAAATTCTGCAAGATCTAAAACAGTAACATTGGATACATTTCCTTCATTTACTGTACTTTTAGACCCTCAGCAACAAGTTCAAAATGTAAATTGTATGCCAAAGGTCTAATTAGACCTTCATCAACACTCCCAAATCTGTTTATAACAGCTGGGTAGGTGAGCAATTATAGAGCTAACCTAACATCAGAAATTTCTGATTCAATCATCTATTCAATGCTAAAGGCGATCAATTCAATCAAAGTCACTAGCTTCTTAATGACTCAACTGACCCAGATATCCTGTCTCAATGAGATGTAAATACATAAATAATTAGAGCTTGCCTAGAAACCTTGAAGATCTCAAATTTGATCTTAAAGTTTGTAGCTTTTATGGTGCACAACTCGCCCAGCTAAAACCTTCATATGTCTGTAAATGTAAAACATGTTTGCGTCAATGTGAATTGTTGATTTATTTGAATGGTATTGTCATTTCACTACATCAGTGAAAATAAATCGCAATATTACAACAATCCTTACCTCCAAAACCTGGATGGACTGCTCCTGTTGCTGCAGCATTTCCAAGTCAAGGTCATCCTGGAGATTCTGCTGTGCCTGCGTCTGTGATTGTCTGCTGTCCTGCAGCTCAATCAGCTGGTTGGAGAATGCGTCATCTGCAACACAAACAGTCAACTTGTTATGATCAATTGATAAAAACCCTTTAAGAAGCGCAATGCCTTTGTAAAAATTCAGTCTGGGAATATTTTAATTTTGGATATTTCCGGCAACGGCCACTATGAAGCGAAGGCGCTACTATTGCGAGTGTGCTAGCCTGTGCATAGGAGCTTAGAGTGCAATTAATTCGATAGACCTGCTCCATCTATTGGTCTTATGTGATTGTTGATAAAAAATAAAGGTTGTTTAACCACAGTTACCCACTGAATTTTTCTATTTATTATGTATTCAAGGCATCCTACTAATCACCAATGGCAGTTTGATATGTGATAATGCTGTAACCTGGGTAGTTTTGAGCCTGCCTTTAGCTTAAGACTTGACATGTTTAGCCTCTGGATCATGTATTTTACAAATACAAATGTAAATACTAAATACCTGCTGTGGATGTTAATGTAAATTTATTTGAATTTGAATCTCATGGGGAAAGATAAGTGTTACTGTTTATAACTTTCTTACCAAGAAGAACTTTTAATGTTACCTTGAATTAGATTTTTCAAATAAAATCAAATCTCTTTATTTAACATAAAAACTATATATGCAAGACATATCAGACTCAGGAATTATTCCCCCGAACGGACTACAATAGACCCGGATATGTACAAGCTCGTGCTCGGGGAAAGAGAGTATCTATACCTCATTCTTGTATACTTATGGTTAGTGAATAAGTTTATTTCAATCTAAGACCAACATGAAATAGAAACTCTAGCACAATACTCTAGTACTGCTACACTGCGGCCAAAGTTCCCTAGAATATAAGAACGTCATCCTGCAAGAGCGGAAATACTTAATAAGGTAATTGAAAACAATATGTGTAGTAATTTTTTCAATCAAATTCTGATTTGTGTAAAATACGATGATTATTTTTGCTTTATTCCTGAGGTGTACCCACTTATTCGAATTTCTGCATCAGAATCGGCACAATTCCCAATCAAAGTTAGGATAATCAGAGTTCTACTGCAATATCTTTCCAAACCCTATATAGATTTAATCAAGATGTACTATCAAATTACAATAAAAAACAGTTTCTACTGTACAGATGATGACATTTACGCATTTTCAGAATTTTACCCCCGGGCAAAACTGACGTCACTGCCAAGGAGGTTAAATTTCCGCCCACTAGTGTTAGCCACACTAGGTGTTTGAGTTTGCACAATATGAGTTGAATAAATAAAACTGTGAAATTAATCAGAAAAAAATGAATTAAAAAAGGAAGTTTATTCCCTTATGAGATCAGTTCAAAATGTAAGACCTGGCATTTTTTTGACGCCAGTTTTGTCGAGGGGATAAAATGTTGGCAACCCACAATAGGTGCACTTTTATTACCTCCAAAAATATCTTTAGAGGATGGCGGTGGAGCTATGTTGGAGTTAGCTCGTACCCTCCGAACTTCTTCTTTTTCTTTCTGCAGTTCGAATCTTTGGATATCCTGGAATGCATTTGCAGCAGCAGCAAACTCCTCATGTAGTCTGTCTTTCTGCATTTTGAATTCTCTCTGCAAAAATAAATTAAGTAAGTCCCTAGCTATTTGGTGGTTCAACTGGACCCAGCTGCTCTTGATCGTTGGGCTTTTAATAGATGGTCCTGACTAATGGAACAGCTGGTTTTAGTCAGTAAGATAGGTACACAAAGCATCTAACTTCATTGTACCAAGGCCTCACTAGAAAAACAGGCCATGCTGCAGGATCCATGACGTTACACTAGTGGATAGATTCATTGGTAGATTTACTGCCATATCCCATATGTTTTAGGTAAATAAGCTGGCTGTTTGTAAGATTTTAGTACAACTATCCACCACTGTGACGTAGTGTTGTGCTGCTCGCGCTGCAGCATGGCCTGTTTTTCTAATAGGGTCTTGATTGTATGCTCATCCTTAACTTATATTTGGGTTGAAATACACAGCTTGGTGGTGACCCCATGTTAATTGGTAACAATAATGATAATGGTTAAATCAACTCTTTGAGAGAATATTTTTAATAGAGAAGTAGCTATTAGATTTTGTCTGATGGTTAAGGCCTGAGTGTGTGAATGAATCACGCTATTAGATATATTTATATTTTCTCTATACTCAAGCTGTTCTTCAAATTCTGAAATTTGTGAAAAAAATTAAAAATTATAGGTTTTGCAGCGGACCAGTGGGAAAGTATTATTTTACAAATAAATACAGTAGATTTATAATTTAGTTAGTTTTTCAGCTAAAATAGTTTTAGAATAGGTTAGAAAAAAAATTGTCATGACATCATACATAAATTGGACAGAGACTTATAAAATCTGTTTTAGCTGATCTATTACAAAAAGTATTGACTAATCTATGCTATTACCCATAATACATTGATATGATGGATAATTATTCACCTCATTTATTGAATGTGCAGGCAAAGGAATGTTATTTAAGTCTTTCAAGTTCAGGTTTGTATCTTTCACCAGATTCTGGGTGTAGTGTTGGACCTCGTGCCTGAAAAAATGTTTTCCCATAAACAGTATTAAGCAAAAATACAATGAAATCTATATAAATAAAATTAGAGTTTTGTCTGTACATTGCTTAGAATAATGAACTTTTTGGTTATTTTTACATTTCATAGGTCAGAGAAACCGAATCAAACCTTATCTCAATTTCTGTCTGTCTGTCTGTCTGTCTGTCTGTCTGTCTATCTGTCATTCTCTTGGTAACGCTAAAATACGCACTTTATTACAACTACTCCTCAATAACTATAGCACTGTCCCGCCTGAAACTTATTTTCCAAATACTATACATATATGAGATGGTTTTAGACGTATTTCATCGAATATGAGACAGTTAGATATTTAACAGTAAACCCTTGAAAATCAAGTTTTTGTCGATTTTTGACGTGGAATTTCTGGAAGCCCATGTTAACCTTATGAGAAATGAAATTATTGAATCTTAACAGCTGTTTCAATTAAACAAGTTGGTTCTGTTCTGTGATGTTCAATAGCATTAAAGTTACAAGGATTACCAACAGGGTGCAGCACTAGCACTATTATTTCTTTTACATTTATGACAACAGCTAATTTGCAACCTGGAGGCGAGTGAGCGTAGCGAACGAGCTAACCTGAAGGCAAGTGAGCGTAGCGAACGAGCTAACCTGAAGGAAAGTGAGCGCAGCGAACGAGCTCCAACATACAGGTGAGTGAGCGTAGCGAACGAACTTCAACCAGGACGTGATTGAGCCATGCAAACGAGATCAGATAGTAAAAATAAAAGTAAGCCTACCGTTATAGGATCGACCGGCAGACACAGAGGTAATTTAACCTTTTATTGATTGTCATACCGATCCGGAACAACAAAAAACAACATAAAATGAAGCTATGTATAATAGTTTGGCCAGCATATCTTAAAATATGCAAACCAACTGCTGTTCGTTATATAAGAAGGTTTCAACTGAATATTATAAGATCCCCGTGCGTAGAACGGGTACACAGCTAGTCATGAATAAAGTAAGTCGTTTGGTTAATTTACATTTAACAAATTCTTCTTTTATCATACTAGATTTTTAGTAGATAGGCCTACATAATTAGATTCCAATAAAACTATGGAAATGGTTTTCAAAGATAGCGAGTTGACAATACACTATTTGATAAAATTTGAGTACCTTATTTTGGTTGCATTTAACTCAATAATCATTTTGACGGATAAGAAAATAAGCCTATTTAAAACTTACATTTTAACTCTTTGTTCAAAACCTTAGATTTATCGGTCTTAGACTACTACTTAAAACTTACATTTCAACTCTTTGTTCAAAACCTTAGACCTATCGGTCTTGAATTAAAACAAAAATATATTTTGTCAAACCAAAAATATATAAGTACTGTAATTCTTGGTCTAGGACAAATCAGTAGCAAAAAATGATCACGTAGAGTCATAAAAGTTACGGTACAAGATTTTTGGTCCAGGATCATGTGACTTGTGCAGCCCACTTGCATAAGTTCCCTGTGAGGGGGGATGAGGCAGGAAGGAAATGTTTTGGATTTCTTGGAGAAAATGGCCATTTGGAGGGTTGAATGTGTCCTGTTGTTCCCTTTTCAAAGTCCAATCATCCAATTTTGTGGCCACAATGTCATCTTTGAAACACCAATCTTGAGATGATTTTCAGTAAGAAACTGACAGTGACTAACTTAACCTAGCCAACCAAAATAGGGTTGTATTTCCTGTAGTAATTATGATTATGGGGGAATACTATATTGTTTTATAGGAACATTTAATGATGCAGGCATCACTTCTGCCACTACCCAATCAGTATTTCTATCTCTTTCCATTGAAGGGAATTGAACTCAATCTTCCAACCCCTTCTTGCAGTCCTACAACCTTTGAAGGATTAAGTAAGACTAATGATTCGCCATAGAAACAAAAACTAATGAGCGAATGGGCCTGTCGTTCGTTTCACTTTAATTTATTTTACTATGAAAAAGTTTATTTTACTATGATGGTAGACTAAGTAAAAACACTTACAACTCATTCTTCATTTGTTGCGAGTCTTGGGGTGTCCCAAGAAGGTTTACCATCCGTTTCATGGAAGACACTGGAAAAGGAGAGCAGTTAGAAAGTCACTTATGTTAGAAACGGGAACAAAATATACAAAACAGCCGCACTGGCCAACCGGTATAAATTGCATTACTTTTAAAGAGGTTAACACCTAGCCGCAGTAGTGACGGAAACAAATTGAACGAAAATTGTATGCCTCATTAGAGGTTCTAAAAACTTTTACCCACAGCACTTTGACTCATGGGAATAAAAGAAGGTTGTTCAAAAGCAAACCAAGGCAGAACAGGACTCATACTCACAAATACTTTCATTACTTGAAGTGTGCAAGCGACTATAAGATGTCACCAATTCAATATTTTGGATTGGTAAACAAATATTTGATCCCATATTTGCAATGAGATAAGTGTCTGTCTGCCTTGCCAATTCGTTAAACGGTCCAGTTTTCACGTGAAACTTAGTATAAATATTGTAAATAATGTAGGCCTACATGGTTTTATTATTAAGTATGGCGCAATCTATCGAACTAGTTCTGGTAAAGATGAAGAGTGCAAGTATTCAAGAAGCGTAATCTATATAATTAATACGCTACATGAAACTTTGTCGGTTGAACTCCTCCGCCATTTCTTAACCGATTTTATCCATTGACGTCTCATTGGAAAGAGCGTGTCGCGTAGATTTGCAAACTGGCATTACATTTTTTAAAAATTCCCTTGGGCTCTGCCCCAGTGGGTTTGAAAGTTCCCATGTTATCCTTATGGAGAACTTAATTGTTTACATTTTGATCAGCTGTATAATTTAATTGCTGTTATTTATTTTTCAATTCGAAACGCATTGAGTACATTTATTTACTTTTTGAGTTTGTGTAAACATAACCCCCAAGTTTGATGGTGTTAGTATGGTTGTATCTTAAATTTGTGTATTTATCGTTGTTTTGTGTTGCTATGACGGATTGTGTTAGCTTGATCGTAACTTTAATTTGTGCATGTATCGTTGTTTTGTGTAGCTATAATTTGTTTATTTGTTGTTTCTTTCTTTCAAATGCCTCCGACGCGACGGCAACGCGAAACATAGGCAGGAGACGTAATCGTGATAACGACCGCAGCTACAGAACAGTGGCGCGTAATAGGCTTTAACTCATCACAGTCAGCACCTGACCCTGGACAATCTCAACTATTAGGATACAAATGCACCCTAACACTACTCCAAAACGACTTTTCGCTCTCAATTGGCCCTCTATCAATGACCTGTGTTGCCTGTACAGCGAGGCATTTTGAGAAGGAGAAAACCGGCCGGAATGCTTTAGGTTTATCAATAACAAAGATAAACATGGTCTAAGTTACTCACCGGTAATCTTTAGAGTTGACTCTTTTAAACTCATTGTAAATATGACTGTTATTTGTTTTGAAATAACTTCTGTAATACTTTGCAATTGCTCGAATTCGAGCAACATGTACACTAGTAAAGATAAATGTGGGATGGGACGGATGTTTTGTTGGCTTTGTTAATGACCAAGTCCAGTTCTTTCTTAAGTCAGAACCATTTATGAAAATCCCTAATCTATATATTATAATTTCTGAAGTACTTTTTTTTGTCCGTACTTCCTTAATCTTCTTTAATTCTTAACCAATAAACGACATGTCATTTTAAATCTCTTTTCACACAATACATCAGAAAAGTACATAGAAATCACTAATTTTTAGTTGTTTTTTTTTATGTGATCTATTTTATCATTCTGCAAGTAATTTAGACTTGAAATGTTTATTTACGTTACTTTTCAAATCAGAGTGATTTGTTTTTACTTCACCCATGACGACCAACATACTTAGTCTGTGCTTTCTACGATAAATCAAATCAAAATGCCTTTATTCTTGAGCGCTTCTCAATACAATATTGGTTTACAGAACAACTTACATCACTAAAACTAAACATTTACAAGTCAAATATCTAAACAAATTATGTACAAGAATAAAACAACAACAAAAAATTACATGCCTGCTTTAGGCCTACAATGCATTTTAATCTTTTTTTAAAGCTGAGGCCAAAAGGCTTTTGAACTGATAGGGGAGGTCATTCTAAATGGTTGGGCCAGAATAGGAGAACCCACTCCTCCCTATTTCCAAATTAACTTTTGGAAAGTGGAGGAGGGTGTCCTGCCTAATGCCCCGTCGAGCAATTGCTCCACGTGTCACAAGTCTCTCCACCAGGTATTTTGGTTCTCTGTGAGATAATACCCGATGGATGAGACAATTGTCTAAACAAGAACAACACAAAAGTAAGTAAGTTACCACATGGATTCTTTGGCTTTTATATTTCTTTATTTACGACATTGCCTTCATTTGGACATACCTACCAACCATTTTTATGTATCGTTAAGAATTCCATATTCTTTTCTTTATTACAGGTTTCAATGAATGGTTATATTGTGGTTGTGTTGAATTTGTTACCGACAGGAAACGGTTTACTGTAGCCTATATCAATTTTATTCGGTTCCTTACCAAGGGACGTGCAAAGCTTTATTGTTTCCATTACAGTTTTTGAACTCATTAAGCCCTTTAGGTTCATTACCTCATAAACCCATGCTAAAAAGAACTCTATTATCATGTTGATGAGAAACCTAAAGCAGGGTCCAAGAATTTTTGTTGATCTCTTGGGCACCTACACTATCAAAGCGAAGTTGGCTGACAACGGTCAAACAAAGGAATAGTCCAAAATCCTTTAAAACTGACTAAGAAGGAATTTCCCTTACAAGTTACCTTTGTCTGGACTTTAACACTTTCGCTGCAGCCCGCTAGATGCCGGGACGGCGCCAGGAGCTAAGCAAACGCTCGCCGCTGCGTGACATTGCCGCCGATACACTGAATTACAGTAAAAACAACAGTAGTTATACTGAATGGCAATGCTCTGCAATAAAAATGGCTTTTGGCGTAGTACTAAGTGATTCTGATAGATAGCAGCACTACCCAGGTTACAGTCGATAAAGTAGAGTCGCTATCTAGCAGGAAAGAGATGGAACAAAGCCCTGTTCCAAACGACCCTGGTGGTGATTTTGGGAAACTATATTTTTTATTGTCAGAAAAGTACGTCCCCACGAGCTGCAAAGAAATATAGGACGCTTGCGACAAGCTGGCTTATCCATGGCAACGTTAAACAACAATGAACGGTGACGTTCCGGAACGTTCCTAGCTCCTGGCGCTGTGGCCCGGCTGACGTAGCGAACGTGTTAAATAAGGCACATGGATTGGCAGACAGACACTAAGGAAGGAAGGATTACAGTAGGTGTCAGACCCCGTTTTTTACATGTTCAGTTGTTTGTGGCTTTGTCAAGGGTGAGCTTTTTCAGTTAAATCTATGCCTGTGTAAAAACAAAGCCATCAACACAAAAATTTTATATAGCCATATTATTACTTCAAGAAGATAGTGTTCTAAGAGGTCCTATAAACATGAAAAAATGTAAATAACTTAACATTATATTTTGAAAAAGTTAATAATCTAAAATGTAAACCCAAATCTATTCCTAAAAGTAAGAACCCGTACTTAAATCAACAATGCACTTACACAGTATTACCTGTATGTTGTGTTCTTCAATTACGGGATTTGAGAAGGATTCAGTGAGAATGATTCAAGTGTGTCGGCTAGTATTAACAAATCCTATCTTCTTTCGGCTAAGGAATTGAATTTCTAATGCTAATTTTCAGACAAGTGGTTATAGTGCTTCCTGTTTGCCTAGTAGTTACAAGATAGCTGGAATGTACTATAGAAAAGTCAATTACTATTTTATGGATTCAAGACTGGGCCCAGCTATCCTTGATCATCAAATAATAAATTAATGGTCCTAGCTAAAAAAAAGCAGCTCTTCTTAAGGCCTGCCGACACTGGCGCGGTATACTGCCACCGGTGCGGTAGGTACAATTTACCCTCGTACCACAAAAGTGCTGCATGCGCTATTTTTGCTGCGCGGTATTTCAGCGGTACGCATATTCTCAGTGTAGAGCAGTTGTCAGTTGAGTTAGCAGCATGCCTCCTGATCGATTGATAGAAGTAGGTACCACATACAGCGTACCGCGCCAGTGTGGGCACCCTACCATACAGCTACCGGTGTATCTGACGAGGCGGTATTAATACCCATACCATAGTGTATTACCGTTGTACAAATCCTATTTATTAATAGGAAAGCACATTTCTTGAAAACCTTTTTTCTCAGCTCGGTGCATCGCTGGGAAAATCCACCCATAACTTACAGTTAAAAGATATTTTCCTGTAGATGTGCAGAATCCCTTTGGAAATTAAAATAAACTAAAAAATGAATTTAAAATTAAATAAATTTAACAGGCCTTTGTCATTTTGGTGACGAAATAACAATGAAATATAACTTAAACAGAAAAGCAAAACAAATGGAAGAAATTCCTATCACATGTTTCATTTACAGCGTGGGGTGAAAATAAAGTCTGTGACACATTAATCTGCATATTTTTGGTCAAGTTTTCAACTGTTGGACAACCTCTAGTTTAATTTAATCTAAGCTTAACTTACAGCTAAATTTAAACAACTCTATTATAAAAAATGCTACACTATCCATATAATATCTATAAAAAGCTTACCGTTAGAAGAAATCTTTTGTATGTTTGTTCCAATCTTCTGAGCAATTTTCCTGAAGTCATTTGATCGATCTGAACCAACTCCATTAAACTGGTAGGAATTGGAGCTGTAGCCCCCAAAGCTGCCTTCCATCATGATTGCTTTTGACGATTTTACACAGTCTGAAACATATTTGACATAATCTAAATTGAGTTTAAGTTAGCTTAAAGCTGACTTAAATAAATTATGTTTAGCCTAAAGTATTGTGACTTAAGTTAAATTTAAGATAAGTTACTTACTACATTTTTTGTTAGGCCTAGTAAAATTGTTTGTTTAAGCTTTATCCATTTGGAAATAGCCTAAACCTTCAAGGCAGATTGGTAAAAAATAGTTAGGCATAAGTTATCCTTCATTAAGATTGAATAGCAAGGGTAGGCCTTGCAAATTGTGCTAGGTGTAGGCCTATTTAGAAAATGTAGAGAAATAACTTAAGTTTCAATATAGTATGATAGGGCAGAATATTAGGCATATTAATTAGTTGCAATCTCGTAAACACAGATATAAAAGGAGTCAAAATATATTACTTGTCAAAAGTGATTAGCTCTCAAACAAACCCTTCCCCCATGGCCACATTAGCTGTTTTAAGTTCTTGGTGTTGATGATAATTGCAAATATTTATTATAATTCCTACCTTAGTACTCACCAGGATACTAAAGGACTTTGCACAACCAATAAATGCACAGTAATTTTCTAATTGCATTAGATTTCTAAAAACAAATTCACTAACTGACAGACTCACACTGACGCACTACTTCATGTTTGACGTACGACAAGCTAGCTAACATTTGTCTGCAACTTCAGGTTAGCCACTCTGCGATTGTTTATTAACAGTTGTATAAATGTGCAGTACTATTTAAAATGTTGTGCAGATTAACAAAGCGGTTATTAAACATCTAAATAAATGGTATCAGCAATCGGACACATACTTTCTCCTATTTACCCATTATCAACAGCCCTTATCATTTGTAAGCCTAGTGAGTAACTATCACGAATACTTGAAAAAGGTTTTATTCTAGTACTCGTGGTAACTATTATGGGGGGAATCGCAAAAGTTGCAGTAACTTTCATACTGTAAGTTAAAAGTTACAGTGCACGATAAAAGTACTTTACGTTACCGTTACTTTTCCGTGTATAGGCACGGCAAAGGACAACTTTCCAGCCTATCAATACGTATAAAAAAGTACCAGTTTCTGTGTAGTATGATGTACAATGCTTTTACGCATACAGGTGGCCATCAGCCTGTAGTCAGACTCCTCTAGGCCTATCAGACTAGATTACTCACTAAAAAACCACTCCACTCTGTTGTACACAGACCTGGGATTGTTTGTCACATTACTTCAGGTCAGGTCAACGTGTGATCTAGACCACGGCCGCCTTTAACTACAGGCCGAGGCCTGGTAGAATTGGCAACGTCGCAAGTGGTGTTGTTCAGTGACAGACGTCCGATGGCAGACAGGTGACATCAGCTCATCAATTCGCACTTTAAATTTAAATTAAATAAGTATAGATTTACTTAAATTTAACTTTCGATTTAAATTTATGAACATAAATTTATTAAAATATTTAAAATAAAACATACAAAATTGAAAACCGAAATAATATGAATTAAAATCTATATCTGTACATTTTTTAAGCGGAGTCAATATTGTCACAGTCCAGTAACCAATCTATCGTAAATACCACGGTCGCCTTTAACTACAGGCCGCGGCCTTCGAACTGGCAACGTCGCAAGTGGTGTTGTAACAGCTGATTTTTTGGAAGCAACTAATGGTATTTGTGTATTTACGAAAGATTGATTACTGGACTATGACAATATTGACTCGACACTTACAAATGTACAGATATATATTTTAATTCATATTGTTTCAATTTTTAGGTCTGTATGTTTTATTTTCAATATTTTTCATAAATTTATGTTCATAAATTAAAAATTAAATCAATAAAGTGCGAATTAATGAGCTGATGTCACCTGTCTGCCATGTTATCTTATGGTACGTCTGTCACTGAACAACACCACTTGCGATGTTGCCAATTCTACCAGGCCGTGGCCTGTAGTTAAAGGCGGCCGTGGTTAATACACAAATACCATTAGCTGCTTCCAAACCAAAACAGCTGTTACAACACCACTTGCGACGTTGCCAGTTCGAAGGCCACGGCCTGTAGTCAAGGTGGCTGTGTCTAGACCCTCCTGGGCTCACGCAGTTTCTGGCATTCTATTCCTATATGGTGAAGGTTGAGCTTCTAATAAATTAAATGTGCTATATGACAAATATATTAGTAACTTACTAGCTGACCAACTATTTTTATAGTTTAAATAAACATACTTTTGACTAAGGGAATACAAAATTTATAACAAACTAGCTGTGTACCCGTTCTACGCACGGGGATCTTATAATATTCAGTTGAAACCTTCTTATATAACGAACAGCAGTTGGTTTGCATATTTTAAGATATGCTGGCCAAACTATTATACATAGCTTCATTTTATGTTGTTTTTTGTTGTTCCGGATCGGTATGACAATCAATAAAAGGTTAAATTACCTCTGTGTCTGCCGGTCGATCTTATAACGGTAGGCTTACTTTTATTTTTACTATCTGATCTCGTTTGCATGGCTCAATCACGTCCTGGTTGAAGTTCGTTCGCTACGCTCACTCACCTGTATGTTGGAGCTCGTTCGCTGCGCTCACTTTCCTTCAGGTTAGCTCGTTCGCTACGCTCACTTGCCTTCAGGTTAGCTCGTTCGCTACGCTCACTCGCCTCCAGGTTGCAAATTAGCTGTTGTCATAAATGTAAAAGAAATAATAGTGCTAGTGCTGCACCCTGTTGGTAATCCTTGTAACTTTAATGCTATTGAACATCACAGAACAGAACCAACTTGTTTAATTGAAACAGCTGTTAAGATTCAATAATTTCATTTCTCATAAGGTTAACATGGGCTTCCAGAAATTCCACGTCAAAAATCGACAAAAACTTGATTTTCAAGGGTTTACTGTTAAATATCTAACTGTCTCATATTCGATGAAATACGTCTAAAACCATCTCATATATGTATAGTATTTGGAAAATAAGTTTCAGGCGGGACAGTGCTATAGTTATTGAGGAGTAGTTGTAATAAAGTGCGTATTTTAGCGTTACCAAGAGAATGACAGATAGACAGACAGACAGACAGACAGACAGACAGACAGAAATTGAGATAAGGTTTGATTCGGTTTCTCTGACCTATGAAATGTAAAAATAACCAAAAAGTTCATTATTCTAAGCAATGTACAGACAAAACTCTAATTTTATTTATATAGATGAAACTAATTTAATGCGACATTTATGATCGAACATAACACCGCACCGCAGAATCCAAAAGGAACTGGACAATAGATATGAGGTGTGAGCTGCCGCGCGCAGTGATGCCGCTACGTAGATGGCTGGTGGGATTAACGCCGAAGTTAGTTGTAACATTGTAGTGTGGTGTAAAAGCTTTTTACGCCACACCACACTGTTTTGAGTTTTGACGAACTTCCCACGACTCGACTTCGTCTCGCACGGAACGATCACACACTCGTCCAGTAAACACATATTTTCAGGACTAGTAACGTACAGTAATATACTATTACCGTGCAGTGCGCACTTACTTACTTTACTTATCCGTTATTATCGTTACTTTAGTTATCGTTACTTTTCCGTGTTTAGGCATGGTAAAGGACAACTTTCCTGCCTATCAATACGGATGGAAAAGTACCTCTTTCTGTGTAGAGTAGTAAGGTGTAAAATATTTTACTCATTGAGCTTAAAAATTAACTGTTAAATAAATTCCTAAAAACAATGCCCAGTGGTTCAGAACAGAACAGTTTCGTCGTTTCAAGAAGAGCTTGAAATTGAAATAGCCCAGCAGAAGTCGGTACAACTACAACGGGCAAACGAAATAACAAAGATTCAAGCTTCACAAATTCACTTAATTTCAATTGCGGTCTGAGCTTGATAGACCCCAAGCATTTAAGACACTCGACAATCCACATCAACTGCCATGAAGTGCATAATCACTATCACAATCTTTTAAAAAATTAACTATGTGTGAATATTTTCAAACGATGTTAACAAATTGACACTTTTGTACTACAATGTAACTAGTGTTCCTTTCAGTTTCATAAATTCATATGACAAATTAAAATAATACCATAGACTAACCAACACATGTAACCTTATCATCCTATTATAAATATTATGAAACTCTTTTTTTGGTGTCTAGTTCATGTCCGGTGGCTGAATTTTTATTTCAGGATTAGTGTCGCCTACAGTATTATTTTGAGGCTTCTGATTGGCTGAGGGAACATCATTACCGCGACGATACGATTGATGCCATCGGCTTCGGTGGTGTAGTGGATAGAGTGCTGGACTGATGATCCGAAGGACCCGGGTTCGAATCCCACCCGTAGCACTATTTTTTTTATTGAATTTTTTTCACCCATATTTATAGTTTTATTTTATGAACAGATTTTTTTCGGTTAAACCTTCATTTGATTTTTCATTATAAGAAGGTCTGGTTAGTTTGGTTAGGTTATGATAGTTTAATTTTAGAATTAAAAATTTATAAAATAGGATTTGAGGCATTTATAATTTTATTTTATGAACAGAACTATTTTTTCGATTAATAAACCTTCATTAGATTTTTTCATCGTCAGCACGTTTGGTTGGTTAGGTTAGGTTATGACGGTTTAATTTCATAATAAAAAAATATAAAATTGAATTTAAGGCATTTATAATTTTATTCTATGAACAAAAATAAATTTTCAATTACTAAACCTTCGTTATAGTCGATCAGAAGCCTCTAAATGACACTGTTGGCAAAACTAATCCTGAAAAACAAATTGTGCTGTCCGGTGGCACTGATTGTTAGGTTCGATGCAATTTCGTTTCTATTATTTTAGTTTATGGTTAATATCATGAGTTGTGTTGTGCTTTACTGTTTGGATGTATGACCAAGGGAGTATGTTTTTCCAATGCAAATACAAACCCGAAAGATACAACCAAAATAAAAAATACAGGGTGGCTGAAAAGTAACTTGCACCCTTCCTTAACTTTTCAACCATTTGAGATATTTGAAATCGGTTTGCGGCAACCTTCTTAGATATTAGGGGCTACAATAACTATGGTCGATTTTGAAAATTTTGCCCTTAGGGGTAGCGGGGGTTGGGGGTAGCTCAAAATTTTCAAATGACAAGTATAGTCGAGTTTAGTATCATTTTACAGGTCTTGGCGAAACATAAAAATTGACATAAAGAAAACCAAAATCGGCCCACTAATAACAAAATGGCGCAATAAAACGTTTCAAATCCAAATAATCATGAGGGTGGCAAAAAAATTAACTTGCACCCTCTTTAACTTTTTAACTATTTGAGATATTTGAAATCGGTTTGCGGCAACTTGTTTGGATATAAAGGGCTACAATAATTATGGTAAGTTTTGAAAATTTTGCCCTTAGGGGTAGTGGGGGTTGGGGGTAGCTCAAAATTTTCAAATAGCAAGTATAGTCGAGTTTGGTATCATTTTGTAGGTCTTGACGAAACATAACAATTAACATAAAGAAAATAGAAATCGGACCATTAATAACAAAATGGCAGCTAAAAATGATTGAGAAAATGGTTATTTAAAGTAGTTTTGAGCTGCCATTTTGTTATTAATGGTCCGATTTCTATTTTCTTTATGTTAATTGTTATGTTTCGTCAAGACCTACAAAATGATACCAAACTCGACTATACTTGCTATTTGAAAATTTTGAGCTACCCCCAACCCCCACTACCCCTAAGGGCAAAATTTTCAAAACTTACCATAATTATTGTAGCCCTTTATATCCAAACAAGTTGCCGCAAACCGATTTCAAATATCTCAAATAGTTAAAAAGTTAAAGAGGGTGCAAGTTAATTTTTTTGCCACCCTCATGATTATTTGGATTTGAAACGTTTTATTGCGCCATTTTGTTATTAGTGGGCCGATTTTGGTTTTCTTTATGTCAATTTTTATGTTTCGCCAAGACCTGTAAAATGATACTAAACTCGACTATACTTGTCATTTGAAAATTTTGAGCTACCCCCAACCCCCGCTACCCCTAAGGGCAAAATTTTCAAAATCGACCATAGTTATTGTAGCCCCTAATATCTAAGAAGGTTGCCGCAAACCGATTTCAAATATCTCAAATGGTTGTAAAGTTAAGTGGGGGGGTGGGGGTGCGAGTTACTTTTCAGCCACCCTGTATATATGTAAAATATCGAACCACGTTGCTGCATTGTTTAAGGTTTATACAGAGTAAAGCCGGCCAATTTTGGCAAAATGTGGTGTGGTGGCTGTCTGTGGTGCCGTGCGGTGCGGCGGTGTGGCAGACCAGCAGAAGACCAGGTGTAGTTTTGCTTGTTTTGGTTTATGTTTATGTCATAACATAAATTGTTGTTATGTTTGTAAGGTATGGTCTGTAGGGGAGTGATATGGATTTGTATTTTGTAATAAGAAATAATTGAAATCATGATTCATGAACGGTCGAATTAAATGTGAGAAATTTGATAAATTTAATTTATTGATGTTCCTCCTTCACTACACTTAACTGGCAGTAAGTTATATTATTACAGGTTTAACTCAGGTTTTTGAAGTTAGGCCTATTAAATAGGCTACCATTGACAACTCATTCTCTTAACTGTAAATTGTCAGCAATATACACTTTCACAACTAACTAGGCTAGTAGTAAGAGTATTGTATGACTGTGAGAAATGAAGATGCATTTGTTGTGATGGATGGGAACTAACTTATTGAAGGGAAATTAGCTATCAATTATCAATCAATTATCAATTAGTTAAGATGGGGACGCCACTATGTGCGTATTTTAACCCAAATATGAGTGAAGGATGAGTGTAGGATGAGTGGCGCGATCTTGTAGTCTTGTTAGTGACTAAGGCCGACATGTTCCTTAGACACAGCTGTTAATTAATAGCCCATACAGCTAATGGCAACTAAGGGACCTACAGTTTATAGTGGAATCCGAACCACATTTTTCCTTGTAATTTACGAATTGGTCTAATTATCAGGATAGTACTGCGGATAGTCGTAGTACTCACTAGTGCGGACGTTAATCCACACCAGGGAGCATCGCATCCACAGTGCATCCCTATAAATATCCACAATTCGTGACCTCCTAGTAGCTGGATTACAGGACGACGCCACCCGTCCCAGTCTGATACTAGATATTGCAGACGCCATCTCCGCCGCGCCGCGTGTGCTACTTTCTTTCTGCCGGTTCATTTTTTGTGGTAGGTGCGGGCGTCTTCTGCAGAATTTGTCGACGGGATGTTTGATTTGATAAGTGAGTTCACAGTGTGTATCCTGTAATGTTTAGATCTTATGTTGTTCTCTTCAGTTAGGAACAGTATGGTAGTAATGCGAAATGTTTGATGATTAATTTTTTCCTATTACGGTAACTGTTTTGGTGCAGTGGTAGAAGGTAGAACATAATGGCTAAGGTAAATGTGTAACCATAGCATATAGCCTAATTGAACCAAATTTTCACACCAGGTCCTCCCCCATTCAAACGCACCTAACGCATGAGTAAGCTTATAACTGCAATAAGCATTTTTACTTATACGCCAACCATATACGAAGGACAGGCACTCTGCAAGTTAGGCCTATATCTACCTAATGTAAGAGTCAAACACAAAATTTGTGATAAGTTAATTGTTTTGAAGATGTAGGTACGCATAAGCTAGAATCACCCTGGACAAGGTGTCGTTTCATAGGTCCAGGCATATAGATTTGTCATCAGACAAAGTTATAAATTCAATCAGGGCTCTGCCCCCGTAGCCTTAAGTTATCTTTATAGAAAAGTGAATAGGTTAAAATAGGCCTACTTTGATGTTCATCTATTCGGTAAAGCGACAACAGGACTGAATTTGACCTGGGCCAACCTGAGCCCCCTGGGGCAGGCATGTGGCATCTTCCGAGGGTGCGACATTAGGACTGAATAGAATTTTCCTGTTCTCCCTGCCTAATTCCCATCCACCCACGGACACTTAGTGAACTAGTGGGGTTGGCTCATGGAATCGTTCACGGAAATATTTACTCCGTGTGAATTTGACAGCACTTGTCTTTGTTAAAATAATTTAAACAGGTAGGCCTATAATTGCCTTTTTATATAATAATAATATTGTTGGAAACATTTTTATGGTCTGATGTTAGAGTAGGTTCTAGGATAAGTTAGGTTAGGTTAGGATAGAACATTTCCGTCTCGATCTGAAAAATTATGCCACACAGTTATGTTTGATCTCTTAGAAAACATGAGGTAGAGTTCGGTGAACGATTCCATGAGGTGATCAGTTATCTTGCTTGCCTGTGTGTATGTAGATAGGGAGAAGAAAGCTGGCTGTAGAGGAGAGGGTCATCGTACATGTATTACTAACTACTTGTGGAAAATCCTGGAAAAGCAAAAGCAATGAGGCCACTCCCCTGTGTGAACCAATGTATGTTCCTTCATTCATACATTGGTTTACACCGAAGAGTGACCTCATAAATTAACTACGTATGAAAAATCCTTAACCACCAATAAGGCAATCAAGCATATTGGTTCATCCTGGACCTTATAGTTCAAAACATGCTGACAATTCTGTACATCAACATTTATTCAATCATATCATTTAAGCTTCGTTAAGTTCTGTATATACTGTAATGACAAATATAATTGGCTTTTAAATACATGTATAAACACACACACATGTTGTCATTGGTTTATGACGGAGTGTGACATTACAGCTAGTGACCTATATTGGGAAAATTGTTGATGCAATGTATTTAATAAAACAGTACCAGGGGACTGAGGATGGTTTGTGGTGTAACCTGACAATACAAGCAATCTTCTGGGGTCTTTCCATCTTCCATTTCTTTATTGTCCATGTACAATTCTTGATTATTCTGGAAACTATTCCTAACAAAAATGGCTCAATCAGCAAGCCCTCGATAGTTCCTCTCTTTTAATTTGTCGTTTAATATCCTCTGTCATATACACACACAGGGTGTTTTAGAATTGGTAATTGGTGTAGGATATTTTAGGGTAGTCCTTAGTTACTCAAACAGCTGTCATTTTGGGTTTTTCCTTTATTATTATTATTTATCAAAGTGTCTTATTTTTAACTAAGCCTTGAATGTGTCAACACTTATCTTGTTTAGAAAATTGCCACTTTGCTCACCAATAAAGACAATAAAAACACTTCTTGACTTATTATTAAAAACTAGTTAAAATATGATACAAATAAAATTATTACACAAAATGAATCATGTCACGTTTAATTTCTGTTTAATAATGACAACATAACACATATAGCAAAAAGTTGTGTTCACTTCACAGAATAACAATATTGTTTAACACTTTATTTTCACTGAAAAGTAGTTTCACAAATGTTGTAAGATGTGTTCCTGTCAGGGGAGAGAGTGAGACAGAACTTGTTTATCCCAGCCGCAGGAGTAGAGAACACTAGCTTTGTTGTCGTAAGCAAGTCCTCTGACAAAATCTGAGTGCCGCTTGTCCATATAGCTGCAGAGAAAATATACATTAATTATAGGTAAATAAAGATTACATTAATTAATGGTATTACTTAGATTACTATGAACAGATTATTTATTTTTAAAACCACTGAAATAAGATACTTATAGGACTTTTACCATATATTTTCACCGCCTTAAGGCACATTTTGAAACCTACATTTGATTTCCATGGCAATGTTATCCCAGTCAGCAAAGCCTCCTCCCTGTAAAACAAGGCCGCGGCGAGACTAAAGTCCCCGCCTATTGAAATAGCTGTAGCACTAATTCACATGGAGCGTCTATGCAATCTTTATGTTTACAATTACTTTTTTACCATGGCAATAAGAAGGGGAGTGCAAAGTTATGATTGTCACGGCCTTGTGTTAAAGGAGGGTATGCAGTCAGACATTCCAGTAATCAAGTGCCAACTGCCCCAAACTCAAAGACGTTTACATTTTGCTGTCATCTCTATTATTATGTAAATACCACTATTATAAACCAGATAGTACCAGCTTCCGCCAGGTTACTTAAACCTCAGTCAAGTCGCCTTTACACTAAGTCTGTTTGCAGGCAGGTTACCTGCCTCAGGTAACTTGAAATACACTGGAGGCAGGTAACCTGCCTGCCTATTAGCCTCGTGTAAACACGGCTTTAACACTTCAATGATTTCCTTGAACAGAAGATTGCCGATCCCTCCTTCTCAATATTGTTACAGAGAATGGAGGGTGAAGTATCAGGTGGCATTGTTGTTATATTGTTTCAAATTTAATATTTAACTAAAAACCGTTGTTAGTATGTAAGTTTTGGTTGTTAGATACAATAAAGTTTTTTGTTTTTTGAGCAATTTGTCATTATTACATTGCAGGACCTGTACGTTTTGTAGATAGCAGTTAAAATACAGGTTTGTTATAATTAGACTAGGCCTTAGTAATCTTGACATAATATATAATGTAAAAAAAATTAAATAAAATGAAATGTTTGATCATTTATTTATCAGCATTTAATTAAATGCAATTGTTAATATAGATTGTAAACTACAAGTGCAAAATGTCACAGAAATTCTTTAAAAAAAAATTTTGTATTGTAATAGCCATTACCTGATATCTAAGTTGGGCGATGAAGTATCAATTACTTTGAGTTCGTTAGAATCAGCACAAACTACCATAGATCTGAAAAATTAGACAAATTGTTGTTAAAACATGTACATGTACTGGCATATGAATCCACTTAATCTCCCTTTCTTTCCTAAATTATGAAAACGAGACATAAAACCTTTTTGCTTTTTTCTTTTTATTTAGGTTCAAATTAGTCATATTTGACTCAAAAAATTGTATTCCCTCTAAAGTAAAAAAAGGAATGTTATCCATATGGATACTATTCTCTCATAATGTACAATTCTTGTATACGTTTTATTGCTGCACAATCATAGTTTTCCTGTAGGTGACAAATGGCACCGTGTAGAAACCTGTCTGTTTGGCAACTATAGGCATAGGATGAGACAGATTACCATAATAAGGACAACTTGTATCCATTTGGCATCTATAGGCACAAAAAAGTGTCAAGGGATAGGTAAGGAACAGTTTTATTGATAATGTTTTTTCCCATATTGTATAGTTTTTGTACTCCCGAGAGGTAACATCCGTGAGCGTCCCCTTTGTTGTTAGAAAATCAATGCGGCCAACAGAAGGTTTGGCATTTCTTTTTTTTTCTTTTCCTGTAGCAGCAAACTTAAGGACCTACTTGTTATATCTAAAGTTATTTAAATAATATGCCTTATAATGGAAATATTTCAAAAGTTTAAATATTTCCATCCATCACTAGGCCTACAACTAGATTGACATTATAAAATTTTAACCTGATTGTCTAAATTACAACCTATGCCTTTATTACAACCTATTGCCTTGTGGCTAGTTAATTTATCTAACAATACATACGTTTTATTTAACGCTGATCTGTGAAGCTCACATATTTTATGATCCATATTTATTGAAATAACTATAATAATAGAACTCCCATCAAAAAATTATACATACAAAATCTTTAAAATTTACCTTGGATTGATAAAGAGTAATTTGAAAATCGTTCGTTTGTAAGGCGCTGACTGTTGTATTGACGAATTAGTACGTAGATCCATAAGAGAGACGTTCCCAAACGACGAACCCACGGCAAGTGTATTGAAATCCCCACTCTTCCATGTAACAGCTGTCATTCCTTCTCCTGGGTGGTCGATGACGACTAAAAGTAAAAAAAAAACTACTTATTTAAAACATTGAATACAGCCAGACCTACCTTAGAAATTTAATCTTATGCTATAAATGTTGTGGAAATATAATTGATGTACAAATAAACCTGTAGCTAATCGCAATAATGATTATAATGATCATATTCGATATAAAGTGTTGTAATTACAAGCAACTAGCACAACTTTAACTACCTACTTAATTTCTATAGCGTCCAACTAAAATAAAGGCGGACGTCTTAGGTGGAAGTTTTTGGGTTGAGTGAACGTTTTACGAGTTGCATTTCCAAACCAGTATTTTACTAAGCTCTACTACGACCTTCTCAAGAAACATGATTGGAATAATGTAAATATTCCATCACTTTTTATTTTTCATTATTAGTATAGTTGGAAGTTAAAAATACTAGTAGGCTTAATGATCTGCATAGTAAAATAAACCTAGGGCATGGGGGCGGAGCCCTAAAATGAGAGTAGAAAGGGCTAATGTAAATTTCAGAAGGACATTTGGAAAACTACATAGTACAACAATATCTGTGTCCAATATAAGGTGTAGTGTCCGGTAGTGCTAGAGGGATGAGTAGAAATTTTTAAGAACCGCTTTACCATAGAACCGTTAATGAATCAACCTTACAAAATGTCACTGGCGTAAAAAAAATAAAATACCTGAGGCGGGCTTGGGTTGTCTAGTGTCCCACACAAGGGCAAGTCCGTCCAGACCAGTGGAAGCAAACACTCTAGAGCCAGGTTCGGGGGAGTGAGCCACTTTGGTCACCTGGTGAGAGTGAGCGTTGCGGAAAGTCTGTGCAGGGCTCAGTTCATCTCCATCCCAAACCTTGATGCTGAAAGAAATATGATTAGAATAGGTATTTGGGAAATAAGTAAATCCGTTGTATTAGATATTTAAGAGATCAGGTCATGGTTACCAGATGAAACATTGACATCGCTTGAGAACACAAATTAGGGATGTAGAATGTAGGAAATGCGGGCAATCGGAAGAGATTGCCAACCGTTTGCTGTTTGACCACTGTGGAAAAGCACTCTTAGAACCACAGTAAAACCTTGATTAACAAGTGTCATGGAAATCATCAAATAAGACTTGTTATCAAGGTTTACTTCTTATAGAAGTTTGCAATAACATGTGATTAGGTGTAATATACAGTAGAGCCTTGATAACAAGACTCATAGGGATTATAAAATAAGACTTGTTATCAAAAGGTTGACTTACAAGATGTTTACATAATCTTTTTTTCTTATTTTGACCCAAGAAATCACTTTGTAAATGATGTCTCCCAACCTTTTTTGAATACCCCCTATTGCTCCGGTTAATCAAAGTTCTTGTACAGTATATCACATTATTTCCACTGATCTGAAAGTGTTCAGTCCCAATGGATTAGCTGGACTCAAGTGTACATGCAAGAATTTAAAATGTCTTGGAACATGAAGTTACAGGTGATAAAGGAAACTAAAAGTATTACCTACCAGTATATAAAAACATCAGATTGACTAGGTAAAGAGGGGTCGTGGAGATGATGGTGAGATAGGAGATAGCAGTGGGATTAAAAAAGATGGAGAGTTTGTAGATCCATAGTTCATGGAGTAACCGTAATGGAAAAGGATTAATTGTGTTTATTACTGCTCCTGACATACAGTAGACTCCCTCTTATCCGGACACCTTTTAACCGGACTATACTCGGCGGAAATTACATCTCTTTAATCGGACAATTTTTATCAGCACATCGGTTTAACCGGACTAGATCTGCAGGAAGTGGGCGTTACTGAAACAACTGTTCTCGTAGGAAAGATTCGAGACCAGTGATCACGTGTCTAAATACAATGCTCTCCTAAATTTAAGTCAAATATTTGGGTTACATAACAAGCTTTTGGGGACGTCGGTTTAACCGGAAAAACCGTTATCCAGACTGGCCTCAGTCCCGAGCAGTCCGGATAAGAGGGAGTCTACTGTAGCAAGAAATGATTAACCTAAGTTACCACTTCTCTAGACTTTCCAATCAGTAGAAATTCTTGAAAAGAGGCAACTTCCGACATAGCAAGTAGAATTATTAGCTGCAGTAGATCACTCTCACCACATATCAAATCCTGCAGACACAATCCCAGTCTTGTCCGTGGAAACAGAAATACTCGATACAGAACTGTCATGTTCATATCTTGCACTTTTCTGGGTAAAAACTAATGTTCCATCTTCTCGTTTTGTAATTTCATAAACTATCACAGCCCCTCCATCATCACCAACTATTATCTATGACAATAAATAATGTAATGGTAAGTTAAATTATAAATACCGGTACGTCTACACCAAATTATCTATATGGCGTAGATTTTTGGATTATTTAAAAATAAAACTTACTGAATTGCAGTTCTCTAAAAATTGTTCAAGAAACAGTTTCTAATGTTAACATGAGAAACCTAACTCTCCCTTTACATTATTTTCAATCTTGACTATTAATATTGATCAGAGTCCGACTGATCTATAGGTACCTACTTTGAAACTCATTTTGTAAAATTTTTGTTGAATAAACTTAAGCCTAAGTTTATTTTATTAGTCATTAAGAAATGTGTAGGCCTACCAAAATGTTCCCTCAGCACTCATCAGACAAAAGTTCTCTCTTTTTTTTAAATAACTTCAACAGGGTTTGTGACATCTGAGTGGCCTATTGTAATAACAATTTTTAAATTAAAAATCTGCAGTATAAAATATATACTTTGATTTAAAAGTTAAGTACTTACTGTTTTATTATTAAGAAATTGACCATCGGAAACAGTATTATCACATTCCATTCCTGTCTCACATTCTTCTTTTTGGGGGGGCAAAGGTGGTTTACTATAGTACCATACAGAGCCTCTCCAGTATCTTCCAGTCAGGTTCGATGAGCCAAGGAGAAAGTATCCGTCTAGAAAATTAAATTTTGAAAATTCAGAAACAGCTTGAACACAGGAAAAACACACTTGTTAGGTAGGCCTAACTAAGAAAAAATTAGCTTAGGTAAGAATCTGTTTGTTTTCTTTAGTATACATTAAGAACTCTTTTGATATGCCTAGTCAATAATTTGTCTCTACAGCGTTGTACTTCTACAACATTAAAGACGGAAGACGCTGATATACCGGTAATTAGACATTCCATCCTTAAAGTTGTCACCAGTTTTCAATTCAAATTTTAAGAAGGTAATTTGAGCCTCCAAAAGATCTATGTAAATTAGTAATTGCTGTCAAATAGCCTACCTACACCATCTTATAAGCAAGGAAAACTGATAGGGTGACTATAGTAAACTATAGCATCTGTTTTGTCTCATCAACTACCAGTAAAAATATAAGATAATAACTTAGAAAATATAATTTTAGGCTCTAAAATAAAAATAAAAAGCCTAACTTTTGTTCTTTAGAGCTCATTGGTTATTGTATTCTGCTAATAAAGACCTTTAATTTGATGTGTACCTACCTATCCTTACGTTTGTTATTTTATTCTGACTTCTACCCCCCCCCCCCTCCCTGAGGAGGTAGCATATAGCATTGCAAATTCAATGAATCTTTGAACAGCTGTCATTTTGTACTCGAAGTTGTCCGTTTGAGTTCCAGTTTGCGGTAATGTATTCTACCATCTAAGACCTTGACCTAGATGCTGCTATTTAAGAATTTTGTCTGACTCCTTGAAGACCGTCCTCTTTCAGGGATAAAAAAGGGACAAGAACTTAAAAGAGTAGACATGTGTGAACTTACCTAGGGGCGGACGGGGCGAGCGCCCGGGGCCCCTTCTTAACAAGTTCAAAAATTAATTAGGCGCTTACCGAATGGCCTCTCTCGTTTTGCGTACTTGAAAATTATGATCGTGGGAAACTAATACGAATACCGGAAATTGCCGCGATTGCAAGAAATCATGACAGCCGTAGCCGCGATAGCGGAAAATCATCACGAATTTGGCCGCGATTCAAATATGATCCCAGATAATGATCGGAATCGCAACACAGTGTCACGAGTATTGAGATAATGGTGGATGTTGCCGTGATCACGAGGAATCATCACAAACTACGTCGAGATCCCAATAAATAGTCACAATATTTAAACATACCAACTAAAAAGTATTCGGTCTTTCTTATCACGAAAAACAGAGACGATCGCGGCAAAACCCGAGAAGTTGTCCTGATTGCCGTGGTTGAGTAAAATAAAGAGGTTCTCACATGGTCGCATGGAAGATAAACGAATGTTCCTGCTATCAGAGGAGATTATCATCACATGTGTTGCCATGATCAAGAGAAATTTTCACGGATTTGGCCATGATCTAGTAATGATTACGGAACTGCTATGATCGTGGGGAATCATAACGGATGTTGACACGATTGTAGGAAATCCCCACATATTTTGGGGCGATTTTTATATAAGAGCACCAGCACAGATATCCAAAATCATGAGAAATCATCGCGGATGTTGCTGCGATCAGGGAGAGCACCACAGTTGTTACCACAAAAGTGTTATAGAATGAAGTTTAGAATTCTCACTTATTTACCTTAATTAATTAATTTTGAATGTGTTTTCATTCAAGTTTAAAAAAAAATTAAAATCTATGGTACCTATTACAGTGTTTAAAATAAATTTTATATAATCCTTACAGGCCTACTTTGTGCTATTTTATTTCTTATTTTGACTGAATTTTTTAGTTATTTGTTGAAAAGGATATTACACTTAAATCTTTGACTATTAAAAGAATTAGACTTCAGTATCCAATAGTCAATGGTTTAATGTAGGCCTAGTATTGCAAAGGAATTCAAGGTATCTGCTTATGTGGTATATTGAATTTTAATAAATAAAGTTACGACAAACCATAAAATCGTACATTGAAAATATTTTAACAGTTAAAATATTATATAAAATTACTTTATACAAAATGCAACATACTGATATTCTAACATGTTTAAATATTATTTCACTATCACATTGCTTATAGGCTAATAGTTAAAATCAGTGTTCATGTAAGACACATTATATTGTGTACATAATCGTATATTCATGCTGGGGGCCCCATATTGGCAGATTTGCCCGGGGCCTCTGAAGCCCTAAATCCCTGATGACATGGCTATTATTGATATACCAAGTTTTAACCCTCCGAGCGTCACTTGTCGAAAAATTGACTCACGACACACTTTGTGTAGTGTCACTTGTCGATTTTTCGACACACGAACATCGTTTACGGCGAAGGCTCTATGACTGACTAAATCGGATTGAACTAGATCGAGTTAGGTATCGTTCTTTTTGTTAGATTCGGAGCTGTCTCCGGAGGTCTGTCTCTAAGCGCTATTCATTTTAGTTCCGAAAATATTGTAGCAGACAGCTGACGTGCGTATTTGTAAACAGCTAGGTTAACCTCGGACCGATGACTGATGTGTTTTATTACGTTTATCATTGTTTTAGTGTTAAAAATCAAAAGTAGTGATATACGTGGTGCATTATAAGAAGATTTAAGTGATTTTGAAGGGCTGGTTGATGATCCTGAAGAAGTAGGTAGTGATATTGATGTAAATTATCAGCCAGATTCCTAGCTATGGTTAGGCTATGCATTCTTAGCTAAACGCTATGTACTGAAATCTGTTTTTTGCCCATAACTTATTTATTTGCAAATCTACTTCCTTATATTATTATATATTTGTAATCCTCATAAAATTTAGAACAAAGTGACTATTTTCAAATATTTATAGGTCTATAATTTATACAATTTCATTGAGTGCAAACTAATTTTTTTTTGAAAATTTTCCAAAATATTTTTTTTACCTAAAAAATTTTTTTGAAACAAATGTTCCTTATGTTTTATGTATAATATTGAAGCCCATGATTTTCCAAACAAAATGGTATATAGAACAGTAGAATTAACATTGTTTTAAGCTTCTCAGATCCGTTTTAATAAAACCTTGCAAATGCACCAAAAATAGGCGGACATTAAGGCCTAAACTATGGACACTCGGAGGGTTAAGCTCTATTGCATTTACAAATGCCTCTACCGCTTTGTCCTCTTTGTATAAACTTAATGTTTGTTGTCTTAGGTTTCTTCTTCTTCCCAAGACGATCCTTTCAATTGTTCATGATTGAGTTAGTACTCAATTTAGGTAATGACTTCAGAGACAATCAGACAAGAGGCTTTACAATTGTAATAAAATTCAAACGATCGTAGTTTATTCAGTTTTAGTCACAGCAGAAAAAAAAACTTTGCACCATTGTTTTCAGGTGAAAATCTAGTTTTTAATGATATATAAATTGCTATAGGTTCCCAAGGTCACTTTAATATGCATAATTTCCTAAAACTGAAGTTTGTTATTCAGTTAGTTATTCAATTCACAGAGGATACTCGTCCGGTAACCGAACGTGGATTAGGCGTCCGGCAGTGACTTCACTGGGTTGTGGGAGCCCGGAACACCATTACTACAACGATACGATATACAGTACCAGTCATCGGTGTTTGTGATGTAGTGGATAGAGTTTCCCGCAGGGGGCCCACGCTTGCGTGGGTACGTTGATATCGTCACTATACTGTACGTGATTCAATTCCTTTGATATCACGGACGATTAATACCAAACATTAGAAATAACAAAATAAATTTTAACAAAAACTAGGTATCTTCTTTATTGTATTCAACAAAAAAACATACTAAACTATTTTCTGTTTACAAAACAATTGAAAAACATATGACTTGTTTATATATTAATTATTAAACAGTCTTTTGGCAAACTTATATGAAATATATTGAGGGGTTTTCTTTATCAATGATTAATCATCGTACGTCAATCATCCCCCCCAAAACCCTCAATATATATTTCAAATCTTCCTCTTTCTAGACCTTAAGTTATACCCAGGTGAAGCATCGTTATGGTCTTCTGCTTCTTGCTCTTCGAACTCTCTTCGGCTTGTCGATTCATGAGTATTTTTAACTCCGACATTAAAACTTTAACATTAACCTTAATTGGTGGATCAGACCTCAAGAGGTACACTCCCTTCCCTAGCTTGTGTTCCACCTCAAAGTATTCACACGACGTAACATTGAACGCAGGTAGTATCTCGGTGTCCGTTGCGGTTGACGTGACCACAGGAGAATCGGTCCGATGCAGGATCCCATCCTCGTCTCCTGAGATGGCTGATGAGTCCTCGACCATCACTGTCCGTCGCAAGATCTCTTCTGCACCTCCTGTGATGACCGTTGAGTCCTCGACCCTGTCTGTTGGCCGCAGGATCTCTTGTTTATCTCCCGAGATGGCTGATGAGTCCTCGACTATCACTGTCCGTCGCAAGATCTCTTTTGCACCTCCTGTGATGACCGTTGAGTCCTCGACCCTGTCTGTTGGCCGCAGGATCTCTTGTTTATCTCCCGAGATGGCTGATGAGTCCTCGACTATCACTGTCCGTCGCAAGATCTCTTCTGCACCTCCTGTGATGACCGTTGAGTCCTCGACCCTGTCTGTTGGCCGCAGGATCTCTTGTTTATCTCCCGAGATGGCTGATGAGTCCTCGACTATCACTGTACGTCGCAAGATCTCTTCTGCACCTCCTGTGATGACCGTTGAGTCCTCGACCCTGTCTGTTGGCCGCAGGATCTCTTGTTTATCTCCCGAGATGGCTGATGAGTCCTCGACTATCACTGTACGTCGCAAGATCTCTTCTGCACCTCCTGTGATGACCGTTGAGTCCTCGACCCTGTCTGTTGGCCGCAGGATCTCTTGTTTATCTCCCGAGATGGCTGATGAGTCCTCGACTATCACTGTACGTCGCAAGATCTCTTCTGCACCCCCTGTGATGACCATTGAGTCCTCGACCCTGTCTGTTGGCCGCAGGATCTCTTGTCTATCTCCCGAGATGGCTGATGAGTCCTCGACTATTACTGTCCGTCGCAAGATCTCTTCTGCACCTCCTGTGATG